GAAGATATCCAGTAGCCAGAATTCTTTGTGATGTGCTATGTATATGAACAACTTAAAAATAACATAGGCTTTCCGTAGGTACCAAATTAATGGACATTTTCTGTCCTAGAATTTCAGCTTTAAATACCTCGTATTCAGCACTTGCGTCGCCGTGCGAATTCTCGCTATGGCTACGTGCAATATGTCTGTGTATTGTTACGGCCCTCCATCCTAGAACGGGTCCTGGATGCTGGAGGGCTGGCCTGTCCCTTGCCTCTATCACCGTCATCCGACGAAGAGTTTGCCATCCTGACTAATGCGAGCGGTTTCTACTTGGCTCCGTTTTCCCAAAGTATATGGATGTGGAGATGAGAGGTGTGTTGGATAACTGGACGTGTATTCTCTATGGGAGGGTTACATTACGTCAGACTATGGAGACTCAACTAATCACACGTTATTAAACGATGGATTGTTTAACTGTATACTTTAATAATACAAACATAAGTCAACATCTCCAACATGTTATCATAGTTAACATCGACACCGATTACCTGAATTAATCTCAACAAGTAGTAAAGGCAGAGATTGCCTTTTGTAGGAATTCTATTTCTCGCTTCCAATCCTTTTCCCTTACTTAAGCTCAGCTGGAGCAAAGCGGAGAGTTCGCTATCTGACCAAGACGAGAGCCAGCGTCGAGGTGACGAAATTACCGTGAAATACTGGTATTTATAGCCTCTGAGACGCTCTGAGAGCTGCTTTACGCATGGTGCGTCCGTAATCGCGCTCTGAGCCCTTACGCCCCAAAAGCTTACTGCGCCCTCTACGTTTTCTGCAAGATAACTTAAATTGTGGCGAACTGGTTCGTTACAGTATTTTTGGATATAGATGCTTGTGCCGTCGCCCCAGAGATTCTTGCAGGGAAGGCGCCCTGGCTTCCAGTCGCTATGACGAGGTAGTCGTAGCTCACCTCCTCCCCTCCGGCCAGCCTGAACTTCTTGGCCGTCGGGTCGGCAGCCTCCACCGTGCCTCGTTTGAAGTTCTCCCCAAAGGCCGGGGCATAAGGGATGGGGTCTTCCTGGCATTACCTGCCAAAGCGGGCAATCATTCGCCATTTCCAATACTGCATTTGGACTCTGCACTCTTCCCAGCCAAAAATGCATGTATGCAAGGGAAGAGTTCCATACACAGACAACACTTGACACAAAATTTTTTAAAGTGTATTCTAAGTAAATGTTATGATTTTCTCACTGCTAAATTCGACTCGTAAGGGCATGTCTTTGCTTTTCATAGCTTGTAGGTCACTATAGGGAAAAATAAGCGCTGTCCGTGTATGAAACTCTTCACTTGCATACCTGCATTTTTGGCTGGGAAGAGTCTTCGCGCGGCGTCATGACTTTGCGATCCACCCATTGCTGCAATTTTTAGGTTTCTATTTTTGCGGCTGAAAATTAAGCAAAACGATGGACATTCAGAGTGAGATTTATCAAATAGCCAAAGTGTAATGCCTTACCAAATGGCACTATCGCATCGACTCGGTTTCGAACCTGAGACCTCGCGGTTACGAGACCACTGCTCTACCACTGAGCCATCGCGCCTCGTATTCATCCCTTGAAATTTAAAAGGCACTGCCCCCCATTGTGTTCTCCTTTCAAAGAGCACAAAAAGCCATAAGATTGAATATTCCATCTCATTCAGGAAAATCAGAACACGCCCTTAATACTGGACACAATATTCAATGGGACAAAAAAAGGATTAACCCTTCACTGAATAGGGACTCTTCTTCGCTCCGGTGATCTCGAGGCAGCAGACAGCAAGAAATTGTGTAAATAATAAAGAGTCCACAGGAGTTGTTGTTAGATAAGTACTCTCACTCTCTTCCAAGGACAATTTTATGCAAGCAAAGGTTGTCTTGGGAACCGCTTTTTATATTTACGGATGGGGTGCAGATGGAGAGCCTTTGCCGGCAGTCTAGGGCGCGGAGCCCAGGAAGTTCTAGAACTTTTCAGGATTTATTACATTCCTTTTCCTTTTTTACATTTTTCTTTAAAATTCCTTGACACTTTCAAAATTCTGTATTTACTTTAAAATAAGGCTATTTGAGACACTGTCCCGGGCGCGTCTTTTTTTTCCGTACCACTAATGCGTCGCAGAGGTTATTTCGACGTCTTGAGAGAGACTAGGGCGCTTTAGTAACGAGACGGTACGCACAGGAGACGGTAACGCGAGCGAAAAAAAACGAACTGCGCATGCACGAATCTGAAATCTCTCCGTCCCGTCGATTTTCGGAACGGTACTCGGCCAACATAGCGTTCGTTCCCTAAACACGACATAAGAGAGAGGAGCTGACAAATAATTTTGATCTAGATCTAACAATGCAGGGCACTACCATGACTACTGAAGATAAAAACAGGGAATCTACTAGTGATTCCAATGTCTGTTCGATAAGTAGCTTATTCTATACCCTAATCTACAATAAATTGATGGTTTGGCCGTTTAGGCCTACTTTGGGGGACCTTTTTCATCGTTATGCATGACGTGCATGAACGCTGTGCATTACAGCCCACCGCCGGGTCCATTGCCCCGGCGCTCCGGCCAAGCCTCAAGGCCCTAGAGCACTAGCACCAAAAGGCAGCAGGCGTGCAGTTATTTATTATTATTTGCCAATGCCAGGTTCTCATCCAAAATATCACTAATTTTACGACGTACAGTCTCCATGGTAGTGGTAAACTTTACTTCAAGAATTTCGGTAAATGACTGCCGTTCCTTCACTATGGAAGTCTCGACTGCTTTTTCCACCATTGACTGTAAGTGATCCCAGCCATGATCAGGACTGAGAGTGTCATCCCCTTTTTACGAGCGTCAGGATTTAATCCTCAGATCGTCAACCAAAAGGCAAAGTTACTGCTCCAAAAAAGTAGAAGGCGGCAACAAACCAAACTGATGGTCAGATGGGAACCATATATCGTCAATTATAAAAGCGCCCATACAATTGGTTACAAAGCGATCAAACAATAAATTGGACTTCGCGTCGGGAAGATGTAATTCCAATACCAGTGTAAGTACACTGTTGGTCATGAAGTTGGAATAATTATTTTTACTCCAATTTATGGATTGATTTTTTGGACCTACGTCCTTAAGTCATAACTGACTGTAATGAGAATTAATGCCTCACAAAAGGGCACTTATATAGCACATCGATACGTTTTTGATCCTGGGGCCTCAAAGTAACGAGGCCATTGCTTAGCCACTGATTCATTAGTGTACGCAGCGGGGGCTAGGGTACGGGGCCGCCCCCACAAATACCAAAAAACAAAGAAAATGCAATAAATTATAAATAATTCATGCATTTTGCCTCGATTCCCAATATATAACAATCCTCTGTGTGGCTATGAATTGAACCATAATGCATGGCCCTTGGAAACACAAAACACTTCTGATTCCTGGTGATTAAATAACCCCAACATCCTTGATAAAAATATCGAACAGATTCCGTGTTATAGCGGTAATTATCCAAACTGAATGTATGTACCAAGCTCCGAACATCGTTTGATTATATGTGATTTAATCAATGCCACGCCCCCAAAAATGTAAAGTCGTCTGTATAGACGCAACACAATTCAAGTCAAGCTATAAAAACAAAACCCTCATGTATTGAGATAAATATTTTATAACATCACTATTCCTATAATTGCACTAAAAGCAAAGTAAAGATCAATATCATGTTCAATTATCTCTACATGTCTATATAAAAGCTGCACCACGAGCAGGCTATCTTGACTGTTTCGATTAAACGTGTGTGGTGAAACTTCCGGATTCGTAGTGTACAAATGTCGGTTACATAAAATGCCTATCAGGGCCTCGCCTGACATACTCCATGTCCATAAGGACTTTTTTCGTGTATGAATGCATAACCTTCTGGATTAGATAATAATAATCAATTTCATTAAAAAAACCCCATTAAAACAAACATGAGAAAATATCATAATTTCAATACGATACATGTGACATTACCGAACAATTTATGCATAGATAATCAAGATACTACTTTGTCCTTAGAGTAGGTATACCAGACCCACGTGACAATTAAAGTAATTAGGCTTTTGGGTCTAACCACTGACCTCTATCAGTGGGTCTGACACGTATGCATAAATTATTAAACACACCCAAAATGCTGTAGGGTGTTCTTAAAGGGCCCATGACATCGAAATCCATGTGTATTCCTGTTGGTGTGCAATCCTGCATACATCTCATATTTTGATATGTAAACTTCTGAATTTGTTTCACCCCAAAAACCTCCAGATCTCATTCCCCTTGTGACATCATCTGTCAGTCATCAGTGAGCTAACTTGAGAAAGTGGCATATTACTTTGCCAAAGTTGACCACCTATTACAATACCACAAACAATAGCAACATATACGTTGCTATGTCAGACATGTCAGACTAAACTAATATTCTAGAATAGACAATGGTATGTAATTTCCCCCAGCTTAGCATACGATCATAATAGAATTGCATGCTTCCATACATATGTACAATACATCATCATTGCCTTTGTCTTCCTGGTGATGCTACAGCATGTCTGACATAGCAACTTGCATGTTGCTATTGTATTACGTATTGTAACAGGTGGTCGACTTCGGCAAAGATACATATCACTTTCCTGAGTTAGCTCATTGATGACTGACAGATGATGTCACAAGGGGAATGAGATCTGGAGGTTTTTGGAGTGGAGCTTAGCAAGTTTTAAAAACAAATATTTCAACAAATATTAAAAAATCTATGAAACAAATTCAGAAGTTTACATATCAAAATATGAGATGTAGGCAGGACTGCACACCAACAGGAATACACTTGTATTTCGATGTCATGGGCCCTTTAAATGAAAAATTAAGTGTTAAAAAGGTCAAAATGAGTTTGGTCACTACAATATAGATAACTTCTCTGGTCATTGACCCGTGCCGCTGATGGGCAGTGATATGTTACGCCCCCAAAAACAAATCCAAGGAAAACCTTTTATAAAGCTGAATACTCTTCCTACTTGCATGGTTGGGCATAGCATGTATGGCTACCTAGTGTGGAGTATATATGCAGCCAAAACTGACGTGTTCGCCATAAAGGCCGGTCAGGCACGTCGAAGTATATACGAGTCTATTTTGCCCGTGGTGGTTCTTACGCCAGATTTTGGTCTATTCCTTCAGTTTTGTCTTGTCATTTCAGTTTCCACAATGTGCGAGGCGACCGCAAAGCATGACTTTAATGGGCAGGAGGAAAGCGAATTGTCTTTCAAGAAAAACAGCATCCTGAAAGTAAGTGAAAGACCGTGATCTCGATAACGTTCGGTACGGTCACCATTCGTTGTTGTTTTGGCTTGATAAAACTTTGTTTTCTTCTTCAGTGTTTATCTCATTTCTTTGTTGTATATATACTGAATATTTTTTGTTTTCCTCTTGTATTTATTCGGTTATAAAATACATTTAACAACAAATAATTCAAACAAAAGTATACATTCACTTTACAATCATATTAAATCAAGGAGTATACTGTTAATATACTGAATATAATTTGCTCCAATTTGTGTTTTTTGTCATAACCGACTATCAAACACTCACACAATAAGGGCGGTTATTTGTTTGAGTTCAATTAACCATATAGAGTGTGTTTTTTGTTGTTGGTTTCTTTGTGCATACATGTAGATCCTTACATTCGAACACGAGGGCTGGTATAAGGCTGAACAGGATTGCAGGGAAGGCATGATACCAGCAAATTACGTCCAATTAAAACCTAACCAGTGAGTACAAATTAAGCCACAGGGAGAAAAAAAACACGGCTAGCATTTAATATTTAAACCCCATTGAGAGAAAAGAAAAGGCTTGAGACACGTGACTTACCACCCCTGGGGATAGTTATAACCGCCCTTTAGCTCTGAAAACAAAACGTTGGGTTTGTAGTTGGCTCGCTCTGTGCACATTAGTTTTTCCTTAAAGGTACTATGTCTTATTTGCAGCCAACATCAAATTCTGTAGAACTTTGCAGGAATTATCAATATGACACATAATTTGTGAAATTAAAAAAAAAACGTTTGCAGTGTACTAGTATTAGAATAAGCCAGTTCATAGATACAATCTGCGCATGGGCAGATAAAGGTTATTTGTACCAAAATGGTAAAACCCACAGAGATGAATACTGGATATGCGTTCATGAAAGTTATGTAACATTATTCATTTATGCACCAACGGTACATTCTATGATACGCAGGTGGAAGTTCTTTTCAAGAGGTCAAATTCTTTACCAAAATGGTAAAACCCACAGAGATGAATACGGGATATGCGCTCATGAAAGTAATGTAACATTATTCATTTATGCACCAACGGTACATTCTATGATACGCAGGTGGAAGTTCTTTTCAAGAAGTCAAACAAAAGGTATTCATGAAGCACATCTAGGACTTTGGCAGTTATTATTCTAAGATGCTCAAAGTGGAACTTCTCCATGTGTAAAAGATCTGTGGATATTTGGGGTCATTTGTACCATGTGCTATCTGTAAACTCCCTTGTTATGCAAGAAAATACATTTACTTTCTAGACTTCACTGTCGGACATTATTGAGTGACTGCCTGACTTTTTTTTCTTTCGTAATAATGAACATATATAATATGGGTTGTAAAGGGTAAATTCATGAGCATTTGTCTACTTCAATAACCAACTTCTTGTAAAGGCCAAAATTAAACTGATTGAGTCAATCAGCACAAAACGTACGACCATTCGGTACACGGCCTGTTTGAAAATCAGACTATTTACTAAAAGGACTGCCATCCCTGAAGTCGATTCGACAACTAACGGTCGTCAGTTTCCCACAAAAGCCCTTTCGTATTGAGGGAAGTTCTAAATTAGTATTATCTTTCAAATGCCGTTGGAATTTAACGTTTTCATTTTTTGGCCTACAAATGGAACATAGTACCTTTAGCGCGTTAACGGTACATACCGTTCGGTGCGTGAGTTCTTGGGCCACTTTCATTGAGCTGCTAAGCACAACAATTTGCTTTGCATGAAATTTTTTCCTTAATAAAAACAGGATTAGCAACCAAATTTCCATGTGTTGTGTATTGCTTGTTACTGGTATTCAGTTGTTGTTTGCATATCGCGAAAATTTAGCTGATAACATTTGTTAACACGCAATTAAGAGATTTATATGCGAAATTGCCCCCTTTACCCCCTGGTCACAACTTCTTTTATCAGTAGAATACAACTTGAGTTCCGTTTGCATGCTGACTAAATTTGCTGACAATACATATTCGTAGACTCCTGATCCTAGTGCAATGGAGAAGCTTTCATTAACATATCGAAAACAGTCGTTGTATTGGGTTCTGGTCATGGGGACTAGCATTAGCTCTTTCTTTTTTTATACTAGAAACATAATTATTGACAACATTCCATCAATAAACTGCAGTGATCACCGTGTCAATTCGAATTACCAACGACCCAACTTTGACTAGCTCGGTGGTTGAGTAGTAAGACATTTCCATTTGTGAGCTTGAGGTCATTGGTTCGAATCCCATTGGAGCAAGTTTGGGTAAACTCACGCTGCAACGAGTTGATTCTTTCTGTTTAAAGTTCATGGTAAAGGTTACACGAGACGGGGCCGAAGAACTACTGAAGAATGACGGGGACGGCGCATTTCTCATCCGGGAAAGTGAAGGCACACCGGGCGACTACAGCCTATCCGTCAAGTGAGTTGTAACACTAACAAAAACTTGATACATGTAGAAGTACAAATCACTTAAATTTGTGTTCACGGTTACAGTCTGAGCATGAGCAGATAAAGGTCATTGTAAAACGAATTTTGAAGTACGGAGACGAAATACTGGATACGCGTGGATACATGCTCATGAAAGTTATGTAAATCATTATTCGTTCATGCACGAGCAGTGGCAGGCGCGTACGCAGGATTTTTTCAAGGGGGGGGGGGGGTTTAACATTTATAAATCGGGCCGAAAATTTCGCAACGACTCAGCCAGCCGCTGAATAAGCGGGGGGGGGGGGGGGGGGGGGAGGGGGGGGGAGGGGGGGGGGGGGAGGGGGGTAAGAGGACACTTTTTTTTTTTTTTGGTCTCCAAATTTGAAAATTTTACATTTTGCTCCCTTGGGGGGGGGGGGGGGATAGTTCACTTTTTTAGGTCAACCATGGAGAGAATTTTTTTTAATTTTTTTTTATTTTTATAAAAAAAAAAAAAAATCCAAAGGGGGGGGGGTTTCGGGGGGTTATGGGGGGTTTACATACAGAAAATTACCAAGGGGGGGGGGGGTTAACCCCCAACCCCCCCCCCCCCCCCACTACCCCTCCGTGTACGCGCCTGAGCAGTGGACTCCATGATACCCAGGTGGAATTATTCTTTGAAAAGGGGAGACAAAGGCTATTTATATAGCACTTCCATCGCTTAGGAGTGATTATTTCAAAATGTACAAAGTAGGACCTCTTCATGTTTGAAGATCTGTGTATATTCGGGGTCATTGCAGTAATGTGCTAACCGTGAACTGGTCTATGACATACGATTTTAGGTGGCATGGGTGGATATAGTGCGCGTATTACACGTGCTTGCCTCTCATCACTGTGGCTCTGGTTCGATTCCCAGCTCGGACCGTACGTTAGTACACAGTAAAAACGCTGCTTAAAAAAGTGATGTTCACTTACAGTTGTACACTATCTTAAACAACAGTTGAACAAATTGTAAACAACGTTGCTCGAAACGAAAGTAATTTTGTTAAACATTCGCTGTTTAAAATTTAATGACTGCTATATTTACTACACGAGAGCTTTTAAACAGTGTTGTTTACATATGACGTCATGTGTCACGTGGCAGTAAAGTGCGCGTTGGCTAAAAGCTTTGTTTCACATCATGGCCGACCAAGCTGTAGAGGTGTCGTGGATGAGTGGAAACGTCGCCGGACTGTCGATCACAAGGTCCACGGTTCGAGTCCCGCCGCGGCACTAATGTCCTTTGGCAGCCTAGCATAGCCGGGTAATGTTGGAGCGCCTTGAGGACCTTGCAAGGTCGGTACGTGCGCTATATAAGAATCCAATAATATTATTAATATTTAACAACACCTCCTTTTTAAACAACTTTCTTTAAACAACCCAGTTGGTGTAAACAACCCCCACTGAACAACAGCTCCGTTTTAAACAACCGTCTTTAAACAACACCGGTTGTTTAAATTGTGATTTTAAACAAGTTGTTCAAAATGTTGATCAACTAAGTGTTTAAACTTTAAACAACTCGAGTTGCTTAACATTTTAAACAACTCTTAGATCAGGTCACCCGTTAATCCAAAGTTGTTTAAACTTTTAAACAACATGTTCACTAAAATTTTAACTGTGTAGTGCGTTAGTTTTGTCCTGTGCCACCGGGATCTCCGGTTTTACTCCCTTCGCAAAATCTAACACTTTCAATATCTGGCCTAGCTGTAATCCGTGGTCATAGTTATACACGAGTCGTATTGCTATATAGCTGCCCAAAGGTGCATTAATTACTTAAGGCATTGTTTAACAATGTTTCCAGTTAAAAAAATATCTGAGATGCATGGTCATATCACCACATATCACAGACACTGATAACACGTAGTTTTCAGACGGTGTCTGTGATATGGTTTATTTGAGGCCCCCGAAATATTGCGCTTAAAAATGGTCAAGAAGTGCTTCAAAAAAGTAAAAATCCTTGAGTGACCGGTTTTTACCATACTTGTTTTCCCCAATAGACTGTAGTGTTATCAAAGCTGTTTAAAACTGTTGGGGGAAAACGGTTTCTGAAATTTCGAATTCCAATCTTTGATATCTTGATAATATCAAACCTGTGATTGGCTTGTAAAATTTATAGGATTCATTTTTCACCTAAATGTTTATAATTACGATTGCAGCATGAGCTAAATCAAGGATTTTGTTTAGAATCAGAGGCAAAGTTACCTAATACCTTGAAAGCTTGACATGTCTTCGACTCGAACACGTTGTAGCTAGCTGCGTCCGAGTCCTTCTTATATAGCTGGATAAATAGCCCTTAAAATGATGTGGGAGAACAGCATATGAATCAGTTCGCAAATACAAAAGAAACATAGAGTATTTTGCCTTATATCAATTTCGGTCCATCATCTTATACTTGCTCCTACAGGTTTGTGGATGGTGTGCAGCATTTCAAGGTCTTGAGAGACGGGGCTGGCAAGTACTTCCTCTGGGTCGTCAAATTCAATTCTCTGAATCAATTGGTAGAGTACCACAGAACCTCATCTGTAAGCCGCAGCCAAACTATATATCTCAAAGACAGAAAGGTATAAATACCACTGTTTTTATTAGGGCGCTTTCGCAAACGCGACGGAAGCAAAGACGACGGGAGAATATACGGCGATACAGCTCCTCCGTCGTATTTAGGGAACGAACGCTATCATGGCCGCGTACGGTCGTGAAAATAAACAAGACGAAGAAAATTCTGGTTCACGCATTCGCCGATTTTTTTTTCTTCGATCGTGTTACCGTCGTCTTTGCCTTCCGTCGCGTTTGCGAAAGCGCCCTAATACATTCGAACCCCACCGTTGATATAGAGGTCATTGGGACTTTGCAGATTACCTACATTATAACAGGAACCTTGTATTTTCATGAATGAAAACAATGATGAACAGTGAATTTGAACCTTACATTTCCTTGCTTAAGCACATTGTGTGCTCTCTTATCTAGGTTCGACCGTATTTCCTCTTCGCAATTCTAGATGAGATTGAGTTTTATTTCTTGGGGGCCCCTAACCCTGTACAATACTTTCGGATCTGTATTGAAATCCCGTTCACTGAATAGCATGGCAGTTTAGCATGGCTTCCCCCCCCCCCCCCCGGGCCTCGGCGAAAAAATCCAGGGGTGCTGAGCAAAGCAGTCTTCAGCAACGTACTGACCAAAAAAAAAAAAAACAGTGGAAGGAGATACATTTTTAGATTTTTCCTTCTTTTACTTCAAACATATGGGTGATTTATGTATACCTCCATCTTTTTTCTTTCTTCATTTCTCTCACACCCCCCCCCCCTCCATGCCTAAAAGTTTACCTGATCTCTGGCTCAGGTTAAGGTGTATTCGATCCCCCGCCTCTATGCGAAATAGACCCACAAGTTGGGCTTTTTTGTGAATTAAATCACCAGCGGGTTGTAAGCGACACGTCCCAAATACTAGATCTTCAGCAATATTGCTACAACTGTCCCGGGTTTAGGCCACGAGGACGATCGTAAAAACAAAATCATCCGTTGGGATCACAAAATATTGGATGTAATGAGTGCGCGTGTAGATTTGGTGGTCCGCTGCATCCTAAGACGCCGTAATTACAGCGCCCTCTTTTGCCCTCTTTCGACGGAGAATATTAAGACTGGTTGAAATTGATTCGTATTTAATTATGAACATGAGCACTTGCAGTTATGACATCAACCTCATTCCAATCTTTTGTTTTCAGTCTGAATCTATCCATTTAGTGCTAGCCTTGTATGATTTTACTGCTGGGGAAGAAGGCGAACTCTCATTCAAAAAGGGAGACAGAATTGAGGTTATCAACGAAACTGACCCCAACTGGTGGACCGGCAAACTGGTGGCGACCGAATCGCAGGGCCTGTTTCCCAGCACATATACCAAAGAGATCACAGAATAAACGGTAGCAACACATGAGATCAGATTTCGGAGTAAAGAGTTCCATACAAGGACAATAATTGACACCCTATGCACAAACCCTTCGATACTGCTCTAAACAATTTGGTGTTTTCTTAGTAAATGCTTCGATGTTTCACTGCTAAATTCTACTTCTTAGGATATGTCATTGCTTTACATGGCTTGTATGTCTCTATAGGGAAAATAAGCGTTATTCGTGTATGGAACTCTTCCCATATCATTTTTGCGTTTCTATGTAAACTATATCATGCCTGTTTTCGTTTGGCCCAAATGGTTGAAATAAAATGAACTTCATTAGAAAACTTTGTAAGTTGGCCATTTTAGAGTGCCTCGCACGCTGTTACAAGTGTATGGAATAATTTAAATGTTAAAGGGATAGTTGAGTTCTGTTTTTCAGATCGCAAATGCCTTCAAAGTGCATGGTTATTGCTCCTTATTCTTATCTATGACATTTCTAGTGCCCTTTTAGCACCTAAAATTGCTAAGAAGGTAATTTTAGACCCAAAAATGTGTGAATTTTAGCCAATACGATCATACCAATTCGGCTCCACTTTCAAAGAAATATAGTGACCGTTAATTAATTATTTAATTAATAATAACAATACATGGACCGGCTGGTTCTGCGCAATATAATCAACACGAAAGAGCCATCAAAAAAGCCAACATCGGTATTGGCTGAAATAAAAGGCGCTATTTTGTTTTGTCAACGGCTGGTTGAAATTATCTAATATTTGTGGTGGTACACGAGTATTAAAAATCGTTATATTTATGGATATTTTAGCCATCTCTGAACTGATTTTGATCAAAGATGATTTTGTCATTTAAATTGTATGTTCTTTCAAATTTGACAGTCAGTTTTTCATTATCTCACAATTTGATTTTTTAGTGTAGCGCCCTCTGCAACAGAACTCAACTATCCCTTTAAGACCATCCGTTAATGTCGGTGATTAGACGTGATCTTCTTGATTTGATGTCTTGTGGGGGTACATTCCATTCCTTCAATCCCTTACTGCTAAAGGATTGAAGACCAACTGTAGTTGGAAGAAAAAAAGGAATATAAAGATTATTACTTTGACGGGTGTTATATTGGTGTAAATCGGAATTGAATATTAAAGATACTATGTCCCATTTGCAGGCCCCAAAAATGAAAAAGTTAAATTCCAACTGCATTTGAAAGATAATACTAATTTAGAACTTCCCTAAAAAAGGTGGGACTTGAAAATGTCTTCAAGTGGGAAAATAACGACTATTAGTTGTCAAATCGACTTTAGGGCTATAGAGCCCAAAAGTAATAGTCTTGATTTTCAGACAATTGTACCGAATGGTCATACGTTTTATACTGCGCAAAGATTCAATCAGTTTAATCTTGGCCATCACAAGAAGTGGATTATTGATGTAGACAAATGCTCATGTACCCTTTACAACTCTTTTCATGTATGTTATTACCAAAGAAGAAAAAAAGCCAGTCAGTCACTCAATAGTGACTGACAGTGAAGTCTAGCAAGTAAACGGGTTTCCTTGCATAATTTGAATACGAGGACACTGCTAACGTTTAAATTTCACAGATAGGACATACATGACATATTCATAATTCCTGCAAAGTTCTACAGCATTTGAGGTTGGCTGCAAAAGGGACATAGTACCTTTAAGTGCTAATCTTTAGACTGAGGAATTATGTTATTTAATGAAGAGTAGATATGAAATTAGTGTTTTAGAGTATTACCAAATGATAAATAGGTAATATTTCAACAACAAAAGAAAAATGGTGCAGATGATGAGCGAAAATCTGAATTTGTTATAATTAGAACAGCTTTCTTTTGAAATAGTTCAATCTTTGACCAATGAGTCTTATATGTACTTTCCTTATTTATACACAAACCTATGAACCAGGACCTGCATAATACAAGCTTTGCTTTTCAGTAGATCCCCCACTTTATTGATTGATTTATATGATTGTATTTTCTGTTATAACTATTATCATGTACATTATGTTTTCTATATTGTATGTTTAGTTATAATAATTACCATTGTTCATTATGTTCAATTATGTTATTTTTGATAAAGTGAAATAAATAAACTTGAAACTTGAAACTGCAGTATTTAATGTAAGATAAGATGAGAGTATTATTTTACATGAGCAAAATATTTGTAGGTAATATATATTTAAGCCTAGATATATTCCAACATTCTTTGATATTGTATTAAAAAGTTGAGATATATGTGCGTTCAGTTTAAATATTCATTACAATTTATACCAAGAAATTTAACATCACTTAGTCTTTTTATAGTTATGTTAACTTTATGTACATCATGTAAGTTATCAGGAATCCTCTTGTTTCTTGTTTTAAACATAACATAATTGTTTTTTTGAAATATTTAAGGATAATTTATTACATTGAAACAAACTATTTAACTTTTTTAACTCAATATTTATGGATTCAATAAAAATGATGTGTTATAGATTTATGAGGAATTACTGCAAAGGTATCATCAGCCAACAATGAAAATTTTATTATTTTATACTATTATTTGAGTTTATACTATCATTAATATTAACAAGGAACAGGAGGGGGCCTAACACTGATCCTTCCCAATCCTTCCCGATCTTCCCAATTTTTTTTTCTTTCCCTCTTTTCTTCAGCCCATCTCAAAACAAAAAACTACTTGCCATCATGTTCTTGCTCTTTTGTTTCAGCTATCTCAAGGATTTTGTGCGCTCCCTATTTCGTGCTCGATCTCTACAACTTTCCTTTTCTCTTACTCTCCTTCCCTCCAAACGCAGCCCGCATTTTTTTCCTTTTTACCCCCTTTCTTTCTTCTTCTTTTTTCTGTCCTTTCTTCGTCATGTAATTTGTTACGTCTTCTTGTTTACAGTCATTACGTATTTTAATAAATGTTCTCTGTTGGCCACTATTCTTCTTTCATCGATTATGTATTCAATATTTTGTTCACACTCATTATTATCTGAGGGGTCCACAATTTACAAGCTTTGCTTTTCAGTGGACCTCTCCATTTCCTCAAAATATAAATGCAATTAAATTTTAAGACTCATTTTTTTGTCTTCCTAAAATGTATAAATTATTATTAAGATTTGTTTATTACCAATGTAACTATGTTTTGAATACATTTTACATTGTATTCGTTATTATGTATTGTATTTTGTTGGAAATCAAAAAAATAAAAATGAAATTAAATGAAATAATCCTTGGGGTGGACCACAGCTATTTAACTGCGTAGATGATTTGACACCATCGATCACCACATATTGTATTCTAATAGTCAAATAATTTCCAAACCAGTTAAATGCATTGCCCTTTACACCATAAAAGTAAAGTTTCTGTAAAAGTGTGTGGTGATCAATGGTGTCATATGCCTTAGACAGGTCCATAAATATGCCTGCATTATACTTACCATGTTCATTATTCTCTAAAATATGTTGAAATAAATTTAAAACTGAAAGATCAGTAGAATGTGTTTTTTTTTAAAACCATATTGTTCACTTATCAAAATATTATGTAGTTGTAGAAATGGATAAAGTCTCTCATGAATAAGTTTTTCCAGTAACTTTGCAAAGATTGTTATTACTGCTAAAGGTCTGTAATTTGTAATTTCATTTGTATTACCTTTTTAAAATATAAGAATAATTTTAGATACTTTCAGTTTATGAGGTAATATAGGGACTGATTAAAGATATTAGTTAGTGGTTCTACAAAGAGATTAATACAGCTTTTTACAACACGGGATGTTATATCATGAGAGCCGCATAATGTTGATTGATTTAAAGTAGTGCATATTTTCAAAACTTCATAGACCGAAGTTGGATTAAGAAATATTAAATTTACCGGAGGTGCGTAATTGAGAAATGAACTGAATGAGCAGGGGACCGCACCATCAAATGTGAAACATTGTTTTCCATCTTATTTTGCGTAAGATTAAGCCTGCGTTTTCTGCACTAAGCGTTCTAATGTTATGTACAGATTGGTTTTTTTGAAACATATGTTCTCACACAAGGCACTTTGGCATCTGCTCACTAAGTCACGAATGAAACTTGTGCTGTAGACTTCTCTAACAAAAGATAGTCTTTACCTGCACAAAACGTGAGACCGAAGTAAGAATTGTACAAGTACAAAATCACATTACCAGTGGTTCCTAGGTGTTTTCAGGTGTCTCTAAAACATTATTGTCCAGATAAAGCAGTTGACTATTAGTGAAGTTTAACAGATAATTGCAACTCAAATGTCCAGATCGTTCTGATCGTATTCGCATCGCATTCGCGATCAATAGTATATTAGAATATAAACTTGAAATGTTTACACTCCAAATTTAGTGTTTCTAAAACTTTTGGTACATTTCAAGTCATATCAAGGAAAATGAGTGATTGCCATGCATGAAGTTCTTAACCGAAGTTATTTTCCTGCGTGGTTACATTGACGTCAGTGTTTAAATAAATAGGGTTTAGCCCCAGCGTAGTTCCTCAAATTATACTGTAAACACACAATTGTTCTTTTGGCTCCCACATCCTTTACGTCCTCAGTGCAGGATCTCAATGCACCGAAACAGTGATGAAATGCCTCCTTGGGATCGATGAAAGTGATCTTGCACTTGCCCTGGAGCTTGAGGGTCACGGTAATGCCCCCGTAACCGCAACCTACCACCGCCACATGCTTGTCCCAAAGCGCGGTGTCATGTCTTTGCGATCCATCCATTGCTGCAGTTTTTAGGTTTCTATTTTTACGGCTGAAAATTGTAAAAAAATAATGGACTTTTAGAGTGAGATTCATCAAAAAGACAAACCACAAACTTTGTCAAGAACTGTTTATCCACAATGTTCAACTCGGAAGCAATTTTTTTCAAAAGTATCTCCTGAAATGCCTTCTTCATCGTCGACAAAGGAGCGTCCTCTCTGGTTTTCAGTCGACAAAATAAAGTTTGATAAAATAGCGCCCTCACCTTTTTTCAGTTCATTAAACAGCGCCACCTAGTATCAAACAGTTAATAGTGCGCCCCCATCCCCTTTTTACGAACGTCAGTATTTAATCCTCAGATCGTCAATCCAAAGGCAAGTTACTCCAAAACGTAGAAGGCGGCGACAAACCCTACCGAAAGTGGGGGGGGGGGGGGGGGGGCAAAACGCATTTTTGCCCCCCCCCAAAAAAAAAAAAAAAAAAAAAAAAAAAAACGCGCCCCCCCCCCCTCCAAAAAAAGAAGCAGTAAAGGATACATATACATTGTTTGTAATTTAAACCCAAAAGAACATAACAATAATAAAAACCTGAATTAAATCACGTATACAATTCCATTCAAAAGGAAAGTTCACAGGAATTAAACCTATACTTATTATTATACCACCTATACGGTATTCAATGGAGGTCTTTATAATAGCGATAAAAATTATGCGCATATTGTGGACATATTGTGCGAGAATGGGAAAGCGTGTCTGTTTTTTTGTTATAGGAGTGAGAAGACATGAGCCCCTGAACGCTGGCGTAATGATGGGGGTGTATTTCTTATTCGATACCAGTGATTTACAAATGTTGCTGTTATGACATGATTTTCCGGTATTTTTTCTCCATTTTTTTTGTAAGTCATACCTTTTTTTGCGTTTGTTGGAAAATAAGAAATTCCAAAATTACAGTCGGGCGAACAATACGCTTATTTAGAAGCCTTTATGTCATGGTCTGCAAAGTGGCTGGGCTCGAGCCCCCCCCTCACTTTTTGAAAAAAAGTATGTTAAAGAGAAAAAGAAAGAAAGACGGAGAGAAAAAATAGGTGACCTGCCAATGTCACATATAAAGTATAAAAAATACTCATCTGACCGTAATTAAATACCCAAAACCCCTGAGCTTCCGGGGCTCTGCCCCCTGGCCCTCACCAAGGGCCCTAAGGCGGACCCCTGGATTCTCATCTGACCGTAATTAAAAACCTAAAACCCCTGAGCTTCCGGGGGCTTTGCCTCCTGGACCCCACCAAGGGCCCTAAGGCGGCCCCTGGATGCTCATCTGACCGTAGTTAGATAATAAAACCTCTGAGCTTCTGGGGGCTCCCCCTCCCCCTGGAACACGTCAATAACCTTAAAGAGGCCCCCTGGATGCTCATCTAACCATAATTAAATACCTAAAACCCCAGAGCTTCCGGGGGCTCGGCCCCTTGACCCCCTGCCGAGGCTCATACCCTGGACCCCACTCCAATTTACGCTCTACCTGATCGTTAATACTCCACTTTGAAAAACGTTCTGCGGGACCTGCATGGAACGTGTAAGACTGGTGGTGATGCAGATTTTTCGTCTGCCCCCCCCCCCTTCCGAATGTTTTTTCTCATTACATCACTGCCCCTGGAAGGTGAGCCCCCTGGAATGTTTGCCCCCCCCCCCCCATCCCAGTGCTTCCGGCGCGCCTGTTCAGAAGGACTACTTTTCGTCATAAAATGCATAATATATCCTTCTGGATTAGATACTAATAATCAATTTCAGTATAAAAAAACATTAAAAAACATGAGAAAATACCATAATTTCATTACGATACATTTGACATTACCTACGAACAGTTTATGTATAGATAATCAAGGTACCTACTTAGAGTAGGTATACCAGACCCACGTGACCATTAAAGTAATTAGGCTTTTGAGTCTAACCACTGACATCTATCAGTGGGTCTGACACGTATGCATAAATTATTAAACACACCCAAAATGCTGTAGGGTGTTCTTAAATGAACAATTAAGTGTTAAAAAGGTCAAAATGAGTTTGGTCACTACAATATAGCCATTGACCCGTGCCGCTGATGGGCAGTGATATATGTTACGCCCCCACACAAAAATCCAAGGAAAACCTTTTTTAAAGCTGAATAATCTTCCTGCTTGCATGGTTGGGCATAGCATGTATGGCTACCAAAGGGATACCTAGTGTGGAGTATATATGCAGCCAAAACTGACGTTTTCGCCATAAAGGCCGGTCAGGCACGTCGAAGTTTATAGGAGTCTATTTTGCCCGTTGTGGCTCGTATGCCAGATTTCGGTCTATTCCTTCAGTTTTGTCTTGTCATTTCAGTTTCCACAATGTGCGAGGCGGACGCACTGCGTGACTTTAACGGGACGAAAGATGACGAATTGCCTTTCAAGAAAGGCGACATGTTGAAAGTAAGTGACAGACCGTGATCTCTATAACATTTGGTACGATCGCCATATATTGTGGCTTGACAAAACTTTTTTCTCTTTGTTTTCAGTGTTTACCTCATTTCTTTGTTGTAGGTATACTTTTTTGTCATAACTGACTATTTCACACATATACAAAAACTAGCGGTTATTTGTTTAAATTAATCATACAAAGTGTGTGGGTACTTGTTGTGCTCATTTAACTCTTAACCTCGTTTCCCCTGATCACGCGTTTCCCTATAACAAACGAAGCGAAAGGGCAGTTTTCTTTCTCTTTTTCGCTCATAACTTGATAACCCCACGGTTGATTGTACGTTATCGAACCGTTAAAAAAGGTATAGTAGTTGTTTGCTTTTGTTATTTAAAAAAAAAACAATGTACTATTGTATTTGAACAAAATAACTTGCGCCGGTTTTCCTGAGGTAGCGCGCATTTTTCAACCCATCAGAATTGCTCATTTGAGTGCCGATTCGTATTAGTGTCGGATTCCACTGGGTCGAAAGGAATCGAATAGCTGAGATTTTCAACTACACTGTGATATAACACGTGTTTCGATTGGTTGAGAGAAACCACCGTACCTTTGAAGATGAAAAAGAGACCAATGATGATCATAGATCAATATTTTGTTCTTTAGCCGGAGTTCAAATTCAAAAGTCTTTGACAAACATACCATGCTCTATATTATAACCCATGACCATGCACATTGTGAACTTTTTACGGGGAAATTTGATCTCGAAGTAGTGTAAATTTGGAACCTAAACAATATGAAATTCAGGATGTGAGGGCCTCCATGACGTTACGTGACTTTGGGGCCTTACCATTTTTGCCAGGGGGGGGGGGGGGGGTAAGCGTGAATTCTTTGTGTTCTCTTAGAGCAAATTTCAAATTTAAATTTTCAGAAACCAACTTCTTATTGATTCAAATGTTTCTGTTTTCCATCTATACCTTATTATGTCGGTATGCTAGTTACTAATGAACGTCCCTCTTTGGCCACATAACACACACTATACCTGCAATTCATGACACTCCTTGTAGCTACTCGCCTCACCTACCATCCCAGTATAGGTTCTGGAGTGAGCTGCCAAAGGGATTACCCAACCAGGTACCAAGTACCAAATAACGCGTTAAGTTTTACCCTTTTCTATGAATGGAACATGCAACCCAGTCAATGGTCGAAAGCACAGCAACACGGGGTTAGGGTTAATCCGATTGACGATCCCAGCTAGTGAACGCCCAATAATTATGACGTAACCCTTATTAAGTCATCTTTCATTGTTTGATACCATGGTTACCATGGTTACCACAATGGTTGGTAATTTGGAACAAAAAAAAATGGTTACCATGGTTCTTTTTTATAAGGGAATCTTAAAGAGAATGTTGAGTTCTGGGAGAGGTGAAATTAATTTGTGAGCGTTTTTCATTGTTATCATGCAAGTGTGGAAGAACATCAGAGCAAAAAATGCTCCCTGAAAGCATATGGCTCTTCAAATGCCTTCATATTCTTTATATGACATGCAACAGCTTCAAAATGGGGACCACATTTTTATGTCACATATGTTTAATTGTGTAGTCCCATATACATCTTTCTGTGTACAGTGCTTGGTACTTTTACAAAGACTGGGCCGGCCAAATTTCTTATCATTTTGATGATTAAATAACCTTGCAGTACACACCAATACTTATATGCTACATGCTCAACTTGGTCTGGTCGAATCCACACCGTTTCTTTCACAATGCAATCGCATGACCAGAACTCAACTTTATCTTTAAGTGAACAAAACAGGGGTAAAAAAATTCACGTGTTTTGGTTTCTTTGTTGTACATGTAGATCTTAGATCGTTCCGAGCACAATCAGGACTGGTATAAGGCTGAGAGGTCTGGCAAGGAAGGCTTCATACCGGCGAAATACGTAAGAGTAGATAATGAGTGAGTACAAAGCCAAACAATAAGAGAATTGAAGGGGAGAAGATCAAAAAGACATATTGGTTAGCATTTAATGTTTAGACCCCATTAAAGAGGGGAAAAAAGCGAACCAACCTTAGAGGTATAGTTACGCCCCTATTTAGCTCTGGAAACACAAGTTTGAGTTTGATATGCACAAAAATTTGGTCACCATAAAACTTCTTCATTGATAAAAACAGAATTACCAACCAAATTTCCATGTGGTGTATACTGCTTGTTACTCGTATTCAGCTGTTGTCTGCTTATCGGGAAAACCACATGTAAATTTTGCTGATAACCTTTTTTTTAACACGCAAGGCCTTTATACGCTTAGCAAATTTTCGTCGCATTTATTCATTAATTCAAATAACAATTAATGGTGCCAGTAACTTTCTTTTTCAATTGCTCAATGAATTCTGTCATTAATTATCGTTGTCATTATTATTATCATTTTTCTAATAATGATTATTATTAATATTGTTATTATTATTATTATGATTATTATACTTTGATCAATGAAATCCTGTTCAGTGATTGGTCAACATAGCATCATGTGACCAAAAATAATATTGCTATGATGTTAGCAATAAGAAAAATGTGCTAAACCGTGACGTCATCCATGGGATAGTGCACTATACCATGGATTTTAAAATATTTATAAGGTATTTTATTTTCTCAATACCAGAGACAGTACATATTATAATTCAATGCAATTTATATCAAAATACAAATAAAAAGTATAATTCTTAATCAACATAAATTATTGCTAAACAGAACAACTCTTTCATACATTTCATTATTTGTTTAAAACAATAATAGTAATAATAATAATGATAAACTACTTAGTCATGTCATGTTTATTTTTTCTTTCAAAAACGTTGAAGTAAACTAAATAAATAATTAAATGCTTGTACATGAAATATCAAATAAATAAAAAATAAAAAATAAAACAAACACGAACAAAAAGCAAAGAAAGACCACAGGTATAGAGGGCTGGGAAGTTGCTTCTTTTAAGTTTATTTATATCACACAAAACCTTTCAAGGCCTCCCATTCCTTAAATTGAATTGAAAGAGTATTCCTTTCCATTGCAACTTTTTTCATCTTTCCTATTTTTAAGAAATATATCTTTTACTCCGATTACATTTTGAGGCTTTTCCTTCTCTCTGCTGTTAAAAATTATCAATTTAATCAAAATCAGAATGTAGTTAAGTAATTGCCCCATTTTCGTATAAATTACTCCCATTTATTCCAATATGAATTTCTGTCCAAAACTGTTTTTTTAAAATTGGTAAATTGAGTTTATTAGCACATTTTTCTCAGAATCTTTTTATTGTATTACATTAAAAAAAAACATGTTGATATGTTTCCTCCAAAATATTGCAATATGAACACAAATCGTTTGTACGAAATTTAAGTCTATGCAAACGATGGTTTGTATAAACTATTTTATGCAAAAGTTTAAACTGAAATACTCTCAGTTTAATGTTAAATGTGCACAACCCTGGTTGAACAAAAATCTTTTCCACTTCTTTAGTCGTAATATTATAAAGTTCCATTTCAAAGGGATAGTCGAGTTCTGTTGCAGAGGGCGCTACACAAAATATTTTTTTGTGAGATAACGAAAAACTGAGTGCCAAATTTGAAAGAACATACAATTTAAATGACAAAATCATCTTTGTTTGATCAAAATCAGTTCAAAGACGGTTGAAATATCCATAAATATAACCATTTCTAATACCTGTGTACCACCAGAAATATTAGATAATTTGAACCAGCCGTTGAAAAAACAAAATAGCGCCATATACGTTTTATTCCAGCTAATACCGATTTTCGGTATTCATGTTGGTTATAATACGCACCAACAACCGGCCCATGAATTGTTATAAATAATTAATTTAATTGATTACAATCACCATATTTTTTTGAAAGTAGAGCTAAATTCGTATGTTCGTATGGGCTAAATGTTACACATTTCGGGGTCTAAAATTACCTTCATGGCAATTTTAGGTACTAAAAGGGCACTAAAAATGTCATAAATAAGAATAAAAGCAATAACCATGCACTTTGAGGGCATTTGCGATCTGAAACAAGAACTCAACTATCCCTTTAAGTAATGAAATGCTGAGCTGATTTCTGCATTCTTCTTGATTTGACTTCTATACACCATCTTTGCAGTTATTTCTTCAAATTTAAAAACTTTCTTTGCAAATATTAATTTTAAACTAAGGCCACAGTGGTGGACTTTCTTGCAGGCTGAACATTCTGTTTCCATTCGTGAGGAATTATTGAATAGATTTTGTTAACTTTTGTAATTTTTTCCTTACTTAAACCAATGGCAATAAAATATGCATTTCGCTGCTTCCACCACGTAAATTTCTTTTAAATCTTGCTCAATATTTCTTTTTAATTCATTTGTTTTTGATATCTTCGTGGATTGCAAAATATATTCCTTATATTTTAACAGTATCGACTTGCTTCCAGAACGGAAATGTGTGAGTGGATAATTGTGAACCTAAGGGTAAAATAATTGTATTTTACTTGTGTAACTTTAATCCTGATATTTTATAAAAACATTCAAAAGTATGTTTCATTTCCTTAAATGAATTTGAATCTTTAACGAAAAGCGGTATATCGTCTGCGTTTCCTTTTATCTTATCATATGAGCGAAAATTTCAATACATAAAACAAATAAATATGGAGAGAAGGGATTTAGCTACCCTGCTCCTCTTTCAACCTTGAAATAGCCTGTTGATCCATTTATAACACAACTTTCTGCCTTAGTATTAACCCATTTATAAAACCTTGGTCCAAAATTAAATGTTTGTAAAACCTTATGTAAAAATAAAAGTGAAACAGAATCAAACTTATGCTTTTTCAAAATCAATGGCTATCAAAAAAGCGTGTTCTCTCTATTATTGGTATTGCCTCTCTAATGTTCCTATCCTCAACATATCCCAACTGATCGAAACCAACGATTTCAGGTAAAAATTCTTGTATTTTCTTTGAAAGTATAGACAGGATTTTATAATCTACGATTAGCAACGAAATAGGTCTGTAATTCTTAATAAGCTTCGGATCTTTGCCATCCTTCTGTATCAAGGTAATAACTGCTCGCCTTTGAGAGGCTGATAATTCCCCTTGTTGAAGAGCTTCATTAAAAGATGCAAGAACTAGATCTCCGAATAGTGCCCAAAATTTCTGACAACATTCTACACTTAAATCGTCATTTCCTGGAGATTTGTTAAGTTTCATATCTTTTAGTATTTCTATACATTCCCTTTCTACGATCGTTTCCTCACACGAATCTTGTGTTATATTATTCAATTTAGGCAGGTTATTGAGAAAGATGTCCAAAGTATCATCTTGTTTAGAATCTATTTTGCTATATAGCTGCCTATAGAATCATTTTATTCCTTCAATAATTTCTTTTTCGTTAGAAGTGCTATTTCCATTTCCATTTAATTTCTTTATTATACTCTTTTTTTCCTATTCGATTCCATAAACTGTTTGAAGAATGTTGTATTCTTTTCTCCACATTCATACCATAATAATAATAATAATAATAATAATAATAATATTTAATTTTTATATAGCGCTTAATACAAATGTCTCTAAGCGCTTTACAAATATACTATTACCCCGGTCATTGGATTCAGTGCTTGCCCGCACACGCTGTGTGAACAATCTCCACTCCCTGGGGAGCATTCCAGCCGGGCGTTACCATGAGGATCGTTACTAAATTTTCTTTGCTTCTTTAATACGTGTCAAAAATAATCTAAATTCGTGTCTCTAATAACATTGGAGTCACCCCAAGTGCTACTGGATTTCCTTCTATATTATTCCTATATAACTTATTGACTTAAATCACTTAAGCATTGAATTTGGTCTCCTTCACCGGTTATTTCCAGTTTCCAACATGTATTTCTTAAATTTGTTTTAAATGCTTATAATTGATTTGTAATGTTTTGTTGGAAACATGAATAATTTGAATTTGAATTTTAATGGTATATTTTTTCATTATCCTTATCATTATTTGTTCACGTTTGTCGATAGTGATATTTCGTATTGATTAAGTTACATTTATTTGATTTAAATTGTATATTGTACAGTGTTAAATTGACAATTCCAAACTGATTGTAAACTTCTCCAATACCCCCAATGTGGGTGACATAGGAAGAAATTGGCATTACCATTGTCATTTTCATTTTCCGTCCACGGCAACCTCGTCCCCAGGGTTTACTTTATTTCCAACCTCGTTTCCAAAAGTAAGCCCTGGCATTGGAACTTGCTTCCTGTATTCTGATTCGATACAGAAATTAGCAAGATAGTGATGAATTTATGACGTGTATTTGGTGTTCATATTTCCAACGTGTATTAGGCCTGCGTGTTTTCACGTTCATTTTGATTATTAAGGCCCCATTCTCTCTCCAAAAAAATGCTTTCCTTTCCAATTTACTCTTATGAATATGAAATTCCATATTTGCTTGATAAGATGGTAACAATATATAATTTGAAGAAAAAAATGTGTTTGCGTATAAACTCACGCTGCAATGAGTTGATTTGGTTTTCACCTCAGACACCACATACATAAACATGCTGATGTATTTACAGCAAGGCACCAGGCTATTCCTAATTTGCATACGTGTGCAAGATCTTGACACATTCAAATGATCAAATACCAGGTTGAGAGAGCAGGTATAGTGGTATGAGCGTACTGCTCGACATCATGGGAACGAGGTTGAGTCCACGGGGCTAACACAAAATATAAAAAAGCGCCATCTCTTGTTCGTGCTGGGAGCTCATAAAGCAGTTCCATACTCCTGGGACAAATTGTGCGAAATACTACTTACCCCCTTCCAAACTTTTTTTGTTTAAAGTTACATGGCGCTAAATGTTAGTCGACTTGAGGCAGAAGAACTACTCATGAAGAATGGCGGGGACGGCACATTTCTCATCAGGTTTAGTGAAACCACTCGGGGGGACTTCACTTTATCCGTCAAGTGAGTTGTAACAATAACAAAAACTTGATACATGTACATGTAGAAGTACAAATCACTTAAAGTTGCTCAATGTTATGTAGTAAACGGGAGTCCGCCCCCCCCCCCCCACTCAGTGTTATTTAGGGTACGCATATGCTTGTTCCCTCTATTTGAAAGCACCCCCTATCTGAGGACTGTCAACATTTCCGAACCCCCCTTTCGCGGGCTTTTCGCGGGCTTTTCCTGTCTTGGAGACCTCCTAAATTCGGAAAAATGCTCAATGTACCTCCCTAAATTCGGAATAATTTCTCAGGAGTCCAAAGAGATGAGAGAGAAAAAAAAACCTTTTTAAAGAAATCTCCGGGTGAAAAGTCAAATACACCCCCTTTTTTTTTTACAATTCTCGGGCCGGAGTTTGTCGCACGAAAAGTACCCCTTTACCGGACATTTTGGTAACACGCACGCGGTCATTCCAACCCCGGAGGTGGGGGGGGGGGGGGGGGGGGCGGGACGGGAGTATAATCGCCAAGTTGCCACGAGGGTTTTTCTCAGGCCGGACTCCCCATTTTTCCTCCATCCGCAAAAATCAAACACTTTCGATCTCTGGCCATAGGTCATACAGCCTTTTCACACAGGGGTAAAATTCTTCGTATCTAGAGCCGATGTGAACGTCGTTTATTCGATGTTCGGACAAATACGAACAGCCTTTTCACACACGGATAAAATTTTTCAAAGCTGATTAGTTTAAAGGACTTTAAACTAATCAGCTTTACATACGACATCATTCACACACACAAATTTCGGCGTGATCGTTTCGTGATTAACTGCTCTTAAAATGCGCAGTAGTGCCATTGCGCATTGAATGTCAGGTCATATCAAACAAAGCGCGCGCTCCATCGAGTTTTAACACGTATAACCGTTCACACACAAAATGGCAAGCTCTCTAGATACGGACTTCCTATCTGCAGCCTTCTTTGAGCGGCGTATGAATCGCGTCTTCGTATCTGTCCGATCATCGTACAAACGACGTTCACACAGGGAATTTTTTTCTTTAAAGCCGTTTAAAACTGTTGAGTTAAACAGCTTTAAACTAATCAGCTCTAATTAGATACGATGAATTTTAGCCGTGTGTGAAAAGCTGGAAGTCGCGGTTTTATATACGCCGTTCAAAGCAGACTGCAGATACTCTAGAGAGCAAGACGTTTTGTGTGTGTGAACGGATATACGTCCTTAACTAGACCGGGCACTGCTTCTTAAACGCTCAGTAGGACCATTGCGCATTTACGAGCAATGAGTCACTGCTCGTAAATGCACAATGGCCGTTAAAGAGCAGTGAATCTCGAACCACCGCACCGAAATTTTCTGTGTGTGAATGATGTTGTATCTAAAGCTGATTGGTTTAAAGCTCTTTAAACTAATCAGCTCTAAAGAATTTTACCCCTGTGTGAAAAGGAGGATTAGCTGCCAAAGGTGCCTTATTAAAGCTTGACATGCCTACGACTCGACAACGTAGGTAGCTGCGTCCGAGTCGTTCTTAGCTGGATAATTAGCCCTTAAATGATGTGGGAGAACAGCTTTTCTTAACACAAAAAACCTGGGGGTGTTTCACAAAGACTTAGATCGACTTTTGGACTTAACTATGGCAGGCCATTCATACCACTGGTTGCTCTTACCATTAGTCTCTCAATTATGATCTTTAGATAATATTTTTTCCTTCAATAATGAACTATCAAGAAAGGTACATTCTGTAGATTTGTGACTGCGATTTGTGCGTCCCTTGAGAGATAAATGCCAGTAAATGGTGAGAGCAAACAGTGGCATGAACTGCCTGCCATAGTAAAGTCCAACTTAAAGTCAATATTAGTCTTTGTGAAACACACCAACATGAGTCTTAACCAGTTCGCAAATACAAAACAAAAAATTGGACATTTTGCCTAATCAATTTCGGTCCATTCTTATACTTGTTCATACAGGTTTGGAGGTGGTGTGCAGCATTTCAAGGTCCAGAGAGACGGGGCTGGCAAGTACTACCTCTGGGTCGTCAAATTCAATTCTCTGAATCAATTGGTAGAATACCACCGAGCCGAATCCGTGAGCCGCTCCCAAACTATATTTCTCAACGGCTTACCGGTATAAATACCAATTTTTATAATAACATTCGAACTCGCCGTTAATATAGAGGTCCTTGGGACTGTGTAGATTACCTAGATTATAACAGGAACTTTGTATTATCAGGAATGGAAACAATGAAGAACAAGCACCAAGCAACATTTCCTTGTTTTAAAGTAGATATTCATTGATTTTAAATCTAGCTTTATTTTCATTATTGCAAAGTTGAAACTTTGATTCGACAAGGTTATCAAAATTCAATGCTTGGAAACATTCGAAGTAATGATTATTATAAATTACAAAACGCTTAAATACAGCCCCGGCGTAGCACCTGAATAGCTCTCCGAACGCTGCTGAGATGTGTGAGATCACAGCAGGGACATGATTTGCACAAGCAGACGATGTACCATGACATCTCACACATTTTCAGTGCCTGTATTTTCATCTTCTCTTGAGTTCTTTATCTTACTTCACTACCGCCAGGCTAAATGTATAATCTATTGCCTCACTCTAAACCCCGCGCATGGTTTTATTTTGATGACAAATGCATCGATACAAAAATAAAGGAATCTGTCGCTTGTAAACAAAATAAGACGCCATTGTATATTCAGCTGCAGACACCGCGGTATGTTCGGCGTTTTAAGAGGGAACAAATGCCGTCCTTAATATCAATCCGGGGGCTTTTCAATTTGAAAGGCTGGTTTCTTTGATTGTTAATTAACCCCTATCCTGTGTATTTACAAGCATAAGATTTTAGTTATCAGAATCGGGTCATGTCCCCTTTTGATCGGTTTGACGTGCCAGTACATTTATATACACTAAACTCATTATAATTTGACAAATAATAGCTTTGCAATTATGTTCATTCTTTATGGGATGTCGTCTGCTTGGGCAGTATTGGTCCCTGTTGTGACGTCATTAAAACATCGTTATTTTTCTGGCGAATCTCTCGTATATCCCAGCTGCTATGGAGGTGGTTGTATTTTTATTTTTATAAATCACCCGATATGTAGCTGACCTCAAACTTGTACGATGGCCATCTGTTAGCTTACCAGCTTCTAGTGATACATTAGTTGACATATTTGTGATTTTCTTTGAATTACACCTTTAAGGCTAAGTCCACTCCCAAAATATCTTTTTTTTTTCTTCTTCAAATAGATGAAATTAAAAAAATTAATACCATTTTCGGAATATTGTATATTCTTCATTCATATAGCTCCGTTTAGTCTCATTTGACAACGCCCCCTATCGTCAGAGTCCAGCAGGCAGCAGCCTATAAACATGTTAGCCTATGGACTTTTACCCCCCAAAATCGTTAAAAATTCATTTTTTTGTTTAAACGAAAAGCACATCAACCCCGACGTACATTATCACTAGCTCTTTCATTGGAACCCTCATGTCCCATTGACTTTTGAAAGTTTACCCACCGTAATTTGGTCAAAATAGATCGCCAGCTCGCCATTGCCTATATAACACATGTGCAGCAAGTCGGACTTTGGACGAAATTTGCCACTCGATTGTAAGGTTATAAGTCAAGCACACGAAGGATAACAAGCATGAATTATCATAGATCAGTTCTGATTTGTTCATTATGTCCATTTCAGCCAACCGTATTTTTTCCATTTAGTATAGGTAAGCATTTTGCCGAGGTAAGCAAAAAAATGAATATTCATGAATACCATGGACTAAACGATTATTAACAGAGGGATGCAATTGTGCACCACATCAAACTCCCCTACTTTCAGTCAAGTATTTCATTGTATTATATAGTTTGGTAGGTTTATTTTACTATCTGTTTAATTATCAGATATCAATGATAGTTTAAAGATATGGAAAAGGTTCTTGTATTTTATATTAAGCAAAGCAATCTCACATACAAAATCACTATCAAGTGTCGTCTGATCCGCCGATTGCCGTCTGCTATATTCGTTCAAGGCACATTTATCTGTGGACTGTGATGTTGACAGTTTACTCGTCATTGTAGACTTATGATTAGCCATCTGTCATGTATTAGTCTTTAATTGTTGACACACATACAATTACCACACACATGAACACTCTCACTTCCCCTCCCCAACACACCATTTCCGCACACCCGGTTCACACATCATACCCAATGGCATAGGGTGTATATGCCATTGGGTATGATGTGTGAACCGGGTGTATACACCCTGCAACATAGTGGAATATTCTAGTTTGGTAGTGACCGCAAACTAGCTACGTTTGTGCTGGCGAAAATGAGACAACCAGGACAATTTGATTAATTTCCATACAAGTATTTTATTAAAAATAAAAACAAATTACTACTTATTGGTGCATTCACACGAAAACACATTAGTATCAATATAACTTGTATGCTAGTGTGAGAAATTAAGATGTTTAGGGTTAAAAATCGAAAATTTATATTATCAATATTAAAAGAAGACATAGCGAGGCAATGACGTCTAAGACTTATGAGTGAGTTGCCGATTTGTCTTGTTTTTATATCATTAAAAATTGATAACTTTCTTATTAGTTATCCGATTTGGCTCACACGTATTTGGGACTTGTAACTTACAACTCGCTGGTGATTTTGTTTCGATTTTGTTCGCAAAAAAGCCCAACTTGGACAAGTTATTGTTGAAGTTGACTTGCCCTTTTAGTAAAATGTTTGCTCTTGTTATATCTAGGTTCGACTGTATTTTCTCTTCGCAGTTCTAGATGAGACTGAGTTTTATTTCTTGGTGGCCCCTCACCCTCTATAATGCTTCCGTATCTGTATATAAATCCCGTTTACTAATGCAGTTTAGCAAAGCCTTTTCCCCCTCTCCTCTCTTTTTTCGCCCCCTCCCCACCCATGTCTAAAAGTTTGCCCGATATCTGGCACAGGTCGATGTGTATTCCCCGCCTCTATGCGAAATAGACCCACAGGTTGGGCTTTTTTGTGAACAAAATCAGCAGAGTTGTAAATTACAAGTCCCAAGTACTCAGTGGCGTACGCAGGATTTTTTCAAGGGGGGGGGGGGGGTTAACATTTTGAAATCGAGCCGAAAATTTCGCAACGACTCAGCCAGCCGCTGAATAAGCGGGGGGGGGGGGGTAAGAGCCGCTTTTTTTATAATTAAAAAAGAAAAAGAAAAAAAAAGGGGGTTTTAGGGTTGTTTTCCTTAAAAATGCACACATAAAAAATACCAAAGGGGGTATTAACCCCCCCCCCCCCCTGCGTACGCGCCTGCAAGTACTTGATCTCTAGCTATATTGCTACGATCTGTCACATGGTAAAGGCCGCGAGGACGATCATAAAAATCATCCATTGGGATCACAAAATATTATATGAGCTCGCGCGTAGATTTGGTTGTCCGCTGCACCCCAAGACGCCGTAATAAGGGAGTTTACAGATACAATCTGCGCATGGGCAGATAATGGTCATTTGTACCAAAAAGGTAAAACCCACCAGAGATGAATACTGGATATGCGCTCATGAAAGTTGTGTAACATTATTCATTTATGCACCAACGGTACATTTTAAGATACGCAGGTGGAAGTATTCTTTTCAAGAGGGCAAACAAAAGGTATTCAGAAGCACATTTAGGACTTTGGCAGTTATTATTTTAAGATGCTCAAAGTGGAACTTCTCCATGTGTACAAGATCTGTGGATATTTGGGGTCATTTGTACCATGTGCTATCTGTAAACTCCCTTATTACAGCGCCCAAATTCGACGGAGAATATTAAGACCGGCTGGAATTGGTTGGTAAAATATATATATGTACATGTCTGAGCACTTGCAGTTACGACTTCAAATTAATTCCATTCTTGTGTTCTCAGGTCAAGCCTGCTCTTTTCCATGTAGCCTTGTATGATTATACTGCTGAGGAAGAACTCGAACTTTCATTCAAAAAGGGCGACAAGATTAAGGTTTTCAACAACAGTGACTCCGACTGGTGGAGCGGCGTGCTAGTCGCGACTGGAGTGGCGGGCCAGTTCCCGGTCAATTACACCAAAGAGAGCACAGAATAAACGGTATCAACACATACGATCAGATTTCGGTGAAAGAGTTCCAAACAAGGACAACACTTGAAACCCTATGCGTAAACCCTACGATACTGCTCTGAATAATTTGGTGTAAATCCTTCGATGTTTCGTTGCTAAATTCATTTTTTTAAAATTTATTTATTTATTTATTTATTTGGGGGGGGGGGGGGGCTTTCCATGGCCTGTAGGTCTCTATAGGGAAAAATAAGCGTTCTCCGTGTATGGATCTCTTCCCATTTCGGTTTTTTGTTTATATGTAAACTTTAACATGCTCGTTTTTGTTTGGCCCACATGGTTGAAATAAAATGTACTTCATTAGAAAACTTTATAATACACAGCGCGTGCTCCGTGTATGTATGGCGTTGTTCTAGCGCGCTCCGCGCATGTCCTTTTTGGCGTTTACATTCATACGTCGAGCTCCGCGCACATTTTTGAGCATGCTAACAAAAATCCTGACGCACACAGCGAATGACGTCGAATGCATAGCGTTGGTCCAGCGCGCTCGACGAACGAGTAACGAATGATAACGCACACCTAGCGAACGACAACGCACTAGCCAAAATTGCAAATTTTCGATGCGCGGACCGTGCGTCCTCTGTACGTCTCCTCTGTGCGACCGCTCCATTACGGAGGTGAAAACTAAATAAAGACCTAAATGTACAACTTATGTGTATTGGATGTTCATAGGTTCTGTACTTTCCAGATTGATTAATTCTCCCATAACAGAACCGACATGGAAATGAGCATTTAAAGGGATAGTTGAGTTCTGTTTTCAGACCGCAAATGCCTTCAAAGTGCATGGTTATTGCTCTTATTCTTATCTATGACCTTTATAGTGCCCTTTTAGAACCTAAAATTGCTATGAAGGTAATTTTAGAAAATATGTAGATTTTAGCCAATACGATCATACCAATTCAGCTCCACTTAAAAAAAAAACACACGCTGAACTTTAATTAATCATTTAATTAAAAATAACAATACATGAGCCGGCTACTTGTGGGTAGAATAAGCAACACGAAAATGCATACAAAAAAGCCAACATCGGCATTGGCTGAAATACGACGTAAAACGACGTAAAAGACGTTATTTCGTGTTTTTTTTCAACGGTTTTTTTTCAAATTTTTCAAAATATCTTACATTATTTTGTGGTGGTACACAAGTATTAGAAATCTATATATATCAGCCGTCTCTGAACCGATTTTGATCAAATATGATTTTGTCATTTAAATATTATGTTCTTTCAAATTTGACACTCAGTTTTTCATTATCTCACAAAAAAATATTTTGTGTAGCGCCCTCTGAAACAGAACTCAACTATCCCTTTAATTCCTTTGGACGAGCTATTGCTCATACTTGTGGCCGAATAAATACCTGTAGCTGTAACATAGAAACAGACATAATTCAGGTATCCTGGCATAGACTCACTATCAAGTAAAGCGATCATATCTGGAGTCTTGTTTTATGGATCATCCCATGATGGTTCTCTGACCAATATATTAAAATAAACAGTATAGGAAATACAAACATATATTATAATCTCATATGTGACTATCAATATAATTCATTTATTTATTCTTCCTTCTTCATTTTGGGCAGTCACATAAGTGTGTACGGATAACAAAATTCATGATGAAAAGAGCAGTGGAGCTACGCTCTGCTGTAACGTAGACTCTAGGTAGTATTAAAATAGATGTCAAGCATACATCCATATTTGTGTAGCTTATATTTAGCTAGCACGAGATGCATGAATAATTTGATGGCAATTGTTTGTAAATAGTTTTTAATTAAATCATTAATACATGCCCTACCTATACTAAACATACTAAGTAACTTTTTGAAGGTAATACAAAGTTTTGGGAAATTTTGAAAATTGGGTGGATAATGATTCTTTACAATTTTGATATTATTGGATACATATGTGGATGTATTATAAGCACTAGAAAATTTAGCCCTTAAAACACTTCAGCTTTCGAATTGAATATAAAATTTACCGGTGCTCCCGGTAATTTTTGATGACTTTCAAATAGTGCCTACGGCCGTACAATGGTAGCTGCGCCCATGAAAATCTCAGAATATGTAGTTGTGATATATAATTTCCAAACGGGAAAAGCTAATCGGTCGATTTCAGTCAAGAAACATTTGTTTTATAACTTAATTAATATATTGACCTTGAGAGGGAGCTATACAACATAAAGAGTTTATTATTTACAATTTCATAACTTTAGACTCGATTTCAACCGCGACAATGATCACTGATTATTATCGGTCCGCGTGTGCTTCCTATATTTGTTCATTTGAACCGAATTTATAATACCAAAACTTTGTATTACCGTTTATACAAGTAAACAGACATAAGAAAGTTATTAATTTGTCCTAAATGACGACGTAACTTTTACGAACTAAGATAAGACTAAGTGTTACGTTTGGAAGTTTGTTCTTATGTAATGTCCAATCAGACAGTTAGGGACGTGTTTAGGATTTTTTATACCGTCCTAATGCTTAGTTGGGTACCATGAGAGAATATGCTTGAACATGTAATAAATATGCTTTTTGTTACATAGAATAATGGATAGTAGAGGCCTTGCTCGCAAATTGCACCAGCGTCGTGAGTGGGGGGCTTGTATGTGCAGATTATGGAGGTTAAGAAGGCCCGTCGAGGGGTTGATAGTTCGCTGTATTACAGGAGAATGTTATGTCTTGTATTTATATCAAAGGCATCGTTTAACAATGTTAAATCTGAGATACACGGCCCTACGCGTTATCAGTGTCTGTGATATGGTGTAATATTGAAGCCCTAAAAAAATCGCGCGTCAAAATGATCAAGAAGTGCCTCAGAAAGTAAAAATCTTTGAGTGACCGGTTTTACCATACTCCTTTTCCCCAATAGACTGTAGAGTTATGAAAACCTTTAGGAAAACGCAAAATTTGGTTTCGATTTCCAATCATAAATATCTTAATAATCAGATAAGCGATCGGCGTGTAAAAGTCATGGAGTTTCTGGCTGACCTAAAGGTTTGTAATTATCATCGCAGCATGAGCTCAATCCAGGATTTTGTTTCAGAATCTGAGACAAAGTTACCGGATCCCTTTGCTTCATTACAAATCATTTTTGAAGGAATGAATATTTAAATTATAAAGATGTTTTTTTATTTTTTGTTTTTATTTCAGATGCCTAAAAGGGAAGCCAAAACTGTTAACGGTAGAAGGAGCTTAGAGAAAAGACAACAACAACAAGAAAACTTAAAGCTTATTTTTACTAGTTTATATGAGGGATTAGAGCACCCTGCTAGGTCACTGGACAGGTGGTTAACTCATCAACTCAACTCTCAATTAACATAAGAAAAAGAGGATCATGGGGGACCAATGGTCACCGATTAGGCATGGTTTTCTATATAGAGTTAGCAGCTACAAGTAGGACAGCGTGGCTTTAAGACAATAGTCAAGAGAAAGACAAAGTTACTCTCCTGCTCGAAAAGATTTTAGAATAGAAAGAAAAAAACAGACTGAATATCAAAAATATATCATCTATCATAGAAATTATCTTTAAAAAAAATAAAAAAATAAAAAAAACTACTTTCGTTAGCTCATTAACTCTATTTACACCCCATCCCATAGGTTTTCCACGGGTCCTGCTAGTATGACTTTTATTCTGGGTTGGTAACTTGCAGGGACATGTTATTACCTTCTGCAGGCAGTAAGATTTCTCACACGAGTCCTAGACGCCAAAAAAGCTCCTTTGGTTTTTAGAATCATTGTGGATAAGTAGTTGACATTTTAAAGAATGAATGAACTTTCCGAATAAGAACACAACTCTACAGAGTATGAAATGTAAAATTATAGTTATTAGAATGGAGATTAAATACCCCCCCCCCCCCCTTTTTTTTTAAACGTAAATTACAAGGTTACTATTAAGTAAGTCTAAGCACAAATTACAAGGTTATTATTAAGTAAGTCTAAGCGGAACCAATCGTGACAAATGCAGGTGTTTAACAGGGAACTCTCAGATATCATTTAGCAGACGACCCCATAATCCCGAACCCATTACCATTTCAAATCAACCAATCCCAGAGTGCGTCCATGTAAAATTGCTAGGCGTTACCATCCAGAATGACCTGAAATGGAACAAGCATGTCTGCGACGTTGTTTCAAGGTCAAGTAAAAAGCTGTACATGCTCAGAACCCTCAAAAAGTTTGGACTTCCCGTAGAAGATTTACTTACCGTGTTCCAGTCAATACATCAGACCCATTACCGAATACTGCACCCCAGTTTGGCATTCTTCCCTGACCTTAGCGGACTCCAACCAAATAGAAAGTATACAGAAAAGGGCTCTACGCATCATTCTAGGCAGAGAGTACCAAACGTATGAGAATGCACTAATAACTACAAAACTTACCACTTTGTCGGAAAGACGTGTCCAACTGTGTGTCAAGTTTGCCAAATCACTTGAGAAAAACTTTCCCCAATGGTTGCCCCCAAAGCAGTCTGAACTCCGTGCACTACGTTTCAGTGACCAGTACAGGCCTGTGAAATGTAGAACAGAGCGCTATCGGAAAATTGCTCTCCCATTTCTTGTGAGACTTTTAAACCAGAAATGATCCTTGATTATCACAAACTTGTTTTTACCCTATTTATGAATCTGGCTTAGATTAGATTAATAGTATAATTTACATTTGTACATATTAAATTTCACTCTATGACTGTATATTAAACATTTATTATATTTTCAATAGAAACGCCGAACATTCTTCTACACTCATTTTATTTAGTGTTGTTTAAGTTTAAGAATACCCTTTTTAATTAATTAATTATTTGATACAACCCAAGCATACTTTATTGACCACTTGCCAGTCTACTTCTTATAATTCAGAACTTATAGCTATTTAATCACTTGTGAATTTGTATTGATTTTTCATGTTTGTTCCATTTGATTATACCTTTACTTGTATATTTAATAGAAAACTCATACTTCTAGACTCCTTTAATTAAACTGAATGAAAAATAATCATTTTTTATCTTTTTTACCATCAGATACCACTCAAGTCACTTTACACAAAGCTTTAAATTTTGATGAAAGTGGATAATAATATTTATATTTAAATTTTAAATTCCAAAATTGTTTTTGTCTGTAAGCAATATTTTTATAATGTTAGCATTATACATGTATAGTTACTTTCATTTGCATTTAATATTCATTTTTACAATATTATGTATGATTCCTTTTAATTTGTATGATGTTTTTAATGTTTTGAATTTGTAAATTCATTTGTAATTTAGCCTTTGGCTACAATGAGTGGATAAAATACCTTGAATTGAATTGAATTGAAAGCGTGTGTGTATTGGGTTTTTTACAGACGTGTATCGATCAGATATGATTATTTACGTCTGGGGACCGACCTTCAAACGTTTCGAACCTGCGTCCTCGGCTGAATCAGTTTGTAACTTCCACTTTTAGCTGGATTACAGACGCACGCCACAACGCCTATATTACAAGGTTATTGTTAAGTAACTCTAAGCACATATTACAAGGTTATTATTAAGTAACTCTAAGCACATATTACAAGGTTATTATTAAGTAACTCTAAGCACATATTACAAGGTTATTATTAAGTAACTATAAGCACATATTACAAGGTTATTATTAAGTAACTCTAAGCACATATTACAAGGTTATTATTAAGTAGCTCTAAGCACATATTACAAGGTTATTGTTAAATAACTCTAAGCACATATTACAAGGTTATTATTAAGTAACTCTAAGCACATATTACAAGGTTATTATTAAGTAACTCTAAGCGTATATTACAAGGTTATCATTAAGTATCTCTAAGCGTATATTACAAAGGCTACTAGTTAAGAATCGCGAACTTAAGATATAAGTAACATGTATTAGTAATTAAAACTTTTAAGTAAACTAATATTGAAATTAACTTATAATTGTTAATAAATATGCACATTAAGGTTTACAGAAATGTTCAAGAGTTTTTTTTAACCTAATATCATTTTGTGAAATTCAAATTTCTTCCGTCGTACGATCCACACTGTGAGAGATTGTGAATTAAAGAATGATGAGCAGGTACCATAACTATAGTGCCTGGATTACATTTGGCCTGCGATTAGTCCACGGAGCCCATATCCCCTTTTTCGTACGGAGGCAGGAGGCGGCCGTGAGATTTTCGTACGGATTCACAGTTTTGTTTCGCGGGAAGTTAAACAAAATAATGTGAAAAATCGTTAGCCTGTAGCCCGTAGACATTATGTCGTAGGTGGCACTGCACAATCCCCGCACACAGTGCCATTGATTAGGAGAGTTTGGCCAACCCGGTTCGAGTTGGGCACAATATGGCGACTACTGCTTTGTTGGGCAAGCACACAACAAAAGAATATACACCATGATGTGACACAGTGAAACCAAGTTGGCCAAACTCTGTGAATAGATGGCTCTGCCCGCACGGGCATCCCGCGGAGGCCTCGCGCTGACCGTAGAACGCATGTTTTTTCAGTGAACATGGAGGCAAAAAAGGACACTTTTTTTTTTTTTTTGGTCCCCCCCAAAAATCGCAAAGACTCAGTCAGCCGCTGAAAAAGCGGGGGGGGGGGATAAGAGGAAATTTTTGTTTTGATATTGATCTCGTTCGGGGAGGGGGTAAGGTCTCCGTTTTTAGGTTAGTCATTGCCATAATTTTTTTAATTTTTTTTTTTTAAAGAAAAAAAACGCAAGGGGGGGGGATGCTCAAAAATACACACATAACAAATACTGAAGGGGGGTTCAACCCCCCTCCTGCGTACGCGCCTGATACAGTGTATGCATGTCTTATGAAACTGTATTTCAAGTTGATACAATTCTGAAGACATTGTCCATATACCAAAAATCTGAATTTCTTTCAGCCTAATGAATTCGTCATTTGTAAAGTCACGATCTTGTAACTTAGAACCCTACTACAATAGAAAACAAACCAAACATCCATTACACAGACATGATCTACATTGTGTTTATCCTTGTTTGTGGAAAAACATATGAATAGTATATGCCTAGCTAGGCCAGGCGCGGATCCAGAGGGCGAAAGGCCCTTGCCTTCCCCCAGCAAGCAAAAAAAGAGAGAAGGTAGGAAAGGGAAAGAAAAATGGAAAAGATAAGATAAAGGGAAGGAAAGGAAGAAGAGAAGAAAAGAAGGCGGATATCAGTTGTGATCGAGGGCCTAAAAGGCCTTTGCTTCTCCCCCCCCCCTCCCCCATAAGAAGGGAAAGTGAAAGAGGAGAGCTAGAAGGGAACTGAAAGAGGAAGAAGAAAAGAAAAGGATGGAAAGAAGGGGAGGTCAGTTGCGATTAAGCCCGCCAACAACGTGTAGGCCTATATCGGGGGACAAAATGGCGCTTCCCCCCACCCAGCAAACTTACAAGAGAGAGAAGGAAGGGAAGGTAAAGAGAAGAGGAAGAAGACAAGTGGGGGAGATCAGTTGCGATTAAGCCCGCCAATATAGTGTGGATCGGAGGGCCGAAAGGCCCTTGCCCCCCCCCCCCCCCTCGGCAAATAGCTAGTGAGTGAGAGGAGAAAAAGAAAAGGAGGAAAATAAGGACAGATCATGCCAGTTGCGATTTGTATTGCTTCTTCTATCATCATTGAACGAATGTATTTGAATATTTATTCCTTTATTTATTTATTAATATTTGATCACAATAATATAAATATTAACTCATTACAGCAAGTAAACCCCTGAGCTTGCAGGGGCTCAGCCCCTTGGATTCCACGCCAATTAGTGACCTGCCAGTGGCATAAATAAGGTGTAAAAATATGCTCATTTACCCGTAATTAAATGCCCATACGCCCTGAACTTCTGGGGGCTCCGCCCCTTGACCCCCGCCGTGTCTAGACCCCACGCCAATTTACGCTACGCTCTTCCTGATCGTAAAAACTTTAGCTCCCCTCCCCCCACCCACTTTGAAAAACGTTCAGCAGGGCTTGCATGTAAGGGTGGTGGTGATGCGGATTTTTTTCTTCTGACCCCCCCCCCCCCCCAAGGATTACGCCACTACTTTATTGGTTACCATTACGTACCGAAATTCGGCTTGCATGATTTCAAATTTGCCCCCCCCCCCTAAGAAGTCCTGGATCCGCACCTGAACTAGGCTCCCATGCCAATTTGAGTCCTTTATCAAGCTAAATCCGACAGCTTCAGGGACCCCCCTAGTCCCCTTACACGTTTACAATTCCCCCCCCCCCCCAATGTAGGCCCACAGATGTAAACAAATTGCACACCCAATGCAGCCACGTATGCAGTGGCGTACGCAGGATTTTTTCAAGGGGGGGGGGGGTTAAAATCGGGCCCAACATTTCGCAAAGACTCAGGAAAATTTGAAAATCGCGCCGGCCAAAAAGTCGCTCAGTGGGGGGGGGGGGGGGGGTGGGGGGGGAGGGGGGGAGGGGGGAGGTGAGAGGACATTTTTTGTTTTCTGGTCTCGAAATTTGAAAATTTGACATTTAGTTCCGTTGGGGGGGGGGGGCGGGTAAGGTCATCCTTTTTTAGGTCAGCCATTGGCATAATAAAAGGGGGGAGGGGGGGTTCACAAAAATCATACACAAAACAAACACATACAAAAAATAACTCAAGGGGGGGGGGTTAACCCCAAACACCCCCCCCCCCCCCCCCCCCCCCTGCGTACGCGCCTGCACGTATGTAACAAATAAAATCGCCTTCAAACGTTAAAAACATATCTCTACAAATAACCAAAAAAAAAATCCATGTTAACCTCAAAATGTAAAAACTAATTGTTTACAAAATGTACCTTCAGGATCAGTTATTATCAGATGTATGTGTGTACGTGCGTGTATGGGTGAGAGAGAGAGAGAAAGAGAGAGAGAGAGAGAGAGAGAGAGAGAGAGAGAGAGAGAGATTGTTTTGTGTAAAACAGAAGGATGCGTACATTTGTATTGACATTTCTTTCTTTATAATTTATACACCACATTAAAACTCAACATCATCTTCTTCGTCGACAGTATTATGGATTTTTACTTCAATGTAACATGTCATCCTCTGACATTTCTGCCATGCTCCAAAACAAATTGAAGGTTGGAATAGTTCATGTGTAATATCACACTGCCATGAACCTCCAAACCCTCTCTAAACAGACTAATTACTTGGCCATTCAGGTGTGTCGTCAGTTTGGTATCAGTCGCAACGTTGCGACTAGGGTATGACAACAGACCAGTTTGCAATGCAAAAGCATTAAAGCATATCTGCACTAGTTTGGCCAGGGGGGATTACACCTCCCTGCATGGTCACACACAGGTGGTTATCTCATCAAATCAACTCTCAATTAACATACGAAAAAGAGGATAATGGGGGACCAAATCCGACCAACGAGTACCGCTTAGGTTATATAGAGGGCGCAAGTAGCTACACGTAGTGCAGTCCTGCTCATGCATAAATCATGGACTGATACGTGTGACGTCAATTCAAGGCAGTGCATTAAAAGGACGTCGATCGTAGCAATCCACGTTGTCGTTGTGCAAATTTAAAAGTCCCTATTGTTAAGGCCAACAACAACATAAATCATTTGGTTGTCCTCGATTGCTTTTCTGGAGTAGTGGCGGATTTTTTTATTTTTTTATTTTTTTTTAATTTCATTTTTGGGGGTCTTTTTTTATTGTTTTTAAATTTATCCCATTAAAAAATATATATATATATATATATATATATTTTTTCCATAAAAAAACAAAAAATCATTGGGAGATCAAACATTTAAACTAACGAAGTCAATAAAACACTTTAATATTTAGTTTAATGTACAATGTGTATCAAGACCAACACAGAAAGTATTCTTGGCTTTGAAATACAGCACCTTTTAAATCCCCACTGTACTACTTATAGCTACTTGCGCCCTCTATGTAGCAAACAATGCCTAATCGGTGAAAATTGGTCCCAGGGATTGGTCCCCATGATCCTTTTTATATAATGTTAACTGAGAGCTGATTTGATGAGATAACCACCTGTCCAGTGACCTTGCAGGGTGGTCTAATTCCTCCTGTAAACTAGTACAGATGTGCTTTAAAGCTCAGAACCTGATTTGAATGAACAGCATTTTAATTGACTTAGAAAAATAAACATGGCAAGTTTAATAAATATAGAATTGCATACTGAAAAGACCAAACTGGCAACGGGACGGATTGTGATCCTTGCAAAATGCATATAATGGTACGTTTGGCTTTTAAGATTGCTCCCCCCCCCCCCCCAAAAAAAAAAAAAATAAATAAAAAAAAAATAAATAAATAAATAAATAAATAAATAAATAAAATTAAAAAAAAAAATATATATATATATATTTATATATATATATATTTAAAAATACAAAAATACGAGCGGCCTGAAAATGACGAGCGGGCGGTCGAGGACAACCAAATGCTTTTTCTTCTTTTGCCCAAGTGCCTCAATACAAATATTTCATTCACTTGAAATGAATAATTGTATTTCAATAGTCTGAAATATGAAAATCACATATAGTACATGTTGTTAGATAGGAATAATTGTATTTCAATAGTCTGAAATATGAAAATCACATATAGTACATGTTGTTAGATAGGAAAAGCCATAGCGTCTGTCCTACCGAGCGATAATTAGTGTATGCAATTTGCATTCTGACTACTCAGTAATGAAATACAATTATTTGTAACGGGTTAATGAAATAATTCGTAACGAGGCACTTAAACAAACTCATAGCCTCTCTAAATTGTTGGGAACCTCAACATTTTGATGGCAAAATTTCACTTTAATTGTATAGTGAAGTGAATAAGGATGTCATTTAACACCGACTTCTTCAAGGGTTCTCAAAATAAATAGGTTTGACGGTGAATATTGATGAAAGAAAACAAAATTTAGGTTTTCTGCCTTTCGACACAAAACCTAAATTTTGAATTCTTTCATCAATATTTGGTGTCAGGCAGCGCATTTGTTTTGAAAATCCTTGCAGAAGGGTTTTTAGATGACAAACCTCCCCAAACCTCTTTCATATCATTGTAAAATTGAATTGAAATTTTGCCATAACTTTTTTTGTTTAGAATTTGGGGGTCCCAACGTTTTTAGAGGGGCTTTAAATTTAACTCCATTGCAAAAATGGTCTATTGTTAGAACAAGGAGCAGGTTGAGATGATACAGCAAATGTTTTAGTTTTGAAATCATGTACACACATTTGAGACTCGGCATGTTTTTAAATTTTCCATTGGTTTTTATTAAGAGTATTATACCATGATATACCTTACAGTATCTCTGAAATAAGTAAAATATATACAGATGCCATAAATGCCTGGTTTTTCTCTAAAGCTCTGCATAATTATGACACAGGGGTATAGTAGACATAGTAACTTACATACATAGAGTAATGGGCCCTGTGACATGAAAACAGAAAATGTATTGCAAGTTAAAGGAAATCAACTGTATGTCCAAAATTAATAACTCCTTCATGCAACTGTACCGCAGACTAACTTGAAACAGATTTTTTTTTTTTAATAGAACCCTGGTTATTTATTATTTAAAAGGTTTACATCATACCATTGATATCAAAATCAAGGGTACCGCAATAATGTACATGTATGGCATGGAGACTTTGATCAATGCTACAACTTATAAAAGGAACAAAAAATGGAACCATTCTAAAATCTTTGGACTTATCCAAGTCTACATAATGAAACCTTGCTTCCTGCTCTTGAGAATTTTAAAATTTTAAGATTTCCAAAGAAATCAATAAATCTAATATCATCAGAAGAAAAAAAAATCTGCTCCTAAATGTCATCAGAAGAAAAAAAAATCTGCTCCTAAATGTCATCAGAAGAAAAAAAAATCTGCTCCTAAATGACAGTAAATGACTACCAAGACTAGGGGGAAATATTTCCTTTCTCAAAATAAAATTACAAATCGTTCCCAAGGCTCTGGGGCATATTATTTGCACACAAATCCTTCTTTTATATAATATTTGTTGAATTTCAAAGTAAACTTCACTTTAAAAAAAAAACAAGACTGAAGAGTGATCTATAAATGTCAGGAATGTCACGACTGACCAAATACAGCTGCCTCATAGACGACTGCCGGTGCTTTAAACATACAAACATGAGCATTATCTAACAATCATTGTACTGAATTTGCACTAATATTCCAAAGAAACTAATGACAGATATCAAAGTTGGGGGAGATCAAACACAGACAATGATGAAGGCCTTCTTTAATACAGCCCTATATTTTGATAACTCCAGACAGTTTTGGTGTGAGGTAGAATCTATAGACGGACCTAAACACCTAGATTCCTTAAATTCCACATCTATCAAAAAGAAGGACACAGCCTTGGATATAGAGGATTAAGTGTAGATTATTCTAGATCTTAGTTTACCAACAATTGGTGGTGAAAATGTTGGTGGGATTATAAACTCATCAATATTAAAGGGATCCGGTTACACTGTCTTTGATCCTTTAAAAAAATCCTTGATTTAGCTCATGCTGCAATGATAATTATAAACTTTTAGGCCAGTCAGGAACCCCATGACTTTTACAAGCCGATTGACTGTCCGATTATCAAAATATTTATGATTGGAAATTGAAATCAAATTTTGCGTTTACCAAACGGTTATCATAACACTACAGTCTATTGGGGAAAACAAGTATGGTAAAACCGGTCACTCAAAGGTTTTTACTTTTTTGAGGCACTTCTTGATCATCTTGAAGCGCAATTTTTTTTAGGGCTTCAATATAACACCATATCACAGACACTGATAACACGTAGGGCCGTGCATCTGAGATTTAACATTGTTAAACGATCCCTTTAACAATAAAGTGATAAGTATTCTGTTGTAATTCTGACAAGAAATAGGTAGTTCAAGTGTACATTTCTCTCCTTGGGGAACATGTGCTCTACTACATGCTAAAATGTGATAAATCACCACACACAGTATAAAACATGCAATTAGAGTTCTCAATGAAATAATTTGTCCTCTATCTGTGTTCAAAGAACACTTGTACAATGAACATACCATGTTCTTGAATATAGATTTTTCAGAGAGGCATGACACATGTTTATAATCTTGTCTACAAAAAAAAAAAAAAAAATGTGTAGAAAAATAGTGTCATTTACTTTACAAATCATCATATGCACATTTGAGCAGTTCCGTCAAAATTATAGAATCAGAACGTTATGACTGGGTAAGAAACTTGGCAGCATCTCCCATCATCATTATAGATCATACCATGAACCATCACAACAGGTATGTGTAAACTCCCAATGATATAGAATTACAATAGGCACACCTTTCTCCTCAGATATATGCATGGGCACTAAACAGCGAATGCAATATGCATTTTAAACGAGTTTTACCTAATGAGCAGAAAAAAGAGAAAAAACTAGATGGAACTTCGACTGCACGCAGTCGAAAATGATGCCTCTGCCATAGAGCGATTTCACAAACCAAAACAGAACCAATTTTTCAAATTCAAGTTTAATTGTAATCCATTTATAACAGGACCTCAGAATATCGCAATATCAAGCTATTTTTCATATATATGTATGACCCTTTTATCTTTGACCTCATGACCCCCAAAATCTAATCAGTTCATTGGCTCAGCAAGATACATACATGTCCTGCATTTGGCAGGAATCCATCAATCAGTTCTTGAGATAACGCGATCACGAGCTATTTTTGCATACATAATGAGCACTGTGACCTTTGACCTTGTGAACCCAAAATCTAATTAATTCATTAGCTCTGCAAGATACATACATGTCCTAAGTTTGGCAGGAATCCATGGTTCTTGAGATAACGCGATCACGAGAACCGTACGTACGTACGTACGGACGGACGGACAACCCGAAAACATAATGCCTCCGGCTACTTCGTAACGGAGGCATAAAAATGTGGTTAACATTATTAATTTCTGGCATTCCTAACGGGCCAGGAGCATGACAACATGATGGACACGAACTCTTTATAATGCTATTTTACCCCCCCCCCCCCCCAAAAAAAGGAAGAAAAGAAAATGGTAGTTTGACAACAAAGAGAAGCACCTATATATCATGGCAACCATAATCTCTCTTAATTTTGTAATGTTATACCTCAAAGCCATTACCCCCCTTCCATTCCTTTCCATTACTTACTTTATTTTCCTCACCTTAAATAAAAATACAGTTAATGTTTGCCTAATAAAGCAGATCACTGCCAGTAAAGATCACATATAAAAGCTACCAACTCCTCGTTTGTTCAAATGTAAGTAATTCAGAGTCAATCTTATGTACATATCGTATCATCGAAGAGAAGAAGAAAAAATTATACAAGCATCTTGTTCAAGAAACTAGTGACAACTACACATATTTACACTGGTATGGCAACATTGCATGAAGAGGATATACATGGTATACAAGAACAGCTTATTCAAATGATAAATGGCGGACAAGCACTTATATATTGGGAAATTGCAAATGATTTAGCAAGCAGTCCTCATAAATCAAGGCCCTTAGTTGCCTCATACTGGGAGCATGAAAGGGTTTTATTGCCGTTTGGTCTACTACCCTATTCGTCTCTTCCCATATGGTCTACACCCAGTCCGTTTACTGTCTGCGTGGTCTAATAATGATTTTGTCTACTTATCATTTGGTCTAATTACCATTTTGGCTAATAGTCATTTGGTCTAATCTCCAATAAGTCTACTATCAATGACTACATGATCAATAGACCAAATTGGTAGCAGACTAATTAGATATTAGACCGTATGGAAATTGGGCCAAATGACTATAAGCCTAAAAGGTCATTAATGATAAGTTGACAAAATGAAAATGAGACCAAGTGGAAAGTAAAGGGGCTGGGTGTAGACTATATGGGAATAGACTAATTGAGTAGTAGACCAAACGCCACAAACGCCAATTCACCCATAAAAGTTGGTATGTGTTGGGGAAAGCAAGGGTAACCTATATAATTGCTATCAATTTTGACGCCTTTGAAGCTTACATTATGTATGTCTTGAAACTGTAATTTCAGACTTTTTTTGCACATTCTTTTTATTCAAGAAAAACAGATTTTTTAATTTAATTTTTTTAAACAGAGAATAACTTTAGCATATCATAATTAAAAGGATTAAATAGAGCTCTATTCTTAAAAGAAAAGAGAAGTAAATAACAGATTTGAGAGCACACTGATTAGACAATGAAATGTACACAAAATTCAAATAGGATATTCACATGAAGTATGAATTCTTATAATCTTGTTTCAAAAGCTGAATTTAAAGAAGAATGTATGAAAAGAATGTGTCATCTTAGCTAAAAAATAATATACGATGTGAGAAAGTGTACACTTGATTATCACTTCACAAATTGTTTAAAATAGGTTTCATTTTGAGGCAACTTCGAAAGGAAATGTATGATTTCATTGATTTGACGTGGGCAGTGGATTGAGACTCTCAGACTGTGACTGCTTCTGCTTGGATGGGTGGAGCTGAGTCGACAGGTCTGGTGGTCTTTTGGATGAACTCTGGTTGTTTCCTACCCTGGACGACCTCTGCATCCACGATGACCTCCTCGATGTCGGACCCTGGGATCTCAAACATTGACTCTAGCAGGATGATCTCCTGTTAAATAAAACGATAGCTAGACAGTTTAAATTCGCAAAAACGATAATATTAATGTAAAACTTTTGGTTGGCACTATTTATTATGAAAATCAATCCACAAGATAAAAGCAAAATAAACAAACCCTAAAACAAATTATTAATGAGTATCATATCTGCCTGTAAAACCTTTCCAATTAAAGATAGAAAAGTTGTCAACTCAGATTTGATACTTTTAACGATGTCGTAGTTCTCAACTATACTAGGCTCTGTTTCATAAAACTTTTTATCAAAAAAAGATACAATAATTGTTATAAGCTACTGAAATCCTTACATTTGACTGGATATGAGCAAAATTGTCATATATTTGTGGCAGAATAACAAGTTTTATACAACAGGGCCTGTTTGTGATGTGAGAGACAGAGAGAGAGAGAGAAGAAAAAGGGGGGGGGGGGGGGGGGGGAGAGACATGGCTTACCATGATAGACCGGAGACCTCGGGCACCAGTCTTCCTCTCCAAGGCTAACTGGGCGACAGCTTTCAAGGCATCATCAGTAATCGTTAGCTGACACTGTGGGGAAGAAAGCGTTTACTGAATTAATAACAGTAATAGTCACATTTGTACAGAGCTCAATAATATGTTGTTAAGCACTTCAGATTGTAATTATCTTTACCCCAGTCACGGGATTCAACTGCTAATCCGCACATGAGAGTGCACACGCTCCGCTCCCTGAGGAGTCTTATGGCAAGGCGTCATTTCACATGCGTAAACATGCCAATATAACCACATTAGTTGAGAGTGGCAAATATAGATTACTGTTTTGCTTGTTTTCCGAACGCTGCTGAGATGTGTGGGATCACAGTATGGACATGATTTGCACAAGCAGACGATGTCCCATGACATCTCACACATTTTCAGTGCCTGTGTTTTCATCTTCTCTTGAGTTATTTCTCTTACTTCACTACCGTCAGGCTAAATGTATAATCTATTGCCTCACTCTAAACCCGGCGCATGGTTTTATTTTGATGAAAAATGCAGCGATACAAAAATAAAGGAATCTGTCGCTTGTAAACAAAATAAGACGCCATTGTATATTGAGCTGCACACACCACCGTATGTTTGGCGTTTCAAGAGGGAACAAATGCCGTCCTTAATATCGTTCCGGGGGTTTTTAAATTTGAAAGTCTGGTTTCTTTGATTGTTTATTAACCCTTATCCTGTGTATTTACAAGCAAAAGATTTTAGTTATCAGATTCGGGTCATATCCCCTTTTGAATGGTTTGACATGCCATTACACTTATATACACTAAACTCATTATAATTTGATAAATAATAGCTTTGCAATTATGTTCATTTTTTATGGGATGTCGTCTGCTTGGGCAGTATTGGTCCATATAGTGACGTCATTAAGACATCGTTATTTTTCCGGCGAATCTCTCGTATATCCCAGCTGCTATGGAGGTGGTTGTATTTGTATTTTTATAAATCACCTGATATGTAGTTGACCTAAAACTTGTATGATGGCCATCTGTTAGCTTACTAGTTTCTAGTGATACATTAGTTGACATATTTGTGATTTTCTTTGAATTTCACCTTTAACAAAAATCGGAACAACCCTCACTATACCTCTCTGGTACCCAAAGACATGCAAGCATACCTATAATAATAAAACATAGTTATTTTTCTACATAAATTAGGAAAAAGCCTCTCTTTAAATGCAATTCTGCTATTAGCAAAATCTTTCACCCAGTAATTTTATCTTTAACGGCACTGATAAATAAATGGGTATTTTACCGAGTCCATCTTGAAGAGAGCTTCAAACTGAGGTATGATGGCATTGCGTGGCTCTGTCAGGATACGCTGTAACATCTCTTCATCCAGCGAGCCCAGGCTGACAAAGATCGGGAAACGACCCACAAACTCGGGGATCATACCAAACTCAATCATGTCCCTGGACTCCACCAGTCGCAGCATAGCGTCCTTCTCCTCATTGTCTTCCTTGGCACTGGAGCCTTCCGATTGGTTGGTTTGGTCGGCGATGGAGGCGGCGCGGCGGCCTTGACTCTCGTTGGCTGGAGCTCCAAAGCCCAGGTACTGCATTCAGAGGAATCGTTTACAAACTTGTGAAATTATTCACAAGGTCATCTAGAAAACAAAGCTTTGAATGCACTTTTAACCATGCCAATACATAATGAATCTTGGTGGATAACACGTTCTCAACAGACTTGACACCCAGACATCGGAGGGACTATAGTCAGTGTGTCAAAAGATCTCATATGCCATTTGCTTGTGACTCGAAATGTGCTGTGTACAGTGTATTATATGAAAAAAATTAATTTAGTTGATATCATAATAAAGTGGTTAAAGGACCCCATCCTTACACACACTGAGAAATGTTGTCTTCTTCAATCTTTCTTCATATTTCTCTTTTATTTTCAAGCTGAAGGGAGTAGGGATGAGATGTCTCACCTTCTGTTGCTTTCTCCTACTGATTATCCTGTCCAGTCCATTGAAGGCACCCGAAGCAACAAAGAGGATGTTAGTGGTGTCCACAGGGACACTCTCTCCTCTGAGCTTCCTAGAGCTTCTCTCAGGAACGTTGACCACGGTTCCTTCCAGGAGCTTCAGTAGACCCTGCTGAACACCTTCTCCTCCTACATCGCGTAGCTGATGGATCCCGGGGACAGCTCCGATCTTATCCACCTCATCAAGGAAGATTATACCTACGGAATAAGTTCAGAGCAAGGGTATGAATAATGCGCAACCTGTATTACAAACTCGCAGAGCTCCACACAGGGACAGTGACAATAGTGAGAATTGACTGGCAAGTATTAAAGCCTGTCTGCACTAGTTTGGCCAGATGGGATTAGACCTCCCTGCAAAGTTACTGACAGGTGGTTATCCCATCAAATCAGCTCTCAATTAACATAAGAAAAAGGGGATCATAGGGGACCAACAGGCACCGATAAGGCATTAGTTGCTATACAGAGGGCGCAAGTAGCTATAAGTAGTGCAGTGGGGCTTTAAAGGTGAGACCTACAGTAACAAAAACTATGCACAACCAAAAATATACAAAACACAATGGTATTGATAAATCACAAAACAAAAATATTTTAAAGTCCTCATGATATGAAACTACCTATTAACCGTACAGCAAAGTCACAATCTCACTACGTGTGGTCATGAGTGCATCTGCCTCAAAAACTATCCAATCTTACCTACATGTAGCTGGTCCTATACTCCAGGTTTAATTCAATGCAATTTCCTAGTTTATCTTGGGATTTCTGTTTTTACTACTCAGTGAAGAAAGTATTCTCATCAATAACTTCACATGTGTGGAAACAGCACAACAGCTATGAGCCTTCAACATACATGTACATTTAACATGTACATGTATACTTCTACAGAATCGATGGCCATAAAGATGTTTCTACCATAATTAGATAGATAGATAGATAGATAAATGGTATTTATTGATTCATTTCCATTGTATGTAGATGAATGTCACACCACGGATAGGCAAATCAGTCACACACGAACGACGTTCACACATCCATGCAGTATAGTACATGTGTAACAGCCCAGTGTAAAATGGCTTTACTTGCATGTACTGTGTACACATCCGTTGAATCAAAATTTAGAAAAACAGTTTCCAGTATCTAATATATAAATACATGTACATCACCTCAAAAATGTCATGCAGTGTCACAAGTACATAAGATGACAGTTGATCAACAATAAAACAGCATACACTCAGATTATCAGTAAAACACGGTAAAATTCAGAGCAAAAACAGAGACGGCTGCCTGCTAGGCGCATTCAGTCAGCTTATACTTGTTTCTATTTCAGGAAAAGTAATAGTAGAATCCTCTACAAATCAGGGCCTTTCCTTATAAACAGTTGCAACTAATTGCTTATTTGCGATTGATATCAATTGCAACTACCTTATGTACATATTAGATAGGAGACTGCAAACTTGTGATTAGAGGACTTGCAACTTTTAAAGTACCCTACGATTGATTTGGATCAATTAAAACTCTTTAGAAAACGGGCCCAGAGGGGTGTTTCACAAAGCCTTTTGTCATAACAAATGAAAAAAATCAGTGACAAATCTGCTGATAACAAATTAGAAGCAAGGATTTTAGTAGCTTATAACAATAACGGTCAACTGATGACAAGTTTTGTGAAACGGGTCCCAGGAGAAGTTAGATTCTTACCCTGTTGTGCCTTCTCTACATTGAAGTTGGCATCAGCGAGCAGCTTGGCTATAACAGACTCGATGTCCTCTCCTACGTACCCGGCCTGGGTTAGGGTGGTACAGTCACAGATGGCAAAGGGTACATCTAGACATGTGGCTATCGTCTGGGCTAATAAGGTTTTCCCTGTCAGAATAGAAGATCAGGCTTATTTATTGATCACCCATCGAAAGGGAGAAAGAGCATCTGAAGACAAAAATGCTTTACTACCGGTATTTCACATGACACACATTCAATAATGTTTATCTATATTTACTGGGTGCAAGTCAAAATTTCTTTACAAATTGAAAGTTCTCCCAGCAAGCCCAACAATTAAAGTTGGCATATTGTCCTGATGGTGGCTGATGAAAATAAAAGGGCAATCCAACCTTTGTAAAAAACTATTTGCATTAAAGCGAAAAATAAAATAAATTTGAAATAAATCAGACAAAAAAAAGGAAAATTATATCTAATGTATGAAATATGAGAAACATAATGGCTTGCCCTACCTAACAACACGTAATGTAGGCAATTCGCGTTCTGACTATTAAAATACAATTTTTTGTAACAGGTGAATGAAATCATTTGTAACGAGGCACTTAACACAGATTTGTGCATTATATTTAATTACATTCCGAAATGGTCAATTAGGAGAGTTGCGGTATGTCTCCACAATCATTAGGACTGTGCCATGAACAAGTGATGGCCTGGTGGGCTCTCTCTCTATGTGCCATATCGTTTGACTTTGGCGATCATGCTGTTCCACAACCCTCAGCTCCTAGCCTTCTGTATTAGTACCACTCCTCTCTCTTCCAACAATTTCTGCAGACTGTCCATCCAAAGTATCCTCCTTCTTCCCTACTCCTTCTTCCCACAATTTGCACTGTCAAAGCAAGATTCTCTAGGCCTTCTTTATGTGCATTGTGACCCATGAACTTCAACTGCCTAATCAACATCTCACATATCATTTTCCTTTGCACTCCAGCTCGTGTAAGAACTTCCAAATAACTAACTTTGTCAGTCCAGGGGATTTTCATAGTTCTTCTTAAAACCACATTTCGCAACTTTCCAAACGCTTTTTAGTATCAGAGGCTAAAGTCCACGTTTCACTACCATACATAAGTACTGGGTAGATGTAACAATTCAATACTCTTATTCTGGTCCTCATACTCATAGGACTGGTGGAAGAGTCACCAAAAAAAAAAAGAAGAAAACATTTGAATAAGCTTTGCTGGTGATCTTACCTGATCCAGTTGGTCCGAGCATGAGGATATTACTCTTGTCCAGCTTCAGGTCAAAGACGTTAGCATAAAGAAGTTCACTACCCCTATGCTGATGGTCAGTTTCTGTAGGTCCTTGAGCCCCTTGCTGACCAGATGAAGCCCCTAGGGCATTGCCTTGATTACTGATGCCAGCGAGTTGTAAGAGTTCTGGAAATTAGATGCATACCATATGAGATTTGTAAAAAGAATGTGGCAATATTAAAGGCCCACTGCACTACTCGTAGCTACTTGCGCCCTCTATATAACAAACAATGCCTAATCGGTGACCATTGGTCCCCCATGATCCTCTTTTTCTTATGTTAACTGAGAGCTGAGTTGATGAGATAACCACTTGTCCAGTGACCTTGCAGGGCACTTTAATCCCTCCTGTAAACTATGGCAGATAAGCTTTAAATTCTTCCTTGTCATTTACATGTACACAACTAATTTCAAACCTTTAATTTTGAAAGTGGAAAAATTTGGCACTGTATTGCACTCTCGCATGAACTAATCAACGTTTAGGGAGTAAATAAAGTGCTTCTCACAGTGTATTCAATGTTCAAAGCTTCTTCAAAACAGCACATTTCCAAAGCTTTTGTAATATACAGTGTACATTTATATACTGTAAACTTTTTCTCACTTTCACCTACATGTAAATTCATTTCATAACATGGTCATATGTTTGTGTGCACAAACAGTACATGTAGCCAATAATTAAACTAATGACAATCACAATATTTGAGTTTGCATTATCTTTCATAATTTGGAAGGTTTCCTGACCTAATGGATACATGTACAGTGTACATGTAACCATGGTTAGCTGTTGAGTCCCACCGTGGCACTAATGTCCTTGTCAAGACATTGATCTACATGTACATGTACATTTGCTGGTCTCCACCCAGGTATTAAATGAGGAAGGAAAAATGTCAATGTGATTGGATTGGCATGTGTACTAAAACATCGCCTGGCCGGATTACTCCCTAGGGAGCAGAGAGTGTGTGCACTGTCATGTGCAGATTAGCAATTGAATCCAATGACCGAGGTAATAATTAACACAATGTACATGTAAAGTCCTCCAAAAGGTAGTAAATGTGACTAGACCCTATTGTTATGATGGCATGTTTTCTTGACCTGACACTCATATCAGGTCAACAGACCTGGACAGTGTAAATACTGACCCAACACACAAAGGTGTAGCCTACAATATTGTCAGAGAGAGTCCAAAGTACAATGAGCTCACGTAACAGCTGAGGTCATCATAATACATGTGTGTAGTTACTAACAAAAATATTCTGCAAAACAGTAAAAAGGGGATGTTATACTGTTCCAAAGTACACAGAAGTAATTTTGTGTATGACACATGTTCATGTACATGTCCTTTGAAAAATCTGAGTCTGTTTTTCTGGCTGCATGGATTGAATTCATAACATGTACATGCAGAATATCTAAACATGAATTTTATTCATGGAGGCCTACAGGTGTACATGTACAGGTGTCAGATGTACATTTACATTGTATATACATGTATACGGGATCCTCAGTACATCATGTGATCAACATACATGATTGCTGGACTTTATCATGTAAATCTTCACACATGTTCACAATCAAACTCCCTTAAATACATGTACATGTTATGGGAAGATTTCACTTATCGTGTGTTCAGAATGGTAAACATGTAAATCAACATGTACATACGTGTACTTCATATTGCCAAGCCCAAAAAATTAGTTCTTCTACATGTATGGAGACCTACAAACACTGTACATGTACATGCAGGCCTACATCAGGCCTCTAAAATAACAGGCGCCTGGGATGCATGTCATGGGCACGCAAAATATACAATACATGTACTGTACAGTAAGTCCTGACACCCAAACTAATTATTTTTGAAGTTTTTACATAGGACCTGTACAGTATACAGAGTCATACAGACTGTACAAAGTGCAATCTGGACCCTCTTCCAGACGTTCTACAAAAAGTTAGTGTGAAGCCCTGCCAACAGCCTACAGTACAGTACATGAACATGTTGTTGGTGTGTCATTAATCTAGGTCAGCACAAAGATGATACAGACTTCTATTTTGAGTGATATTGCTGAACAGTATACATGTACATGTACATGCACAGGCCTAGAACTGGATTGACAAAGTCATCTTGTCTGTGAATGGAAGTCCACTTCCAGGTTTGTTTACATGTAGTTGACATGAGCTTCAAATAGAATGAATTTTCTGTTTTTCTACTTCAAAATTCAACATCACTTCATTTATTTCTACTTATTGTTAAATTTGTGTAGCTGAAAAGCTATGAATATCTGTGATGCTCATTGAAAGAAGAAACAGTAGGCCTGTCTTCACTATCTTAAGATTGCCAAATATCCAGCTATTTGAACTATCCCGATCGCAAACTATCCAGCTAATTTGCGTCTTCATCAGAAGTAGCAATTAGAAGGATATTTGGTCAGGATTGTCATCCCAAGATATCTTGGGATAGTTTGCAAAATATTCCACTATTTGGCAAAATATCCAGCTATTTGTCCCGTGCGTCTTCACTAGACTGAAGATTCGCAATACGCGCTAACGCTGAGCAAAATATATCGAGCTAGTTTCTCAAGGTCGAGTTTCAAGTTTCGAGGTCGAATCTCGAGATAGTGAAGACGCGACTTGTTACTTCGGGATTATTTCCCAAATCAGAAATAGCGGGCTATTTGGCAATCTCAAGATGATGAAGACGCGCCTAGTGATTTGTTTTGGTGTTGTTTATCCCAGTCCTTGACAAGAACACAATCAAACAACAAATATACGCATAAATGTGACCTTTTAATTAAAAAGGGAAACATTGCGGCTTCTAAAAGCAAGTCATCTGACACTCACCCCTGGGAGTAAAGTTTCCACTTTGACCTTTGCCCTCCACGTCACCTCCATTCTTCTGAGCTGGTGCTGGGATGTTGTTGTAGATTCTCTTGTAATGGTTGTATACAGCTACAGATAACACCTTCTTGGCTTGGGACTGGCCAACAACAAACTTGTCTAAGTAATCATAAATCTGGACAGTAGTGGAAGAAGAAAAGAAGAACAATTCTTGATCAACTCCATCTTCATGATGCATCTCCATGTATCACTAACATTTTGCAGTTGTCTCCATTTCAAAGGAAATGAAAACCACAAACATTTCCTTTGCTTTGGAAATGCATTTCCTTCCAGGATGCAGCTGACTTCAACTCACTGTGTACATGTACTGTAACATGTACACTGTAAGGTCGGAGTGCATACTAGCATGTATACATGTAAGAAACTAAAAGGACAATACAATGTTCCCTTTAATACAAGTAATCAGGAAAACATCAAATGATGGCAACTGATCAAATAAGCTGCCCTCATTAGTCATAATTCAATTACAAAAAACAACATAACCATATACATGTACATCATGTATCTATACATGTGAGTTGTAAACAGTACTGCAATGTAAAATTCTTCTTTGTCATTTACACCTTCATCTACACTTTAAAAAGTGGTTAAATTTGACCCTATAATGCACTCTCAAATAACCTTATCAGTGTTCAGGGAGTAACTTGGGCACTTTTCAAACTTTACCGTACTTTAACCTACTAACATGTACAATTCATGTAATGTAGTAATGTGCATCACAAGTGCACTATTGCTTGGTTCATTTGTCATGTTTTCTTCATATCAATATATTTACCAATTACCATTAAGAACAAAACTAATCTTTGTAAAATCAAATCTCACATAATGGTAATAATACAATGAAGCATGACCTGTCACAATTTACATCAATCTAGTCTTTATCCGAGTACACATGTACAGTACATATGTTATAAATTTTGAACTTGGAACCATAAACATGTCAAAATCTAATATTGAGCATCACAGAGTCATGTATTCACTCCCTCCTTAAGGGTTTGTAAATATGTTGTTGGAGTTTCTGACCTGGCTTTGAAAACATGTTATTATGAATTGAGTCAATTTACTTCTGGACTTTGATCTAAAAGCACAAGGAGAATTTATGATAGAATTTTAATCACTTTAAATGGGGGTTAATAACCGGTTAATAGCCCCATTATAAATTCATGCACCATTTTGTAAATACATGGACATATCAGGAAAACTCTACACAGAAACTACATTGTATTCTACAGTGTATCTCTTAGTATCGCTTTTCAAGTGAACAAGTTCCACAGGAAGCTTATACATTCAAACCTTTGTCATAAGCTGTATTTTATTGTATCAAAGATTATTTACAGTACATATACATTATTATTTAATTAAACATTAGATCAACAACCTGTTAAACATGTTCATGTATATATTATACACAACATGTGAATACATGCAACTGATGCAAATCTAATCTGTTATGGGCAATTAAGAACCCCCCCCCCCCCTAAAAAAAAAAAAAAAAAACCCTTTAGCAACACAACAATGAAACTTTCTCACAAGATTAAAATTTCAAAGTCCAAGAATTAAATTTGTTGCCTTAATTAATTCATTTTTGGATAATTATAAAAAACAGGTGTACAAATGAACATGAAGAATTGTAGATGAATGCATAATTCATTAATAAGCACCAAACATAGGGTAGGCTACCCTAACCATCCATCATAATAGATATTTAGATTGAGCAGTACTTAATTACCTTCTTTGGTGGGGGAGGCGGTGGTCTATCTGATTTAGGAGCGATGGTTTCTTTCATACTCTTCTTACTGTCTGATTCAGACAATACCACAAAGAAATGATGACACTTTTCACACTTCACAAAACGTGTAGAAGCTGTAAAGATAAAAACAGATGCCAAATGAAATCATGAGATACATTTTGTACGATTCATTATTACGGTCTTTAGAATCAATTGTTGTACATTTATTTTCACATACTGATCATACATGGCACACGTCATATACATTGTACTTACACATGTACATTTTTGCTTTGTTACATCCTGACATTTCTTGATAAAGTGATGAACATACATGTAGATAACATTCATTCAACTTTCAGATCAATACAAAACATTAGCGAATCTGAACAAATACTTTCGATAACAAAAGAGCAACATTTTTTTTTCTCAACATTTTCATTTTGGTAGCATTTGCAGATGTCTACTTGTCTTCCTCCCATATTAAAGCACTACCCGGTATAGCAATTTGTAAATATACAGGAACATTTCCCATGTCTACATGGTTTCCATGTAAGGGAATACTACATGTACGTAATATATTTGAAATCAGAAATTTGATGATGCTACATTGTACATGTAAATACAGTTCCCTTCATCTACAGTGTACGTCTGCGTCTATGCTGGTACTTATCAAAAGCCTTTTCAGCAACTAAACAAGGATTTTGTGAAATTAAGATTCCTGTGATGAATACTTACAGACAAATGTTTCAACGTGGGTACATGGATCCCCACACTTAGGGCAGCTTAGCTGGTTTGATTTGTTTCCACCATCGCCACCACTACTGCTACTTCCACCACCCCTAGAAGATCTCCTGGCTGGAGGCGGGTCGTTCTTTGACCCATCGTCATCCCCAGAGGTGGAAAGATGGGGTAGAGAGGTACTCAAAGCTCTGCATTGTACAGGGACGGATAACCTACTCAGTTGATGTGTTCTAAATCTAAGGCAGTTCCTTTGTATAAGATGTCTTGAACAAGCTGTAAATGGACAAAGATGGTTAAGGTCAATGAAAATATTAGGCAAGATAAAACTGATCTCTAAACCTGTAGTTTCTAGTTCCTCTAACTTTAATTTTTTTTCCCTGCCTGCCCCATTCCTAAAATTACCAACTATAGAGTCTAATTTAAAAAAAAATCCAATTCATGAACATGAAAAGCTAATTGAAAGGACGCTCATGCTGGCCTAAGTCTAAGGAAGTGAGGACCAAGGAAGCAGGAAAAGAACATTGTAAAACTAAATATTGTTATCATGGGAACTGTACTGTAGTCTGTACATGCTGGTTGATTATGTCGTTCATCAGAAAGAAGAAGGAAAAGCAATACAAATATATGCGGGAGCTTTGCAATTTGCTTGTTATGCTTTAATATTATTAGTAATAAAAGTTGCATACATAATAATAAAGATTTACTAGGCCTACCCTATAGTCTACATGTAGAAATATGGATCATGCCTTATGGACCAGAATAGGAATATTGTTCATCTAATTTAGTCGCACTCGAACACATTTTTAAAGTAAAAGTTATAATTTTAAGACCATGTTTACGGCTTATCGCTTAGACTCTATACACCATCTGTATCTGTAACTTTGTAATTAGGCCTAGATCTAGCCTACTAATAATGTATAAAAACACCAGATGATGCAATCGCTAATACATTTTCTACTTGACTTGACAATCCTGCCTGCTATGACAAACTGCAGTACCCTGGTAGCTGCTGATCTCCGATAGAGCGGAGGAAGAAGAAGAAGAAGAAGAAGAAGAAGATGTAAAGAAATAGTCAGTTTTGGCTTTGGCTTTCAGTTTGATCAAGTTGATGGTGTGAGTCTGTGTATTCTGTGTAACTTACAGACAGTGAACAATGAATAGAGTCTAGGCCTAGACCTAATTTATATCTACCGAGTACCATACCTGACGTTGAAATTGGGCGTTTTGCTTGTTTTGATCCGGACAACAGGGCGACCCGAACAACGCCAACGGCGGCTGGCTGGCGTAATAACGGTGGCATTTTCTGACGTTGTCTTCTCCCGATTGCACAACAGACTTGTTACAATGTTGCTACCCTATTATCGCATCAGTCTTGAATTCAAAGAAAATATTTTACATACATAAAATGAAGAAATGATTATGTTTAATGTTTAATCTGCAATGAGTTGCTGCCACAGCGAGTAGTAAACACGACCCCAATTGCCAAATCATGCGATCGCGTACAGATGCCGACTTTCCGGTATGTTCTGTATGCATGCGAGAGCTGCATGCAGTTAGCTGAGCTGCACAAACAAACAATGACCAAACAGCTCCGTTTCTGAAAGGTTTTTTCTTTGGTACTTTAAATTTAAGATGGCTGCAAGTGAGCTTAGGTTTTGACGATTACAAAGATCCGAATTAAGAAACTATAATTTTAATTTGCTACAATTAGTCGCGTGTTTTGGCAGAAATATCACCACCAAGAAATTGTTGAAGTATGGCTAATCGTCAGAACATACATAACATACACAGCATACACGTAACGCGTATACTTACGTCACACACAATTCATCGTTTGAAAGGCTTTGCTTTTAGACTGTAATTTTTCAAATCCTCAAATGGTTTGGTAAATACCGTGACATTCAAAAACTTTGATAACAAAAAATAAAATATTTATTAAAAATATATACATGTAATTAAAATGAATAACCGTGCAAAATATTATAACAAGTTTTATTAGTAAAATGATAAGACCGAAATTTAACCCAAGTATAAAAGCTGTCTGGAAAATAGTCTAATGTAATCAGCTGTCTTTAGCTATGTTACATATGAAGTTATAGTACATATTTTTTCTGTTGAAATTAAATATTTTAAATGATTTCTTGAATTACAAAAGTTATTTAATAATTTAATAAATGATATTTGATATAATAATTATTTATAATGATTTTTAATAATAAAATTTTATTATGCACAATATTTGTATATACAATATGTTAATGTATGGTGTACGAGACTAAAATTGTAGTTTATTCCATCGAAATCCAAGTTTGAGTTCGTTGGTTTATTCGGATGCTCGGAGAATGGACAAATTAGAAAAGTTTGGCAAACCTGGTTGGCGGTTCAAATTGGGCACAATATTCATTGATCATTTGATTGATTGATTGATTTTATTTGCCAAGCCTCCGACATACATCAGATCAAATTTAAGTCAGCAAATGTATTGCTATGTTAGGCAACTAATCACAATATAATATTTACGGCATGTATATTATGTGACCAACTGAAACAAAGTTAGCCAAACTCCTGGACCCCGTCTAGGGCGCTAAGGCGGACCCCCTGAATGCTAATCTGACCGTAAATTAAAACCTTAAACCCCTGAGCTTCCGGGGCGGACAAGGTATCAACATATGTTCGTCTGACAGCTGGCGCGTAGCCAGGGGGCGGTGGGGTGGTCCCCCAATAAACGCCGGCCAAGAAAGAGAGGAGTGTAAAGGAAGAGGACGTAGGAAGAAAAGGGAATAGACAAAGAACATATTTAAAATTCAGACAAGGATTAAGATTCGAGAACGGTACAATGAATCGTCTTCTTTCTCTAATGAATTAATGAAACGTCAAAGCTTCCGCGCTACGCGCGGGGAGGGCAGGGGGATCTTAATTCAGACGAGAATAATTTTCGGGAACGGTACAACGATTCGTCTTCTTTCTATAATAATTTAATAAAACGTCGAAGCTTCCGCGCTTCGCGCGGAAGGGGGGGGGGAAATTGATTTAGACAAGGATTATGAGTCGAGAACGGTATGACGAATCTTCCTCTTTCTCTAATGATTTAATGAAAACTAAAAGCTTCCGCGCTTCGCACGGGTGGGGGAAGCTAAATTATTTTCGAGAGCGGAACAACGAATCGTCTTCATTCTCTAAAAATTTAATGAAACGTCGAAGCGGGGGGAAAACTGAATTTAGACAAGGATTAAGAGTCGAGAATGGTACAACGAATCGTCTTCTTTCTTTAATGATTTAATGAGACGTAAAAGCTTCCGCGCTTCGCGTGGGAGGGGGGAAACTGAATTTAGACAAGGAGTAGAAGTCATAACGGTACAACGAATCGTCTTATTTCGCTAATGATTTAATGAAACGTAAAAGCTGTATTCAGACGAGGATTATGTTCGAGAACGGTACAACGAATCGTCTTCTTTTTCTAATGATTTAATGAAACGTACAAGCTTCCGCGCTTCGCGCGGGAGGGAGGAGGGGAAAACTGAATTCAGATGAGGATTAAGAGCCGAGAACGGTACAACGAATCGTCTTCTTTCTCTAATGATTAAATGAAACGTAAAAGCTTCCGAGCTTTGCGCGGGAGAGGGGGATGAATTAAGACGAGGATTAAGAATTAAAAACTGTACAACGAATCGTCTTCTTTTGCTTCCGCGCTTCGCGCGGGAGGGGAAAAACTATTTTCAGACGAGTAGGCACGTACGGAAGGGGGGAGGGGGTTAGGGGGTTGACCCTCCCCCCCTTCGGTTTTTTATGTGTGTATTTTGGAGCAACCCCCCCCCTTTTCAGTTATTTTATTTATTTTTTTTAATTAAAAAAAATATATAACGAAATATGCCAATGGCTGACCTAAAAAGATGACCTCAACCCCCCCCCCCAACGGAACAAAATGTCAAATTTTCAAATTTCGAGACCAAAAAAAAAAAGTGTCCTCTCCCCCCCCCCCCCCCCCCCCCCCCCCCCCCGCTTATTTAGCGGCTGGCTGAGTCGTTGCGATTTTTTTTTCAGACAAATAAAAAAAAGTGGGCCCCCCCCCCCTAAGAAATCCTGGATCCGCGCCTGGTGGAATGGGCGTCTATTAGAAAGAAAAAGCGGCACCTATCTGAACCAAAAAGGACACCCTTCTTATCGGTAAAAGGGGGCACTTTTGGGGAACTTGAAAAGGGTGGGGGCGGAAGGAACTGTGCCCCCTGCCCCCCGACAGCGCCGCCTCTGCCCACACCTATAGTGATTAAAACTTTCAAATATTGACAACTTTCTCATCTTTTGTCCAATTTCTTGCAAACTTTCACTAATCTGCTTCTCTGATATTTACGCTTTCCTTTTTAGAGGAGTTTAGTTAGGTTCGACCCCGCCCCCTCCCCCCCCCCCCCCACCCCACTCCGAGAACGGACGGACCCCATGCGTGTTACCAAAATGTCCGGTAAGGGATACTTTTCGTGCGACAAAGTCCGGCCCGAGAATTGTAAAAAAAAAAGGGGGTGTATTAACTATTCACCCGGAGATTTCTTTATAAAGGGGGTGTTTTTTCTTTTTTTTCTCTCATCTCTTTGGACTCCTGAGAAATTATTCCGAATTTAGGGGGGTACATTGAGCATTTTTCATGATTTAGGGGGGTCTCCAAGGCAGGAAAAGCCCGCGAAAGGGGGGTTCGGAAATGTTGGCAGTCCTCAGATTATAGGAGGTGCTTTCCAAAGAGGGAACAAGCATAATGCGTACCCTAAATAACACTGAGTGGGGGGGGGGGGGGGGCGGGGGTTCGACTAATTTTCGACTAATTTTCGATTAATTTTGATTAAGACTTTATTGAATCGTAAGCTTTAGTTTTCTCACAAGTTCCACTTTCATTTATAGCAAGTACTCCAAACGTAGATAAAAAAAATATCATATTGCATCGGAGAGCAGCATTCAAGAGGGACACTTTTCTTCTTATTTACAACCCTTCTAAATGCATCGTTTCATCTTCTATAAAAAGGCAAGTCTCTTAATGTACATGTATCTCTTGAGGGCGTCCTTGCAGAGACAAGATTAGTGTCCCTTAGACAAGATATGCGCATACTGGCCATATTTAGATGGTATGCATCAGTTGTTGAGGCATGTTTCTAAAAAAAAGCCACAACGTAATGTTAGCTAAAATATGTCATGTGCACCATTTGCATACAGCTCTATAGGTAGGGTTATAGCGTTAGGGGCATTATCGTGAAATAGGAAACCACCATTAACTTCAGCGCTTCATTGCCAGGGGCAGATCTAGGGGGCAAATTAAAAGAAAATAGTGCTCACTACCCCCACCCCCCCCACTCACTGGACTCATCCGGGGCGGCGGAGCGCCTTTCAAATGGGGGGGGGGGGTGGGTGGCACCTACACAAAAGGGGAAAAGGAACATCTACAAAGGGAAACCTAAAAGCGAAAATATACACATTTTAAACATTGGTAGGCCTATATACCCCTACATTGTGATTAGATTATCAGAGATGATTTCATTGTTTGTTTCTCTCTTTACATGGTCCAAGATGCGGATGAAGCACTGTACTTTACAGTTGGGTGTGATGGTCTGAATATTTATTTGCGAGCGAGCGAAGAGAGCGAGAAAAAAATTTACGATTTGTGAGGTCGCAGTACGAAAAATTACATCTTATAAAGAGGAAAAAACAATCCTAATCATGAAAGACTGACAAGATCTTTAATAAGAAACAAAATCATATGAACATAAATTGCGAGCGAGCCTTAGGTGAAATTAAAGTAAAAGTTGCTGTTAGTTGCTCAAAATTTGGAGCACATTTTACGGTGAAAGGAAAAGGGGGCACATATCCAAAGTCAAAGAGACACTTATTAGAAAGGAAAAGGAGAACTTTTCAAAGTAAAAATCGGAATTGCTAGAGGTGAAAATGAGGTAAAACTCACACCTGATAAAGGGCACTCACCAGAGATTTAAAAAATGCACTTATGAGAACGGGAAAAGGGCACTTATTACAAAGGAAAATGGGCAATTATCAGAAAGAAAATGGCACTAGTTAGAAAGGATAAAGAACGTTTCAAAATAAAAGTGACACTTATTACAAAGTTAAAGAGGGCACCTCTCGAATTTTAATAAGGGCACTCACCGGAGATGAAAAGGGACACCTCTTAGATTTGAAAAAAGGCAATTATAAGAGATGAAGGGACACTTATCAAAGCTGGTCAGGTGCATTTCTTGTACCTGAAAAGGGGTACCTATGGGATTTTAGTAGATGCATTTATCTGACGTTTGATAAGGGCCATTTATGAGAAAGGTTACTGGCTCTTATAAAAAAAAGGGGGGCATTTATCAGAAGGAAAAGGGCACTTATTAGAAATACAAGGGGGCACGTGTAAAAATTAAATAATGCACTTGTGAGAGGTGAAAAGGGAAAGTCATCAAAGATGGAAAGGGGCACTTATCAGAAGGGGAAAGCGCACTTATTACAAAAGAAAAGGGCACTTGTTAGTGTAAAATGGGCACCTCTCAGGTTTGAATAGGGGCAACCAGCATCGGTGAAGGGGACACTTTTAATATTTAAAAATGGGTAGTGGGGGTGTGCCAAATGTTACATTTGGGTTTTTTATTGAATAAATTAAAATTCATTTAGATGTTATGTTTTATGGTATAGGCCGCTTTTTGAGAGAAGTTTGGAACAAAATACTTTCGTTATTTCCTCATTTCTGGATATTCACTCCAACTATTCAGGATACTGGTATTTCCTTTGACGACAGAGGTTAACGAACTGACCCAATATACACAGTGGAGCTGAATTAGGCCAGATCAATTATTGTGGTTTTACATTCGATATTACACGTGCGGTATAGTTGATTTGTACATGCAGTTTTTGGATGATTCCAGCAGCATTGGTCGTCGTTATAGCTGCTCATTAAGGGTGAGTGCAAGATAATATATTGTTTTTTTTTCTCACTACTTTCGTGTTTAAATACTGTTAAATGTTGAGTGATCGTTACCCCCATCAAAATGAAAGTAACTATGATTGTGTTTGATTAATTTGGGGAAGTTACATTTTGCTCAATTTTATCCTCCATGGACCGTGAATGAGTCCAATATATTTTCTTCATGGTGGGACATTTTATTTCAACTCGATACTTCACGGACATTGGACAATGCCAGCCACATGAGACAAGTCATTCTTTAATGTAATGTACATGTATTTGGGCTCACCCCTACCCCCCCCCCCCCACCACTCCGGGAACGGAGGGACCGCATTCATGTTCCCAAAATCTCCGGCTCGTAACAAAGAAAAAGATCTGCCTGTATTGACTTTACACACCAGACTTATAGGGGGGTGCTGAAAAGGGAGGGAACATGCATATGCGTACCCTAAATAACACTGAGCGGGGGGGGGGGGAGGCGGGGGCTCACCTCACGTCAAAGTTAGCCGTCCTACGGTGCAAAAAAGTGTTTTGATTAAAAAAAGAGCGGAATAGAAATTTCGCTTGAACTGATATTGGTTTAAATATTAATAATTTACAAAGAATGTTTCGTTGCAAGTTGAAACACAACATATGCCGAATTCTCTGATTATTTCCTTTACAACATTTTTATGACTTTCACATGCACAATTTATTGTTTCATCGTTGAAAACATGAAAAAATCGAGATATGTGCTGAGATTTTCAAATCATTTAGTTTAAAATTGAATGCTTTTAAATGGACACAAGAGTTAAAGATTAGTTGGTGGATATCAATAGGTGGGTGTGTTGGCGTGTGGGTGTGTGTGTGTGTGTGTGTGTGACAGCAAGAGATAGAGAGAGAGGAGGGAGAGAAAGAGAGGGGAGAGAGAGAGAGAGAGAGAGAAAGGGGGAATCGGAAAAAAATTGGGATGTACACATTCAGGTTTATACACAAATTGATATGATTTTAAGGACATCAGAAAGGAATTTTGAGATATTTGTTTTCAAATTTTCTGAGAATTCGTAGGCGACTTATATTTTTCTATGTAGACTGAGAGAAAGACAGTGATAACTTTACAAAATGGTTCGTAACAGTTATACTATATAAATCTTTCTTCTCACTTCCTCTTCCTCTCTTTCTATAACTCTCTCTCTGTCCATGCACTCTTCTTTCTATTTTACACTCCATTTCCGTGTCCGACCCTCTAATTATTCTATATCACCTGTATACCTTTACACATTTAATGAATTTGTTCTCTAAAGCGAAAAGTTAATGCTAGCTAGGTGCATTCGCCCAATAAACGCGAAAGAAGTTTATTCATTTATTTATGTCTGATATTCACAACGGTTCATTTTCAGGATGCATGTCGTTTCCTTGAAAATATGAAATGCTAGTAACCATAGTTTCACGAATTCATCAATTTTATCGTATTTCTCTTGATATCCCTTCTATTTTGTTATTTTGCTCAATTTTCGTTAGGCTTTGTTCCTGTAGATATAGTGCTTACATGAGAGCAGTCAGTCAGAGAGGTATATCTAAATACAATAGATACTGGTTTAACTCATATCCTGCCATGAGACTGCTAGCGCGCTATTGTTATAGTGCTCTGTGCACGCGAGCGTGCTATCGATTGATTGCTACGTTCATGCTAGCGAGCTACCGCTCGTCTGCTTTGTGCACGCTAGCAAGCATATATGTAATAACAGTGATTGCTCATGCCCATTGCACCGTGCTGAGTGCTTTTGCAGCGCTATTGAAAGTACCATCGCGTGCATCAGATTATCGGCTTTGGATTACACGTCTTTGTATACAACAGTCAGATTGGATTTTCTCGAGTAATTTAGCGATTTGTTTTTTGTAAAGATTTAAATAACACGCGCTTGAACCAACCCTAAAATTAACTTGGCACACAGGAAATTTGTGGCTGGCACAAGGGATTAGCACTGTGGCACTGGGTGCATTGTATGGGTGGCAGCTTGAGAGTTAACAAGGACACCAAGTCGGCAGAGGCCAGTATCCCCATAGCATCGGCCGGTGGGGGTCAACTTCATTGCAACATGACAATGCAGGGAGTTATAGGAACCTTGTTGATGTCTCTTCTTTTCGTTGGAACTTTAGGTAAGTCACCGACCATCGAGTTATCCCCGATTCTTTTGGTTACAATTATTCTCTCCTTCGGGAGGCATGTGCATATTTATTCTAAAAAGTTGTTTTATGTATGGAGAAATAGAAGAAAGTACAACACCTGTAACTAATGCTAAGATCGTACGAAGATTAGCGAGAAGGGAAAAGTATTGTATGGTAATGAAGCTATAGGCCAGAAGAAAGATTAAAGATATATGAAAATGACATCTCAATTCTGCAAAACGTTATCTTGTCGGCTATAACCTGTAAAGTGAAAGAGTTTTCTTGACCTCAATGTGTTATTAACCAGAACACTTTTATTGCCTGATGAGATCGTCCTTCATAGGTTGCTATTGTTTCAATTCGCTCATATCCTTTCCGGAACTTGCTGCTTATACACTTCGGAATTTCCCGATTCAATGATGTTGGTATAGTATATATATTATAAAGATAGCATCAACTAAAGTTTGGTTAAATCCCATTTCCTGACATGTAGAGAGTCATAATAATCATATAATAGAGTGTGATATGATCTATCATTTGCATATCCGGACAAATTGTCGACAAAAAAGAAAGACAAAGAACTGCACTTGAAATCGATATGGGCTAAGTGACATAATCATAATGAAATTTAGGTCCAATGATTGGAAAGTGATCAACTTACAATCACTTTGCGAGTACTACATTTATAAGGAAAAACACTATAAATCTACAAAGGTTTATAAAGTTGCATACTTTTTAAAGATTTTAAACAAAATAAAAATAAAACAGGAAGTACAGTGTATATATAAGGATCAGGGAAAGCTATAATGTAAAAGTACTAAAATGATTATGTATGCCTCAATAGTATAATTTTAGACAAGAAAAGGTTTTTCATCACCCCCTTTTACGGCCCTCCGGACGATCTGAAAGAGACATGGGGCGGCATCGGCCTGTTTTGAATGCTGTATTAATAGTAGTAGTAGTAGTATTAGCAGTAATAGTAGCAGCAGCTACAGCAGCAATAGTAGTGGTAGTAGTATCTGTAATAATAGTAGAAGTAGAAATATTAGCTGTAGTAATAGTAGTGGTGGTGGTATTAGTATTAGTAGTAGTAGTAGTAGTAGTAGTAGTAGTAGTAGTAGAAGTATAGCAGTAGTAGTAGTAGTAGTAGTAGTAGTAGTAGTAGTAGTAGTAGTATTAGTAGTATTAGTAGTAGCATCAGTAGAAGTAGTGGTATTAGTAGCAGCAGCAGCAGTAGTAGTAGTATCTGTAATAATAATAGAAATATAGTAGGAGTAGTAGTAGTTGTTGTAGTTGTAGTAGCAGTATAAATAGTAGTAGTACAAGTAGTAGTAGTCATGGGCGTAAATCTGCAATTGATACCTTGTTCAGGGGGATGATCTATTCATTCACCCCCCCCCTGAACAATAGGTATTACGTAATGATTTACGCCCATAGTAGTAGTAGTAGTAGTAATAGTAGTAGTAGTAGTAGTAGTAGTAGTAGTAGTAGTAGTAAAAGAAGTAGTAGAAGTTGCAGTAGTAGTGGCAGCAGCATTATTGTGGTAGTATTAGTCAAAGTGTACGTCTAATAGTACTTGCTTTATAGTTAAAAAGAAATATTTTCACAATTCTTAAATCGTTATTTTTATATTGCTTTTATCATCAAAATGTATGTAGTTAGGAGTGAACGGAGCGACATTCGTCTCGTCGGTGGGGTCAACAACCATGAAGGTCGTGTTGAAGTCCGAATCGATGGCGAGTGGGGGACGGTATGTGACGACGGCTGGGGTTTGACGGATGCTCACGTCGCCTGTCGTCAGCTCGGGTTTGGACCAGCCACCGATATAATAACAGACGCGGATGAATTCGGGGAAGGTACTGGCCCTATCCATCTGGATGATCTTGGTTGCTATGGTGACGAGGCGTCATTGGTTGCGTGCATCCATAGAGGATTGGGAAAGAATAACTGTAATCACGCCGAAGACGCAGGTGTCAGATGCTCCACGTCACCACGTAAGTCGCTTCCTTTGATAATCCTCATTGGAAAACGAGCTAAAAATGCTCGATATAATAGTCATATATTTATTATGTTTATGTACATCATCGGAATATGACTGAAAACAATGGTATGCCTAATACTAATCTTACCCAGGTACGTAGCCTAATAGTAAGTGGCGTAACGTGGGCTCAGTCATTAGATTACAAGATCAGCGTTTTCCAACCTTTTAGGAAAAAAGTTTCTCGTCATCCAAAACCAAATTCATCACAGATGATTTGTTTTCTATTCTTCGTATAAGGAGATCTTGCCGGAAAATATACACTGTCGCTCATAAAGGTGGAATCCTTTTTTTTCGTCCAAATTAATGGAATTATTTAAAAAATAATTTAAAAATAATAGATCTAGATAATAGTATACATTCTCAGATTTTATTGCATAATAATTTGCCAATGTGTGTTTTGCGTGACTGCTAAAGCATGTGTATGCTACTATGCTTATCAACTAGGGGACCTATGCCCTTAAGTCATAAATGACAATGATGAGGATTAATGCCCCACAAAAGGGCACTAATAGAGCACATCGACACGGTTTTGATCCTGGGGCCTCACAGTTACGAGGCCATTGCTTTGTCACTGAACCGTGACTGTACGCAGCGGGGGCTAGGGTAGGGGGCAGTTTCCATAAATAAAATAAAAAACAGAAAATGCAATAAATTTTCAATAATTTATTGCATGTTACCCCGGTCCCCAACATAAACAAATCTTATGTGTGCCCATGCCTTGAACCATAATGCATGGCCGTCCAGAGGATTTTTTTATTTAGTAAGTCCCCTAGTTAATAAGCATAGTAGCATATAAATGCTTTAGCAGTCCCGAAAAACACACATTGGCAAATTATTATTCAATAAAATCTGAGAATGTATACTATTATCTAGATCTATTATTTTTAAATTATTTTAAAAATAATTCCATAAATTGGGGTAAAACTAAAATATTCCACCTTTAAGAGCGACAGTGTACTTCCCAGATCTCAAGTATTGTGAGTGGGCGAAAAATAAAAGCACTTTTATTGTGGTAAAAGTGGTATTCGATCATCAATAAACACTATACAAAATATAACATTGAATAATTGGTCATCTCGTTGTTACGAATCATCTTGATTTATCAATCTTGCGAAAAAGTGGAGTGAACGAGGAAAGAAAAATACTTTTTTGTGGTAAAGCTTTCATTTCAAAATTATTTTGCTTTTATTCATGGCTCTGCTCCACAGTACAATATTACTTTGCACTAGCTTATACTGGTGGGGGTTTTGGGGCAGTTCCCCCCCAAATAGAATTCAAACGTGGTTTATTTCTAGTTCGATACCAGTGATTTACAAATGTTGCTGTCATTACATGATTTTCCGGGAGTTTTTCTCACTTTTTTTGTAAATTATACTTTTTTTTGCGTTGGTTGGAAAATGACAAATTCCCAAATTTACAGTCAGGCAAAAAATATGCTTATTTAGAAGCATACGTGTCAGCGAAGCGGCGGAGATCGAGCCCCACTCCCCCCCCCCCCCCCCTTCCGTCTCATTTTTTGTTGTTGAAAAAGTATGTCATAGAGAAAAAGGAAGAAAGAAAGAAGGAAAGAATAGTGGCCAGTGTCACAAATGAGGTATCAAAATATGCTTATCTTTCGGTAATTACATGCCTAAGACCTCTGAGCTTGCTGGGGGCTCTGCCCCTATCACCAAGAGCCCGAGATCGGGCCCCTGGATTCTCATCTAACCGTAATATAATGCCTTAAACCCCTCAGCTTCTCGTGCTCCGCCCCTCCCCCCCCCCCTGGAGCCCACGCCAATTAATGTCACAAATAAGGTATCACATACATGTATGTCTGTAATGTTATTTCCTCATCCAAATTCCCCAAGTTATATATCATTTACGCATCTTGCGGTTTCCGCTTCATTGTTTCCATAAAAATGACGTTATTCCAAAAAACAGTTTTAATGACTGAAGTACTCTAGATAGCTACACCCTTGTATGTAGATAGCCAACATTTGAGGAGGCATATTGACTAGGCCGGAAAGGGGATATACCCCCCTTGCCTCTTCAGAGTGGGACAATTTTGCATTTTTATTTAAACGGACACACATACATACTCTCTCTCTCTTTCTCTCTATCCCCTTCTCTTTCTCTCTCTCTCTCTCTCTCTCTCTCCCTCTCTCACTCTCTCTTTACCTATATGTCTTCTTTCATTCTTACCTCCATTTCTTCTCTTCTCTGCTATACGCTACATCAAGGATGTAGATCGGATTACCCCAAAGCATTTTTCGATAATTGTTTCAAACACCTCTTACAACGGATTTAATTTAAGACTTATCATGATTGTTGTCCCTCACGTTACTGATTCACTTAACATTGTATTTTTTGAAGAGCGTTTAAGAGCGGGCAATCTATCTTCTCATATTATCTTACGTTCTTTTCCATTTTCCTTCATCTTTTTCCTCGCTCTAACCTCTTTTTGTTGTACATTCGATTAGGGGGTGGGATGGGGGGTTATTGATAGCCCACTGCTCTTCCTGAGGTCCCTGTAATCCGTGTTATCCCAGGATAACCAGGTACATGTTTAATGGAAATGGGTTGAGAGGGACAACGAATCAGCGTGTCCATATGGATGTAAGCAACGGAGATGAATTAAACCTATATTATGAACTATCGCATTAGAGTCAAGAGCCTTCACCCATGAAAAAACAGTGCCCTATGAGCCCCGACGATGTTTAAGATTATCTTAGGATTATTAGATGTGACCTACATTTGTATGTAACTACGGATCTTATACTACCAGTCATGATAATGAAAATAAATTCCTATACACGCAGCAACATCTGGCAATGCAGACATCAGACTAGATGCTGGTGGCTCCCTTCTGGAAGGCAGGATACGGATTAAGATCGGAGGGGAATGGGGGACAGTTTGCGACGATCGCTGGGATCTGGCGGATGCCTCAGTGGTTTGTCAACAACTCGGTTTAGGTTCGGCGCTGGAAGTGCGTTCCTTCGGACCGGGAAGTGGACCTATATTACTGGATGACCTTGCATGTACAGGAACTGAAAGTTCGTTGACCTCGTGCAGCTATACCGACCGGCTCAACTGTAATCACAATGAGGATGCAGGGGCCGTGTGTTCAGGTATATAATTCTGAATTATTTCGAAACCAACCTATGTTAGGAAAAACATTTAGGATCTGTGATAGGTTGGGGAAATAAATTTACAAATACCCTTCCAATAGGCAAGTATATTGGGGTATAATAATGATGCTAAGTCGTTGATTTATCATAAAGTAATTTCAGTTTCAAGAATATTGCAAATTTCGAGTTTCAAAACTCAACTAATGCCTCACTACCGCCAATTAATTAATTATGGTTACTGAAGGAACACAGAAGGTTCGGAGTTCCTTTTTTGTGACGATCCTACAGGACTCAATAGGTTTTAGACCCGATCTTTTTTATTGCAAAATCATGGATCTTAAGGGAGAGGATAAGATTTAAGATGTACTAAGCTACAGTCTTTCAGAGATTATTACATTATTCCTATCACGGATACTTTAATCGTGCTTCCAATTGTAGGTTCTACAGGAGCAGAAAGTGTTCACCAAGGAATTCGCTTAGTCGGAGGGTCTTCAGAGTACGAGGGTCGGGTAGAAGTCTACATCAACGACAAGTGGGGCACGGTATGTGATGATCTGTGGTCTTTGACCGATGCAAATGTAGCATGCAGACACATGGGCTTCGGACGAGCCATTTCAACACCCGGTGCGACTGCATTTGGACAAGGATCTGGTTCGATTATGATGGATAATGTAGAGTGTCATGGCGATGAAACGTCACTACTTGCCTGCCCATACCAAAGCATTCATAACTGCGGTCATGCCGAAGACGCCGGCGTCGTGTGTGCTATATCAAGTACGTTTCATGAGAAATACGAAAAATTAATGTAAATAAGGATTGGAATGTAAGAGAACTGAATACTGATTTTGTTTTAGTTAAAAGCCAATATTTTGAAAGAGCTATACATGTATATACAAAATTTGTCGATTATGTCACGGGCATCAATAATGCCCTACACTCTAAAAACTAGAATGGTTTTTGGTAAATCAATAGAAGGTATTTATTTGAACAATCAAAGTCTGTTTCAAATTTATAATCAAATTGCTTAATTTCATCAAAATGAAACTTATAATTTTTTTATTTTTTTTTACCAGTGATCCTTTTCGAACGCATATCTTCCCAATACGTTGGATCTTTCTGATCCGATGAGGTATCTTCAAGTTGTAGCACCAAATGTGACTCGAAAAGATGAAAATGGTCTGGTCCTGCCAGAGGTAACAGCAAAATGACAGGTTTCCACACTGTCTACTCCCCTCGCATTGTCATTTAGTGGATGTTTCAGATCACCGTCAGTCAGAGAGTTATTAGCAATGATTGGCAACGCTGCGACCATTACACATATTTCTTACAAGCTTCGGTCTTATCTTTTTGTACTTGATATAGATTCTACAAAAGTACAATCGACGATTCGTCTAGTTGGAGGTTCTACAGAATATGAGGGTCGAGTAGAAGTCTCCTTCGGTGATCGATGGGGAACGGTATGTGATGATATGTGGTCTTTGATCGATGCTAATGTTGCATGCAGACAACTCGGCTATGGATCGGCCATTGCAGTTAAAGATTCCTCGGTGTTTGGTGGAGGAACAGGTCCCATTTTTATGGACAATGTAGAGTGCACTGGGCGTGAGACGTCACTTGATTCGTGCCCTTTCCAAAGTAGTCATAACTGCGCTCATGTGGAGGACGCTGGGATCGTGTGTGCTTCGCCAGGTAGGCTATGATTCTATAGAACAATGAGAAATGTTGAAAGAAAACAAAAAATGGAAATTGAAAAGTGTATTTACATTTGAACTACTATTACCCCGGTTAAATAGATTCTTTTTATTTGTCTTCGGGCAAGAGACGTCAGCCCTCATAGCAATATCGTGCCGGTAAACCATTCCGTTGGAGTTCAATCAGACTTTCAATTTCAATTCAAATGAATATTAAATACATTTCTTTGGGACAAGATCCTAGTCGACACGTATGTGCAAGTTACATTGGAAGGTAAATTCCGATCATGAAAAGGGTGGATATTTCTGTCCTTGTTCTTCCCGGTTCTGCCACGGCCTTCCTTACCTACAATATCTTCTATTTTACCTGTATCCCTAGAAAGTGTGCATGCTCTGAAGGCAACAATAGGAAAGTTATGCATATTTCTTATGAGTTTCGATCTTATCTTGCAGATATTTTGGAAGCATATGTGAATCAGTCGACCATTCGTCTAGTCGGAGGGACTACAGAGCACGAGGGTCGAGTAGAAGTCTATATCGGAGGTCAATGGGGAACGGTATGTGATGATGTATGGACCTTGGCAGATGCGAATATTGCATGCAGAGAACTGGGCTTTGGTCCGGCTGTTTCAGCCCCTGGCGTTGCTTCGTTTGGAGAAGGATCCGGTCTCATTTTGATGGACGACGTAGATTGTAATGGACACGAAACATCTCTGATTTCCTGTGAATATTCCCGCAACCACAACTGTGGTCATTCTGAAGATGCTGGGGTTGTATGCAGATCATCAGGTTTGATTACTCTACAAATATAAAATGGGTCTTACCTTGTGTCATATTGCCCTTTATAAATGTTTTGGAGTATATTTTGAGTAACGTTAACTTTTCATAAACTCCTAGCCCTTGTGTTTTAAGTTTACCTAGAAGCCAGAGACCTCACAACTAAATTGCCTTAATGGTCAGGAAATAAATTTAAGTTTAGAAGTTCGCCCATCATCAACATTCGACACCCATTCCCAAAATTGAAAGGTAGGATTGAGTTAGGGTGAGTACTACATTAGTTGCACAGTTGAATTGATAGTCCTATAATAGACTGTTCCGTAGTTTCGATATTCCGAAGGTCCTGCACCTGTTCAAATACATTCAGAATGTGGGCCACCTGAACAGTCTTGCTCATTACTAAGAATCTGTAGTCTAATTTATATCTAAAAGCATTTTTTTCACATGAAAAGCTCAATACTAGATAGCTTGTCAAATTGGCAGTTTGTGACAGATGCATATACTTCTTACAATCCTTCATATTTCTATAGCGTCTTCGGTAGCAAAAGAGAATCTAAACATTCGCCTCGTGGGGGGATCTACAGAACTAGAGGGTCGGGTAGAAGTTCACGTTAACGGTCAATGGGGAACAGTTTGCGATGATCTGTGGACGTTGACGGATGCGAATGTTGCATGCAAACAACTGGGCTTGGGTCCAGCAACATCAGCTCCCGGTGCATCTAGGTTCGGACGAGGGGTAGGTTCTATTCTCATGGACAACGTAGAGTGCAGAGGGGATGAATCAGCTCTCGCATTCTGCCAGCATCATACTAGTCATAACTGCGGTCATCAGGAAGATGCTGGGGTAGTCTGTTCACCTCGAAATGGTTCGTATCACACTTTTATTAGGATGAAATAGTAATAATAATAGGAACAATGAAACGGGGACATGTGTCGATATGACGTAGAAAAGTACACCAATCAGAGTCAAAACATGCTGATCCGGAATGTCGAGAAGCGGTATTGCCAGCTTGTGTAAACCTGGTGTAAACAACTTTACAACCCTGATCAAGAAAAAAATTGCTCCTCTAAACTTAATGATTTATTCCTAGGGTAAACTATTGAAGAACCTGTTAGTAAACTTGCAAACTATGGATAAATAACCTTTCGAAAGTGCTTGAAACTGTAGTCTCCTGGGTTTTTTTTTTTAAAGAGAACATCAATTCGAAATCTTTGACTTTGTACACAGGCGAGAGTTCAAACATACGTTCCATCCGTCTAGTCGGAAGTTCTTCGCCCTATGAAGGTCGAGTAGAATTACTCATCGCTGGTGTGTGGGGAACAGTTTGTGATGATATGTGGGATAGAAAAGATGGTATGGTGGCCTGCAGACAACTCGGGTACGGACAGGTCATTGCAGCCACAAGCTCAGCGCGGTATGGTCCAGGTAGTGGACCTATACACCTCGATGACTTGCGATGCGCTGGTGGTGAGAGTATGTTGGTCTCGTGTCGCCATGCCGGGAACACCCACAACTGCAACCATGGCGAAGATGCAGGCTTGACATGTTCACCCCCTGGTAAGTACCGAGGATGGCCAGAGTGTTGCTGACGTGAATGAAACTACTCCCTGTGGATATTAACAAAGGATGTTCGTTACTGGAATACATCGTCATCCTGTCTTTATAACACATCCACAGAGAATGTTGACACTGTCAACAACAAAAATGATACCATTCTAATGTTTTCACACCTTATCCACATCGAATGTTGACGATATGTAAACGATTTCACTCTGAATTCGCGGAAAATATTGTTGTGTATAGTGTCCGATGTAAGTATACCATCTTTCAACGTTCACACATGTTCACGGTGTTTACAAATTCTAGGACACTCAGGCCTACTCTTATTGTCAAGGTATATTGCCAACAATGTAGACCCCAGACACACTGACACTTCAATATAATATGCAATTTTTATTGTCCATTTGTCTCACCAAAATTAAGATGGAGTAGAACCCCCAACCGAACCAGCCGTCTCTCTCCGTCTTGTTGATGGCTTCTCGCCATTTGAGGGTCGACTGGAAGTCTACATGAACGGCAAATGGGGAACAGTATGCGATGATATGTGGTCTTTGACGGATGCCGATGTTGCATGCAGACAACTCGGGTTTGGATCAGCTTTATCAGTCAGGGGCTCTACCTATGGTGAAGGATCGGGTCGTATACTCATGGACGATGTTGAATGCACTGGGACTGAAACAACTCTCATCTCTTGCCAGTATTCAACGACTCATAACTGTAGACATGCCGAAGATGTGGGAATCATTTGCAATCAACCAGGTGAATTTCACAAGATAGCATGTAAACGGATAATTGCTGAAACTATACTTTTTTTTTATCTAGCTAGAATGAAACAAAATGTATATAGGTGTTGGGTATATAATATGATGATAGTCTTTGACAGAATTATTAATCGCAAGTTCGCAACAATCACAATTGTATAACAGCTTTTCGGTGAGAATTCTAGATCAATATTCGGATTCCAGTTGTACTGCATTAGAAATAATATGTTTAGGATGAACATGTTTTTAACTTATGTCAATCCTGGGGAAGGCGCTCGTAATGCTTCATGGCCTTTCGTTTGAAACATAATCAGGTCAATAAAATAACCCAATCCATTGTAAAATGGATGACAATGTCCATTTTAAGTCTTTTGACAGTCACGACGCTTCTGAATGTGAAAATTGTATTCACAATGATCGAACATTTTATATTTAGCGAGTAGTCCTTGAGCTTCTATATTGGTCAAGCTTTCCTCGTTTCTTCCAATATAGAGGGAGCCCAGACAGACGACGTGCGACTCGTTGGAGGATCATCACCTAATGAAGGTCGTGTGGAAATCCTCATCAATGGCGAGTGGGGAACTGTTTGTGATGATATGTGGGATATGACTGATGCAAACGTTGTCTGTCGCCAACTTGGGTTCGGAGTGGCCTTCAGAGCCTTATCCTCCTTTGGCCTAGGATCAGGTCCGATCTCCATGGACAACGTGGAATGTGATGGAACAGAAACGTCACTGCTCTCATGCACCCATTTGGGTTCCCACAATTGCCAACATCAAGAGGATGTCGGTATCGTATGCCAACCACAAGGTGTGTCTAATTTGCCTTACTCAAATCCTACTTTTGACTGAGTCTGAAATTTTCCCTTTTATTTTTCGTTCAACTTTCATGCATCTGACAGTACTCAACGTCAATAACAGAGGCCCATGTTTTGGACTAATTGCCCATAGAGCCCAGTGCCGATATCTTCAGAATATTTTAAGATGCTTGGTTTGGGATGATGATGATGATATAGTAGTACCGTGTCCTTGTAGCGAAGCCGTGGTCGACCAATCCCTCTTTCGCAAACGGGAAGTTGCGAGAATAGTAGTTGCTTTGGTAACCTCTCACATGGCATCCTGATGACATGGCCTGTCCCCCGTAGGTTCTACCTGATTGGCAGGTCCTCCACAAAAGGCGGATAAGTAGACTTTAACATACCAGGACTCTAACATCTCTAACTTAATTCGACTCGCGTACATCTAAATTTTGTTGAAGGCAAGGTCATTTACCTTTAACCAATGATTCAAGATCAAATACAGTTTTGGAAACGCTAGTTTGGCGTCCATATACCACCGTGGCTCGTAATAGTTTCTTTCACAGCACGGATACCCCTACACTATCACCCCTCGGAAAAGTGCCTCCTAGGACACCATCCTAGAGATTAACTACCCCCTCAAAGAAAAAGTGCCCAATTTACCCAGACATCCACTTAGGGGTAACCAATTTGAGAATGGTTATCCTAGGGGATAGTAGACAAGGGAGAAGTGTCCGTAGGTATAGTAGCAGAGAGTAGTCCTAGATCAGTATCTTCATAAAGCTATTTTCTCCCCTCTTTTTCAATCAATAGTGCATAATAAATGGTAGAGTAGTTGCGATTAGAAATACACCATTTATCCACAAATTGACATCACGCGCTAAGGATAAGAATTTTGGAGGTGTTGCGGTTAATGGTTCTCTTTAAATCCATGGGTTGGAGGTTCCGAATTCCAGCCCGGCACTTACGTCATTTGGCTAATCCTAAATCCACATAAATTCCCAACCCAGGTGTAAATGGGTTTCTGATATACTACAGTGCTCTATATTTGGCGGCTCGGCTTTGAATGGGGTAATGTTGGAGCACCATGAGCGTAACGACATGACGGACATGTGTGCTATATACAAAGCCGCTTTTTTCGTTAGATACCGCGAACAATTTCGTCAAGATATATTTCCTATTCATAATCTCATTCGTGATTTCCATCTATTAAACAGATGCGGTGTTGACAGCTGCACCTGCTGTTGAATGTCCTATACTCAGCCATACGAACCATCCTTTGAGGGTATCCTGTACTAACGGTACCATCGTGGGTTCTCTATGCACCTACTCCTGTGACGATGGCTTCATCCTGCAGGGAAGCTCCGAAAGAACATGTCAAACATCTGGTTCATGGCATCCTAACGGAGAAGGAATTCCTGTCTGTGAAGGTAGCCTATATATCTAGAGTTCTATACCAAACCATACAGGTCACGTGTCTTTACTCACCTAGTCTAAATTTATCTGGTTTATGTATGCTATGCAGTCAAGGTAATGGTGTCCTACGGATGTAATAAAGTCCCACGGATGGGGATTTCTAAAAAAAAGTTCGGTTCTTTGATCTGACTGATACACCCTTTAAAGAGAAATTCGAGAAACAAATTCACTCGGTCGCTTTAGATGAGTGGCACGTGTTAAGGAATCTGTGGGATATCTATTGTAGTTTCTGTAGAAACATACTGCCATAGCGCTTATGGTATTTTATATGTAACGTTAATGGCCTTTGGTAATGTAAATGCAGTTGCCTTGATTTGAAATTGTTTTATCTTTATGTTCTTGAAAGTATAAGCAATAGAATTAGCTTGGTATTCTATGAAATTCTAAAGGGCATGGGATTTAAAAGATGAGAGGTTGCAAGATGCTTATTTAAGCAGTTGAGTAGAATATGCCATGCTTATTTGAAGGGGTAAACGTTTAGTGTAAAAAGGGCACATTTCTTTAATAAACACTAAATAACCTATACAGAGGAGGGACAGTTAATATGGTTGATAACGAGCACGATAATATTCCAATAGGGGTACAGTTCGTTGTCATTAAATAAGCAGTTACTACACACAGCTGCTTCGATTCTTTGAAACTAGATATGGCTCTTTTATTTGACACCCAAAACACACACTTTGTAAGTGACAATGGGAAATATGAATAAAGCAAGGAGCACTTATCAAAGGGCAGTTATATAACGAGGGAACGTGACACTTATCACAAGTATTTAAGAAGAGCACTTTAATATTAGAAAGAAAAAAGGGGCACTAGTAAAAAGGGGAAAAGGCATTTAAAAAAGGAAAAGGGACACGCGTCAAAGTTAAAGGGGCAGTCATCAGAAGTGAAAATGGGCACTAATTAGGAAGGGAAAGATGCACTGTACTTGTCGAAGCAAAAGGGCCACCTATCCGATTCGGTTAGGGGCACCAATCAAAAGGGAGAAGGGCACTTGTCAAAGTAAAAGGGGCACCTATTATATTGAATATGGGTAATTATCAGAGGTGAAAAGGGGCACTTTTGAGATGGATAAGGGGCACTTCTCCTAAGTTAAAAGGAGCACCTTTAGGGTAATTGAAAATGTGTGCTGTGGAGAGAGGCACTGTGTTCCTCTTGCCCTCCCCCACTCCCGCCTTTGATTAATTTAGCTACAATATTGACAAAGAAACACTTTATAAATATCTCACGTAATATAGACCTACATTATACTTCATTCGTAAATCAGCCCTTATCTCTTCATATGATAAAAATATCCGGATTCGATGTTGGTTTGGCTGTTACATCAAGATGATAATCATTGCTAATTCTATATAATTCTTGAACGGTAATCTCATCGCATTAAGAATCGTATCTACTTTCTACTTCTTGGAATATCCCCTTTTTCAGCTGAGGTGGTGACGGTTGCCCCTGTTGTTGAGTGCCCGGCAATTGGTAGACCCACGTATCCATTGGCTGTATCGTGCTCTAACAATACTCAAGAGGGTTCTATGTGTACCTACGCATGCGTCGATGGCTTCAGTCTGGAAGGGAGCCCTGACAGAGTATGTCAGGCATCAGGTTCATGGAGTCCAAGTCTAGAAATAACTCCAATCTGCAAAGGTAACCAGAATGTGATAGGTCTTACTATACTCCTCCATATTGTCCCGATCTCCCTGCACTCGCAAGAAGGACATAATTAAGACCCATTTATTGGTCGATGGCACTAACTACCGTCGTGCGGACACCCGACCATAAAATTATAATCGTATTACTACGAATTTCTTGATTCTAATTAAATGATTGGTCGGACTCATAAAGTCACACGTGACATATATCTTAAGACTTTCAACGAGTTTGTGTTTACCCCTATCATTTGGTATTGTACGATAGTTGCACACATGCTGAAAGAGTGGTATAATGAACTTAATATTCAAATTACAAATTAGTTTTGTTTTCTTATTGTTGAAATGCCGTTAACTTCTTCGCTGAAATGCCTGTAATATACCACGTTAATAATATTTTATGGAAGTACAGAGTTTACGTTTTGAAACCGGTGGATATGAGGTGTAAATTGATTCATTAATAGAAATTAGCATTCTCTTTTATTTGTCCTATAATTCAGGTGTCAGTTGTCCACCACTAGCATTAGAGCATGGCACAACCCTATGCACTAATGATTGGATGTATCTGTCAGCTTGTATGCCAGTCTGTGACATAGGATATGAAATAGATCGTCATCGGGCTCTACAGTGCATCTCGTCAGGAAATTGGACAGAAGAACTACCCACTTGTCAATGTAAGGAGACACAAAATACATGAATATATGCGTATGATAATAATTTTCTGTGCTCACTGTTCTGAGTATGTCTGTGTACTTTCCCTTCTTGGTCTTAGGAGGATATTAGTCGCTCACGGCCTTCAAACTCATTATTTATATAAAGTAAACTTATCTTTCTTGCATTAATCAGATAGTGTATATTTAAATAGATACTATTTCGATTTGTGACAGATCCAGATGAAAATGGAAGTTGATTTTATTTGATCAACGGCAGGGTATTTTAGGCATTATTTATTGTTTAACAAGTTCTAATCTTTCACTGCAGATTCTCACTATGCAAAGGGACAAGACATCAATATTATTTAGATCTCATCTGGAAATAATAATGTTTGATCTATATTTCACGATCTAGTCATACTCTGTTGATGATAATTCCGCTGTTGCTTGGCCAATCACTTGATTGGTAACTCCACAGTATCAAAGTGTCCTGAGCTTCCCATCGTAGCAAATGGTGTAAAGACATGCACAAATGACACACACTTAGGATCCACCTGCAATGTCACGTGTGCAGATGGCTTCAGATTAGTAGGACCCGTATCCAGAAAGTGTGAAGGAAGAGGATCCTGGTCCAGATACCAGCCCGTCTGTCAAGGTAGAATCATCTCTTCTTTATTAACTCATAGCCTTCCATAAGGCTGCATGCAAGCAAACCACTGTTTCACTACCATGTGCGCCTTTGCACGCATTCGTCATGGCAGTTATTGTTCATGCTCATTGGACTGTGATGTGTGTTTCGCATGCGCTATTCATAGAACCGTCGCGTTAAGACTCGGTCACAAATGCCATTACGAACTGCTACGAACGCCGTACGAATGATTCTCAGACAATGAAAATTCGGGAAGACAATGGAAAAACAGGGAGATTCGTACGAAATTATCGTTCGTACGAACCTTTGTGACCGTAGCATTAATCAGATTAGCTCAAAATAAAATAAAGGCTTGGCACAATGGGAATTAGCCCTGTGGCATGATAAGAGATAAATAAATTTATCTAGAACTAAATTTATGAATCAGCAGTAAACATGAATAACATGGATGAAATAAATAAGACAATGGGTTCGGAACAGCTCAACCCAAAACGGGGAAACTGTTTATTAAAACGCGCATTTCATATTTAAATACGTGACTCCGTAAATCCTAAACAGGGCGTATACAAATGTTTCCCCGACTTTGGTATATAGCTTCTAATTAGAAAATATATATAATCATGTGACCTTCAATCATATGTCATGGTAAAGGGTGTCTAATGATGCCATATTCATAATTATGCTGTCACGGATGACTGAGCAGCAGGCTCTTCAAAGGTATTGTCAAAATCATCTTGTACCAAGTTTGGGCTGAAGGCAGCAATTAATTTGGGTCAAAAGCCCTTATGTATGTTTTTAGCTCATTCCCCCAAAAAAATTGCTCACTTATTTACTCTGAATATTAGGCTGTTGAAAAGAATTTGTGTTAATATTCACCCAGATTCAAGGAAATGCTTATTACTTGCAAAATTTATAATATTTTCCTTGTTATGATGGTTACAATATTGACTTCATTCGCTTCCCTTGTTTTATAAATCCCTCCTCATTGAGTGATACAAAAAGGATACATCTTATTTAGGATATCGTTCTTTCTTGCATTTGGGTTTAGTAATCTTTTATTTTTCATTAGCTATTCGAGATAAACACTTTATGCTCATTACGCGTGTGAAATGGCTCAGCGGACGAGTGAGGAGAGAGAACTTAAAGATCATGAGACAAGAAGATATTTGGCTGTTCAAAATAATTATATGTTATTCTATGGATTGAAATAATATTCTATTAAAGCATCATTTTTAACAATTTTTAACAATCAATGAATTAATGAGGCGAAATTTAATTTTTGAAAGGATTTAAAACATGCAAAGATGCATATGGCCTGACTCACTTTTGTTCCATCAGTCCAAACTTGGTACTAGCGATTTTTAACAATTTGTTTACACCCTGGTGCAGTCGCCCGTAACAGAAATATTTTGAATATAGTATCATTGGACTGAGAATAAGTTATTCTTCATCATGAAATAGATTTCAAAGTCATATTGATTATGATTTTTATGAGCTACCAAAAGTGGGTACATTTTTTTTTTGTACACACTGTATTTTTCCAGATTAAAAACTAATTTAATCATTCTAAATTTAATACTATGTCAAGTTTTTGTCAACATTTTGATTAAGATTTATTTAAAAGATGTGATACTAACTCTTTAGCTGCTAGGTTCGAAACATCTCCCATATAATTCCATAACTGTAAAAATAAAAATATAGGTTGTTAGTAAGATATGTGTTATGTTCGTTCTCAGATATTCGTTGTCCAACTCTGACGTCTCCTCATTTTGGATCACTCGCCTGTACACAAGGCTCAAGGCATGGATCTGTCTGTACATCTACTTGCGGAGTAGGGTATAGAGTCATCGGGAGCACAGCCACAAAGTGCAATCCAGATGGTACTTGGACTCAAGACATACCCACGTGCGAATGTAAGACTCTCTTATCAAAATCGTAATTATTTAATTCAGGGGGAAGGACGTAATTCTAATTAATTATTTTACATGAGGGCATGTCCAAAATATGAATTCCTCTTTGTTACCGAGTACATTTCCGATTTGAGTATAGGTGCTCTTGATGGTTGCATCTTTCATCTAGGGCCCGCTGGAAGAGCAGTTTCATAAGTGAAGTGGCTATACCCTGGGTAAATAAAACGTTATTATTATTATTATTATTTGTAATCCTATACCTTAGCTGGGATCAGACCAAAGACATGTATACTTTCCACGAGAACACTGCTTATTCTTCTATGAACAATAATGATTATGGGTCATAAATGAGCATATACACTCGACTTCTTTGCCCTAGGATATCAATGATGATATTTAAGCCTGTTGCTATTCAGAATTTATTCTCCATTTTTCGTTCTTCCAGTGATTACGTGCGGTCCAGAAGTAGAAGCACCTCTGAACGGGAGCGTTGCATGTTTCATTTCGGGTCGGGTCTGTATCTACAGCTGCAATAATGGTTTCGATCTAACTCCACTCACCAGTGTGGTACGAACATGCGAAGCCCACGGATGGTCAAAAGCGGCACCTACCTGCCTAGGTACAACAGTCAATTGAGATGATCTTATTAATGTTTCTAAAATTACTTAAGTGTTAGAGAGAGACTGAATGTATCATATGTGTACTAGATAAAAGAGGTGTTAGAGTCAAATTTTGTTACCGTCAGAAAATGTGGTTCTAAAACGATCGGTTGATGATGTGACTGATCGGTCATTTGGTATACTTTCTTTGGTTCAACTGTTTTAAGTTGCGGGGTGGAGCAGTGTTCTATAAGCATGACCTGAACGTTTAAGAGCAACTGAACTAAGATCATATTTGTGAACGACCATTCTTGTTTTGATTTTCATTCAAAATTCGATTGCGGAATATCAATACCCCCAAATCTTTCTTTTTTAATAATAGTGTTTGGTGACAAGTTGACACATGCCTACCATGTAGTTTTCAATACCGATACTTCCACAATCAATCTGTAAAGGCATATATACAAGAAAATCAAAAATGATCAGGGCTACATTATTAATTGTGTTCTGTTTACGCCCATACCATATCACAGACAGGAGAGCACCTGTCTTCCAGACTTGCCCTGAAGACGCAATGACTTTCATCAGTGATCCTATGCAAGAAACTGCTACGGTCAACTGGCTGGCGCCCTCCGCGTTGGACCATTCGAATAACAAGATCGTGGGTGTGTACGTCTCTGGACCCGCCCCAGGTGCATCTTTGGAAGGAGGCTCCTATCCAGTGGTTTATGTGGCTGAGGATGCAAGTGGAAACACTGCTAACTGTAGATTCACCGTCGTCGTCAGTGGTAACGCTTTGACTTTGCTTCCTACAAATAATATAGGTTCCTTTATGTTGTTCTACTTTTATAAACACATGGATAGAACATATCAGAACAAAAATGCTCTATAAGATGAACGCAGGTCTAGAGCCACTGAGGAAACATAAAATGGACTATAACAATAAATTCCATATTCCAAAGTTTATTGGAAATTGTAAGCGGAGACGTTAGGAGATCCAGCGCCAATATGCCTGATCCTTTTAAAAAATATCATATGTAGAGATGCATTATTATGATGATATGTTGTACTTTAGTACACCGCGTTTTAAGAGATACGTGTCTTGTGTTTCTCACTTTGTCAAATCCGTAGTCATTCGTTGTCCCGAGTTGTCTGATGAGGATCTGGTCAAGGTGAACTGTTCTCATGGATATCTCCGAGATTCCATCTGTCGGTTCTCTTGCTCTGCGGCTGGCTATGAAGTGGTAGGACCTGACATGACCCAGTGTGTCATGGATAGAGATGAGGCCAGCTGGAGTAGTGCTAGACCATCATGTACAGGTTCGTTTTTCCAGTGACGACTGGCTAAATTGTTTTCTATGCCTCATTGAACAACTTGGCAAATATACAGCTCAACATGTTTTATTGTTGAACTTATGTTTACCACTTATGATAACATACACTAACAAATTTCATGAAAAAAGGGCCATCTATTCTTAGTAATCTCTAAACAGAACAAAGGCTATTGGAGTAAAGTGATACTCTTGGTGTAGTTAGTTGTTTACAAAAAATCCAGTCGCCTCTTGGTTACTCAATTCTCCCCTACAGATAGTACTTATTATGTGAATGTGTGTGTGGGGTGTGTGTGCGTGCGCAAATGTGTACGTGTTTGCGTGAAAGTGGGTGTGCGTATGTGTGTGTGTTTTTGTGTGTATATGATAATATTTTACACTTGCTATATAAATGTGTGGGGGGTTTTCTTAAGTGCGCGTGTGTGTACTTATTTGCGTGAAAATGTGTGTGTGTTTGTGTGTATGTGTATTTTAATCATTACAAACATCAAACGCAGGGTTCTAGGACACCTCCCCCCTGGACATCCACCCCCGGATAACAACCCCCAGTCAACTACCCCCTAGGATAACTACCCCCTAGGGCAACCACCCTCTAGGATGATTACCCCCCGGGACAACTACCCCCGGACAACTACCCCCACGACAACTACCCCCTAGGACAACCATCCTCTATGACAATTCCCCCCCCCCGGTCAACTATCCTATGGGGTAGTTGTCCTGGGGGCCGTTGTACAGGGGTAGTTGTCCTAGAGGTTAGTTGTCCTAGGGGGTAGTTGTCCGAGGATAGTTGTCCTATAGGGTAGTTGTCCTAGGGAGTAGTTGACTATGGGTGGATGTCCAGGGGGTAGGTGTCCGGATACGCAAACGAATACCATTCATTTTTACTTTTTACTCTGTTCATTTTGATGCAGATTACTCAGCACCAGTATTTACCAACTGTCCATCATCTCAAGTAGTCTTTGCCGAGATCAACCAGACTACATCTAGTGTAAGATGGCCTGAACCACGTGCTACCGACAACTCAAACAATGCTCTGCATGTTGTAATGACTGCTGGAAACGGTTCCGGAGTCATGAGACCTGAGGGAACGATCTTAGAAGCCTATGAAGCAGTAGATGAAAGTGGTAATCGAGCAGAATGCAGTTTCAACGTAACTGTGAAAGGTAATTTAAGTTTTAATGCAGGCACTTTCTTAAGTCATGGAACTGTTTCTAAGGAAATTGAATTAATGATTTCACCTGGAACATTACAGACTTTACAGACTGATTAATGTACTTCTTGCCTTTTCCATCATAATAACAAAAATATTTTTTATGTTCAGATTATGAATGTGCTTTGGAAATCATACTTGCAAAGGTACCACACCGAGTTATTAATGGCAAAGGAATTCCTGTCACAAAATGTTTCGTATATACATCTCATATATCCGTTTCCTTGCATGAACATAATTGTGCATTGATCACTTTTGAGGCAAATACGACAGCTGTCACAAATTTTGTTTAGTGTACGATTGTTATTTGCTAGAGCTAGACACTGCATTCTCATTTCATTGTAGGAGAAGTTTAGCATACATTGCCAAATTATTTCTCTCTCTCCCTTTACTCTTTCTGTCTTTCTGTGTCTCTTTGTATATATTTCTCTTATTCTCTCTTTCTCGCTCTCTCTCTCCTTTTTCCTCCATCTCTCTTACTCTCTCTCTCTCTCTCTCTCTCTCTCTCTCTCTCTCTCTTTGTTTCCCCGACAGTGATTCGCTGCGCTCAGCTTGATAGTGACTTCATTTCCGCTTGTTCGGGTACGGTCTTGGGTTCTGTCTGTCACTTCTCCTGTCCTGAAGGTTACCTGCTTCAAGGTCATTCCTCCAAGAGCTGCCAGAGAAATGGTTTTGATGGAATCTGGTCTAATCAGCTATCATTCTGCTTAGGTATTATGATTACCCAACATAATTCTTTCAAATTGAACAAGGTCGTTCTTGCATCCACCCTCAGATTAGTTCTATGAATGAATTAGTAGGTTTTTTCAGTGATCAGAAAGGCAAGGCCGGTCTAAAAAAAAATGTTTATATTATAAACAACTGAATAGAACTGATAGATTTACTGGGGTAGCAACATGGAGCAATTATTTTACAGTTGCTAAACATGGGGTAACCCCCCCCCCCCCCCCTCCCATTTTCAAAGCCCAAAGTTATGGTCGCCAGATGTAGCTCTAGCCAGGTACCAAGCACTTTCTTTCCACCTTTCTTCTGAAACTCCTGACCCTCATTAAGTCGATGTGGCGTGACACTTCAGCGATCAATTAGCATTGTCGATAAAATCGATTGAATATAATCCATGATGACCTTTTTTTAATATCATAGATAGCCAAGCTCCAGTATTCACACGTCGTCCAGAACCGATAGAAATCACTGCACCACCTCTAGAGATGAGTGCATTTGTAAGCTGGGAGGTACCTGAGGCAGAGGACCAGGACCCGAATGTTCTAGTATTCCAGATAGCAGGACCAGCTCCAGACACGGAACTACCCGAGGGTTTCTATTTGGTGAGGTACATGGCAATGGACAGTGCAGGGAATGAAGCAGTCTACACCTTCAACATCACAGTCAAGGGTAAGATGATTTCCCAGTTTCCCCTTCCTTTCTAATTTACTACATATGGGGAGGACGGACTTCATCTTTATAGCGAAAATAATTTCTCTTTAGTAAGAGTGTATTTTCTTCAGTGTATATGCTAAATTCTCGAAAGAATATGTGATTGCAAATCAGTGTTATAACGTAATTCGTGTCTCAATGCTAGTTTGCAGTAATGCGAGGAAAAAATACAACTCGAAAACCAGATTATAGTTATATGTTATGTCTTCCTTCTTTTTTTTCGCGCCAATATGGACGCCATGATAATGCTTCCAATGAACTTTGGAAAGGAAACAGATAGAAAGTGATTTGCGTAAAACTTGATGGAACATTATCAGGCTTTAAATATCAGATGTTTAATTATTATAATCGAGAGTTTATTATACAAAGAACATAATAATGCCTCTTTATCACCTTTCCATTTTTATGCCTCCGTTACGAAGTAGCCGGAGGCATTATGTTTTCGGGTTGTCCGTCCGTCCGTACGTACGTCCGTACGTACGTACGTCCGTCCGTCCGTACGTCCCGTTCTCGTGATCGCGTTATCTGAAGAACCGATTGATGGATTCCTGCCGAACTTTGGTCATGTATGTATCTTGCAGAGCCGATGAACTGATTAGATTTTGGGGTCACGAGGTCAAAAGTCAAAGGTCACAGGGCTCATTATGTATGCAAAAACAGCTCGTGATCGCGTTATCTGAAGAACCGATTGATGGATTCCTGCCAAACTTTGGTCATGTATGTATCTTGCAGAGACGATGAACTGATTAGATTTTGGGGTCATGAGGTCAAAGGTCAAAGGTCACAGGGCTCATTATGTATGCTGAAACAGCTCGTGATCGCGTTATCTCAAGAACTGATTGATGGATTCCTGCCAAACTTAGGTCATGTATGTTACTTGCAGAGCCGATGAACTGATTAAATTTTGGGGTCATGAGGTCAAGGTCAAAGGTCATGCGGCTCATTATGCATGCAAAAATAGCTTGTGATCGCATTATCATTAGAACAGATTGATGGATTCCTCCCAATCTTAGATCATGTATGTATCTTGCAGAGACGATGAACTGATTAGATTTTGGGGTCACGAGGTCAAAGGTCAAAGGTCACAGGGCTCATTATGTATGCTGAAACAGCTCGTGATCGCGTTATCTCAAGAACTGATTGATGGATTCCTGCCAAACTTAGGTCATGTATGTATCTTGCAGAGCCAATGAACTGAGTAGATTCTTGGGTCATGAGGTCAAAGGTCATGGGCTCATTATGTATGCAAAAATAGCTTGTGAACGCATTCTCATTAGAACTGACAGATGGATTACTATTTAACTCGGGACATCTTGCAGAGCCAATGAACTGAGTAGATGTTAGGGTCATGTGGTCAAAGATCAAAGGGTCATATATGTATATGAGAAATTGCTTGTAATCACGATATTCTGAGAACCTGTTAATGGATTACAATTGAACTTGAATTTGAACAATTTCTTCTGTTTTGGTTTGTAAAATTGCTCTATGACGGAGGCATCATTTCGACTGCGCGCAGTCGAAGTTCCATCTAGTCTATCCTAACACAATCCTTCAATATTTGTGTTCTCTCGTTCAGTGGTACAGTGTAGCGACCCAGAACCGGAAGTCAATGAGGATGTCGGGGTCATTTGTAACCGTGGTAACTTGCTTGGGTCTACTTGTGTATATTCCTGTCCTGTGGGCTATGATTTGATTGGTTCTCAGAGTACCACGTGTGTAATGATGGACGATGATAGTACAATGGGAAGATGGAACACAACAACAACACCGAGTTGTCAAGGTAACGTACAGCCATTAGAACCTAAGAAACTATAACAATGATGAGAGCAGATCCAGGTGCTATACACTTGGTTTTTAGTACTAGGTTCTTACGCATACATGTTGCTCGTGTGTAAATGTCAACAAATTGTGATGGTTCTCCAATAACATTGCGTGAGAGTTATTTTTCAAAGGAGAGCAAGTGCTGAAATTAATTTCAAATACATTAATGCGATTTTAAGAGTGCGTATTTGATGAAAATATTCAACTATAGGATTCATTAACGAGCAGGAATATTTGTCAAATAACAAATCCTTGTTTATATACTCTCATCTTTTCTTCTTCTTCTTCTTCTTTTTTTTGTGTTGGTAATGCTATGTTCCTCTATAAAAACATCCGATTTTTGTATACTATGATGTACATTCATGCCTTTCCCTTCTTTTCCCTCGATCTATTTTTCCCCCTTTAACTTTTTGAAATCACACAGCTCGTAGCTGCCCTTCACTTGCTACCCCTCCTGCAGCGATTGTATCTGGATGTGTAACCGATCTGGGAAACTCTTCAACCTATGGTACAAACTGTACTTTTACCTGTCCGGCCGGGTATTTCGGTGTAGGTGAAGCAGTGAAATTCTGCCAGGCTGATGGGACTTGGTCGACTACGGGTTTCGCGTGCCAGAGTAAGATACTCATTTGTTTATACAGTGCGTCCCAGAAAAAACGAAACCGAGAAGTATCGATGTTCTATCATAACTTAATCACAACTATAATTAATGAATGATACATATTTGGAAAGCTTAGAGTCTCCCCTTTCGTTACGTTTTTTCTGGGACGCACTGTTTAACAATGTCTAAATGCCCCTGCTGACTCGAGAAGTTCCATCATTTTTGAACTGCCAAATTGTTGTAGTGCCAGGGTAATGTGTGAAGCGCCATGAGCGTCAGAGCCTAGCGGATACCGGAGTTATTTAAATATCCATATAACTATTATAATTACATCAACATGGTAAAACCTGTGTAGGCTTTGTTAGTAATAATCATATATTTAAACTTTATTTTTGATTAATCTGTAAGGTATTGGAGGTAATCGAATTCAGGCATTCATCTATTACCTAACTATGACATAACTTGGCGAGGGATGATGAATTTTACAATTTGTGTTAATGGTTCGACTGTTTTTAGAGTATTATACAGCGATAATAATAATGCTATAATATTTAATGGAGTTACTGCTGCTACCTGCTAGACATGTTATATTTTGACGATATTGTACAGCCTTGACGATAAGCATGGTGTAGAACAGACTGGGTCATCGTTTTTAGACTCTTTCTTGAATCTCCTGATCTGGATGAGTTGTCAAGTGGGTCAGATATGTTTCCACTCTGTGACAATAATACTGCCCGCCAAAGGTTTGTAATCAGAAATATTTTACATCAGATTTGTGGCACTGCAGTATGTTATGTCAAACTGAAAAGTAGTTTAAGTTGAAACTAGTTTTAAAATTCTAAAGCGATTCGGGAGGCGGTCATGCGTTTCAGTAGGCAACCTACCCCCACAGTTGTCATTTCCAGTAAAATGAGGAAGACACTGGTTTGGTCAATTGGCCATTTCGGTATTCTACAAAATCTGACTCTTGGTTGTACTGATGAACATCAACAAATCATTGACTAATAGACAACCCCCAAATAGGATTCTTCTCTCTCCGTTTTGCTTCTTTAAACAAATTATGGGATGAACACCTTCTTTCATCATAAAATCTTTTTCTTTATCAATTCCACTAGAACGACACTGCGTCGGACTCGGTGGCAACGGTATCTTTACTTCAATCCCACACCAATGCATGGGCTTTCCTGAATACGAAGACGTTTGTGTAGTCGCATGTCTTCTCCCGGGCTATCAGCTTCGTGGGCCTGGTTCGGCTGAGTTCCAATGCATGCAAAATGGGACATGGGACCAAGCATTGGATGACTTCACCTGCCTTGGTAAGCAAAATATGAAAAATATGAAGAAACATTTTTTTAAATGTAAATAATCCTCTTTCATCTGTTAAAAGTCTCCCATATAACATTAATGCAATTAATCAAAATAATGTTATTCATAATAATAATAATAATAATAATAATAATAATAATAATAATAATAATAATAATAATAATCTTTTAAAGTCCACTCCAAATTTTATTAAGTTAAAACGAAAATGGAAATTCTTTTTGCCCAATTGATCGTGAGCCCGGCAGCCACTGAGCAGCGCCAGATCGACATTGCTCTATCCCTTATTGTTGAACGCCAAACAAGGTAGCAGCAATTCCCGTCTTTTAACGTCTTTTGGTATTATTTTTGATAACTTTTTGATTTTATTTGGTAATTAGAATAACACTCTGTAACATAACACATTGAACTATATTCTAGAGCGCCTTGAGCATTCTGCGTAACGGAGATGGCATTATTAACTAGATAACTATCTAATTACATCATCATAACTAAACGTTTTGAAAATTCGAAAATGGAATTTATCAGTTTATTGATCTCTGATTATAAGTAATGTTTGTCAACTCGTTTTCCTCTGTTTTTCATTTTATTCACATTCACACTTACACCAAAGATATTGAACCACCCGAGCTCTTAACCTGTCCAGAATCATTCATCGTTGATAAAACTAACCCTGACGGAGTAGAAGTGACCTTTGACATACCAACCGCGCGTGATAACAGTAACAGCAGCCTACGAATAGTGACGTCACCAGAGAACTTGACGTCACCTCATTTCATTTTCCAGGATTCAGTGCTCTCCTTTGAATTCTTTGATGACACTAATAATAGCATCAAATGTACTTTTGATGTGCAGGTCAAAGGTGAGTGTGACGCTTATCAATTCAGCACATTGTAAAATTGTTCCTCGGAATAATCAGTGTTAGAATTGTATTTGCATTTAGTGGGCATTTTCCTCGGTGGAAATGAGCAAGTTGGTAATTATAAAGTTACCACGGCATACCAAAGATTGGCAATCAATATTGCAGAAGGAGGAGGAGGAGGAAGAGGAGAAGGAGAAGAAGGAGGAGAAGGAGAAGGAGGAGGGGGAAACGTTCGAATTTTGCGCAAGGCTGGTATTTATGGTGAAAACTTTGCTTTTCATTGTATAGTTAAACTTAAATCGTAAAAAAGTGGGGAAACCTGCTAAAAAGATCATTTTTTATCTTTATTGATCAGAGGAATTTGGTGTGGATATCCTGTATTGTCCTGATGACATCACAGTTGAAACGGAGAAGGAAGCTAATGTGACGTGGTCTCGACCAGTGTTTCGTGGAGAGAACGCGTCGAATATACAAGTAACCGGCTCCGTCAATGGTACCTCGGCAATGCTACAGATTGGTTTCCACTCCATTGAGTACACTGCAGTTAATAAATTCACTGGGAAAGAGTCTGTTTGTCGATTTAATATCACTGTTAAACGTGAGTATTCATTCTTTCTTGCAAGATTGGATAATTAAGTGGTTCTTTCCAAATGGTGTGTCAACTGTTCAAATGAATCCATACAGAATTTTTCGAATGTAAAACGCATGATATCATGGCTATACTGGTCAGTACCGCAGGGAACAGTTTCATGACCTTCTTTGGAATCCCAAAGCATTACATGTCCTAGAAATGTACGTAGTATAAGACAAGACAAATATTACAACATGGATTAAAGATAGATCTTCAGATCAATTTGGTTAAATCTGAGCATAATTTTGCTATGATATAATATGTTCTACTTGTTTTCACGCGGTATCTCCCTCTATAGCACTACCGTGTCCTCCTCTCGACACACCTCTAAACGGCGCCTTATCATGCCGTAAATGGGAGACCATTGAGATCTGCAGCATGTCATGTAAGGAAGGCTATGATATCCCTCGCTTGCCCTCCAGACAACAACCGCCAACGCTCTACACGTGTTCTGCATCACAGGGTTCATCCAGGGAATGGAAACCGAATGACAATGTCGTCGATTGCTCAGGTACGAAGCTGAGCATACTTATTTCAATATTTCCCTGGCTCAAGGGGCAAACGCACCGGAGGGGGCCCAGCATTGACTTAGTAATACATAGACCAGTTAGAAAAAGACACCTGTCTACCAAGGCAGGAACTCCAAAAGATCATTGAGGATAGAACTGAATGGTAAAAGCTTGTCAAATCAGTGCAAGTACGCTCGACCTAGTATTAGTAGTTTCCTGGCGCACAAAAGAGTTCAATACAGCTTTCAGAGTACTGTGTACATCACAGTCTTTATATCAGCTGTAGATCGCGATCGAATGTATTTGTGGCGGTGTGGTGATTTTGTTGTTGTTGCTCTCTCTCTCTTGCTAGCCTTTCCTTTCGCTTCATAACACTTCAAAGGTCAACTCCTCTCTCCTTCATCCTCCCCTTCTCTCTCTCTCTCTCTCTCTTTCTGTCTTTCTCTCTCTTTATCACTCTCTCTGTCACTCTCTGCGTGTTTCTATCTCACTCTCTCTCTTACTTTCTCCGTTTTCATCTCTATCCTTTTCTCTTTCTCACTTTATATCTGTCTCTCTTCCCCCATCTCTCCCTCTCTCCGGCTCTCTCCGTCCCTCAAACCCTCACATCACATACCTCCTTATCCAGGCTATTGCTCTCATGTTTCTGTGTCCTTACCTTTAGTACATGATTGTACTACCAGCAGATTAATAAATGCTCTCAAAACTTGATAATTCATTTTTTTTCTCATTAATCACTCACTTTGAAGGACTCAAGGGCAGGCTATCTTATCTACCGGCCGGGCTGATATATTACGAGGGTGATTGCGGTCAGTTGGTTACCCAGCAGAACATTGCTTCAGCCCTGACCACCCTGATTCAAGCATCGACGTTCGGGGATCTGTGTAACGACAAACAATGTTCAGTCACCGATGTGACCGTCACATGCGGACCCCTGGACCACTTGCCCGAACCTCCACCTGCTCAGAGACGTCGAAGGAGGGCCAGACGCGATGCGATGTCTGCGTCCATACCATCGGGTGCAGAGCGTCGTAACCTACCAAGGGCGTCCTGGGCTACCAACGTGACTATGGTCTCCTTCGACATCTCAACGAGACACGACATCGACAACGATGCCGTGGATGATGAGCCAACTAGCGATGCTGATGATCGCTTGGCCGAAATTGAGGAGAACCTTTCTCGACTGGTCCACGAGATTATCCTGACAGGGACTGCGGACGGTATGGAAGGTGACATGATGGAGAAGATCGCCCAGCTACCTCTAGATGATGCCTCATTGGTTCTTGGTGACATCAAGTCGGCCTGCGATCAAGGATATGTTCCACAAACAGGATCGCCAAACCGATGTGGTAAATCAAAGCTAAATGGCATTTGCACTGCTAATGTATGTAGTAGATATTGTTAAACAAATCCTTCGGGATTATTAAAAAAAAATACAACCTATAATTACTAAATATTAATGAATAACAGCCCCCCCCCCCCCCCCATCGATATATACAAAATATATATGAGGAGAAAATTATGATCTACACAAAAAACGATAGAAGTATGATATACCGCCATTGTAAGACTTGGTCCCATAGACGTTTTAGTAAAAATCCACCTACGATATGAGTTCCAGTAATCTAAATGATGATTACTCGAAAGCATTGTGACAAACCTTTTGCAAATATTATACTGATTTACCCTTAGGTCTCATTTCCATACATAACATGAACAATTGTAATAGTCATTTTGTAAACGTGGCATAAAAGAATTGCCACTAATGATGAATATTTCTATCTTCTAGTTGCCTGTCCGCGAGGGTATATCTCTGGTGGAGACGCTGAGATGTGTATGCCCTGTACCACTGGGTCGTACCAAGACCAATCAGCTCAGTCTGCGTGTAAACCCTGTCCAGCTGGACAAACCACCCCCAGAGAGGGTGCCAAGAACATCAACGAATGTCGAGGTAATGATGAGAAAAATACATTCGAATCATAATTTAGATTTGAATGACGCTGAATACAATGTTTCTGAGTATGATAATCATACCCTTCAAATGGGGTAAGAAAAAGGAACAAATATTAATCTTGTAGCTTTTATGTTTTCGATTTACATCATGAAGTTACATGTTGAGTAATAAGATATAAAAGTGATGGAATTGTAGGTAACTAAGTTGTCTCGATGTACAATACCTAAGAAAGTTTTTTGTGGATTCATGTTATTGCTAATTTTAGTATTCTTAACACCGTGGACGCGATATTTGTCGTAGCCGAAGATGAACTAGAACCGGTATCATGTCTTTACAATTTGCATTGCATTGTTTGTAACGTACATCACTGATTTTCACCAGCTTTCTATCTTCGTATCTTCTGACAGACCAATGTAGCCCAGGTTCCTTCTCGCCTTCTGGATTGGTTCCCTGTCTACCATGTGATCGTCAATCCTTCCAATCACAGGCCGGCCAGAGATCATGTGACCGCTGCCCCACCAATCAAAAGACGTACAGATACGGAGCCATTTCACAAGAAGAATGCACCTTTTACGACTCAATCTAATGGTGTTGATATAATTGAGATTCTTTTATGTAAATCTCGAATTTTTATTTGAAATTTATTTTGAAGACATGGCTCGTGTTTTTTTTCCCTCTCACTTGTATCAACCAGGAATGGAAGGAAAATATGTTAACGTATATAAACATGAGAAATCCTTAATGATAACAACTCCTTTATCGTGAGGTATATGACGAAAGTGTCTAGAAGTCTGCTTGTAAATGCATGATATGAATATGCTATCGAAGCTAAAGACACTTTAAAATGCCAGTTTCTACAGCAGGAACTCAACTTGCTTAACTAATCGTAGAAGTACTATCCTTTATAGCTTTAAATATAATTGTGAATTATGTCAGTGTCACCAAAGTTTAGTCTTCCGCATCTTTTACTAAATAATGTGTTATTATTTTTTTTTTAAAGATTGTAAATCTTGTATTAAAGACTTTATATATTATTTTGTGTAGTTATTCTCAATTTGTGTCATGTCATGATTCGAAATGAAATTATGTACTGAATAATGTAAGTCATGTGAATTTTTTATTTTTACTGCTTTCTTTATTATTTTGCAGGACTGTGTAGAGGACAAGTCTATTTCTTTACCTCATAAACATGCTTTGATGTAGGTCGATACTGACTGATCAATCTTGATTTGTTTCTAGCAAAAAGTATTTAACAACCCTTAAATATTGTCATGATTGTGTATCAAATATAAAATTGTAAATAACAAGTAATGTAATGTATTTTAAGCACATAACTTTGCTGTACTAGCTTACACTTACATGAACTTTCATCCAGGCATACCATTACATTTCACCCCTCACGCCCACTACATTTACGCATTATAAATCAAGGTTATATAATTTAGGGGAAAAAATGCCAACACAGTAAATGTCATTATACTATAATAGTTTACCCATTTAATTGCTACACAGTGTGTCCTAATACAGACAGTGAGGTGAAAGTTTAAATGCACTGTTGTTAACATCTGCTAATTAAATTCACTAAGTATAAATTAGTTTTCATTCGACAAAGATTCTGATGTAGGGGTCAATTTAAACATGTCTTTCCGGTAGGATACCCAGCAAAGTCAATAGCACATGCCTGGGCCAAAGTAAACTAATTTTGAACCGTAAGTAATTACATACTGACATAGATAGTTGCAATATGGCAAAATGAGTTCACCACACTTCTTGCAATATAAGTTAAATAATAGAAACTTAAAGAATATCGTAACTTCAAACGGTTTATTGCTGGTCAGATAAGAACATGATAATGTAAACTGCTGTAATGTTATGTATAAACAAAACTTATTTTAATAAATAAAGATTATATTTCCTTTTTACAATTTAAAAAATCGTATCCCTATGGCTATGTGATACACAAGGGGCATATATATATACATGGATATATTTTAGAGAGAGAGGGTGTGTGTGATGGAGAAAGATGGAAAGAGAGGAGGACAAGAGAGAGAAAGATAGGGAGAGATGGATATGTATAGACAAAGTAAGAGGAGAGAGAGAAAGAGAGATATAACGATAGTTAAAGACATAGATAGATAACTAAAGACAGAAAAATAGTAGAGAGAACTTGAGAGATAGATAAATAGTTAAATAGAGAGAGAGAGCGTGATACAGAAAGACGGAGAAAGAGAGAGTAAAAAAGGAGATAGAGAGGAGAGAAAAAGAGAAAGATATATATAGAATAGGACTCAGACAGATACAACGAACAGAAACAAAGAAAGGTAGCGAAAGAGGGAGAGAGAGAAGAAAGAGAGAGCGAAAAGAGATGTTAGCGATTTAAAATAGAGATACAGAAAATTGATTGATAAAGACAGAAGTCACGTAGTACGAGTATAATCAATTAAGATTAGATTGAATAAACTGAACTTGTGTTGAAAATATGTTGCATAGATCCTGATAATTTTTCAATATTTTCCATTGTATTTTTTTAATAAATTTCGTGGAAAGCTCTCTCGCTTCCCCCACCCTCCTTTGTATTCTAATTTTATTATTTTCTCTCATCCTCCGAATAACACCTCAAATACATCCAAATTATCCTCATGAGTCTTATGTTCATATTCATGTCCATCGGTAACGATGAGGAAGAGGTTTACATATATAACTTTGAAATAACGATGTCGTTAAAAACCACAGACGGTACATTAAGTTTCAGGATATTTCTTAGATTATTGGCGATGAAGGATAGAGACGGGGGTTATATTTGGAAAGAATCGATGCGCAATCTACCACTGAAACCTCTAAGCAATACACAGATTGTTCGGGTCAGCTTCGTTATTTCAAAATAAAGACGTGACTCAGCTGATTTCATGCTGAAGGTGTCGGGAAGTAAAGGATATGAAGAAAGACTAAAAAACGAAGAAGACGTAAAGTATACGAAGAAGAAGAAGAAGAAAACAAAACAAAGAAAGAAAGAAAGACAAAAATAAAAAGAAAAGACGGTCAGCAATGTTAAGCAGAAAATCGTGGAGAGAAAGAAGAAGAAGGTAATGAAGAAGAACAAGAAGAAACAAAAAAGACGTTTTGTTATAAGAAGTACAAAATCGTTGAGAATAAGAAAAGAAAAAAATGAAGAAGAAATAGAAGAAGAAGAACAACAACGACAACAACACCAACACCTAGCTGAAAAAGGGAGCCGATTAGTTATTATAAGCAGAAAAACAGGGAGAAGAAGAAGAAGAAAAAAGATAATGAGGAGGAGGAGGAGGAGGAGGAGGAGGAGGAGGACGAGGAGGAGGACGAGGGGATTGAGAAGTATACTAATTGCAAGAAGAAGAAGAATATAAAAAATTATCCTTTTCATACCCTGCAAGCAAACTTTTTAATTCGCTTCCAATTGCATGTCGGAATTTCACACAAATTAGCCTACATAATAAAACTGCCTATACGGCAACACCAGTCTATAATATGATATCGCAATAACTAATGCCAATTGGTTTTGTTTCATATAACAAATTTGTATTTGTCATTACTCTGACGTACATTTATGCTTTAAATGTTATGTAGTTTTTGTATTTATCTGTTTTTATGTTGTGTTTTAACTTTATACATTGTAATATCCATTTGTTACAGAGCCCCCTTGCAAAGCAGGCATTGTGGCACTGAATGGGGCTACCCTGTTTTTTGTTTAAGAAGACTGAATAAATAAATAAATAAGAAGAAGAAGAACAAGACGAAGAAGAGGAGAGAAAGGATAGAAAAGAACAGGAAAAGAAACAAAAGAGGGAGAAAAATAGGACAGATAACAAAATTAATTTGCCCGGGAGTGAGAGTCATAACCGTAAACAGAATATTTTGTGCTTACATCTATTTCAAACTCCTTTTCTAAACTGGTGATGCTATTAAATGATGACAACGTTGTTTGTAGCCTAATAATATGTGTTCATTTCTGTGTTTTAAAATCTATAGAGCTGCAACTTTGGCATGATTAAAAAAATAACGGGAAAGGGAGCGTTGCTTGATACCAGTCCCTCTATTTTTAAACAATCATTGACAATTGTGCGTTAGTATCACTTTTGTTCTGATCAAAAGTACAAAAATGAATATGACGTGGTCAGGGGCGGCGATCCCGTGGGGGACGAGGGGGACACGTCCTCCCTCAATTTTTAGGGGGGATCGTCCCCCCCCCCCCTGAAAATTTGAAAAAATGCAAAAAAATAAGTGTATAGGAAATACTGACTAAAGACTGCAACAAACTTTAAGGCTCTGGAAGGCCAAAGAGTGCAGCGTTTAGACAAATAAAAATGCTACGCTCCCTTGCACAATATTCTTTAGAGTGTACAAGTAAATATTGTAGAAAAGTGAAGTGTGTGAAAGGTATATTGCTTGTTTTTATACTATTGTTTTGTTAAGGAATGTAATTTGTTAATACAACAAAGCTTCAAAAACCTGTGCGGGGATAGTCAATTCCGTCACCGTCACCACTCTTCTTCACTATGCTCCCTCGCGCCGGCATTATGATGGGGGGGGGGGGGGCTTGGGGGCAGTTGCACCCCCCCCCAAAAAAAAAAAAATAAATAAATAAATCAAAAAAAAAATCCAAACGTGGTTTATTTCTAATTCGATACCAGTGATTTACAAATGTTGCTGAAATGGCATGGTTTTTTCCTGAACTTCCGGGGGCTCTGCCCCTTGAACCCCACCAAGGGCCCTAAGGCGTGGCCCTGGTTGCTCATCTGACCGTAATTAAATGCCTAAAAACCCTGAGCTTCTGGGGGCTCCGCCCCCTGGACCCCACCATGGGCCCTGAGGCGAGCCCCTGGTTGCTTATCTGACCGTATTTTTTTTTATATATGCCTGAAAACCCTGAGCTTCAGGGGCTCTGCCCCCTGGACCCCTACAGAGGCCCTAAGGCGGGCCCCGGATGCTCATCCATCCGTTATTAAATGCCTAAAACCCCGCCCCATGACCCGCCGGGGCTTTGCCCCTTGACCTCAAGCCAATTTACGCTCCACTTACGCTTTGCTCTACCTGACCGAAGCGCCCACCCCTTTGAAAGACGTTCCGCGGGGCCTGCATGCACCATGTGAAAGTGGGGGTGATGCAGATTTTTTTTTCTCCCCCCCCCAAAAAAAAACACGTTTTTGCTCATTACTACACTGCTCCCCGTCCCTAGCATTTCGTACCCCCCCCCCCCCGGTCATGAAAAGAAATCGCCGCCCCTGGACGTAGTACTCCATTAACGATTACTGTTGAAAATGTGTGCGAATAACCGTAATTTTTTTTGTATTGGCATAATTACGCGGCTAGGGCGTTTTTATACATTATCCATGATATTTTTCCTTGACCGATTTCAATTGAGCGAATCGTGTCTGGATTGAACAATTCAGACAAATGTTTATATAAAAATTCACTGATTAATTACGTTGCATATTTGTGGTCGCATTTGGAATTTAGTTGGTTCTGATGACTAAACTATTTTTATTCGGTATGTCGGACAAACAAATTTGGCCGCGACTCACCTTATAACAACACTCGTTTTACCAAGAAAAACAATACTGATTTAATCATGGCCCATAAATATGAACCAAATCGGGGTTTGGATAATACAGCTAATATAGATTATAAAGGTCTCTCGACGTTAGCAAAAACACATTGCGAAATCTTTTGTAATGACATTACAAAAAGCAGTAATATTTTGAATGAAAATACAACGACTTTCCATGTCATGCTAATAAGTAATCTAAGTTTGATGAAATGAAATGGATACATGGTCCTAATGATATCAGCATTCATCTATATTTGTAAAGTGGTGTGAAAGGGTAAGAGTAATGACGTCATAAAGAAAGAAGTCACAAAGAGACCCCCGCAGAGAAAAAACTACAACTTACTGACTAAAACAACATGCATTTAACACACTATGCATTGAAAAGAATCGAAGGTTCAACAATTATTGGTTTAACCTGACGTGTTTGCAATGTTTGATAACAACCATTTGGTCTGAGAGTAATCATGGCTTATCAGCAAAAAGGGGAAACACATCATTCTGACATTGCGCTAAACGACAGTGCTCCGATTAGCTGGAATATTTCGAAAGGTGAGGAAATTCGTTCTGCGCATGCTCAACTTTAGGAAGCTTTTCACAAAACACAGTGCACAATAAAAAAAAAAGTGGAAAAAGTGGAAAGGAATGGCTTGATTTGGTAAATATTAAGTAGACTTGTACTTCTCGTCCCCTTTTACGAATTGAGAAAAAAAACTAAATCGAGCATTTCTATTCTTGAATAATGATTTTGTAAAATATATAATCCGCACAAACATTGTAATGGTTGGAACGATGCGATTTTATTGTACATATTTGGTTGATTTTCATACCTGCTACCACTACATGAAAACACTGAACAAAAGAGACTACCCTGTCGCTAAAACATGAGTTGGCAGGTTGCCCTAATGTTGGTTATGTTTAATTATTAGGAGAGGGGAGTCCCCATCCCCTTTCCGCAACGTAACCTCACATAGTGACTTTGAGAATAATGCATGACTAATTATAAAGTTTCGACAAGCAAGGGCCTTTATGTTTGGAGTTTAATGTGACCGATCTATTAGACATCCTGTACACTTCAACGCCATAAACTTGATAAAGTTCAACTCATGGCAGAACACACCTCAACGTTTGATCCCAAATAAAGAAGAGCGGCGGTGGTGCCTCGCTCTGATGACAACTTTTTCTGCTCACATTTCCGCTATGGTTTCGCTGGTACTGTTATCATAGTTATGAATCACGAATAACTACCAACAGTGATCGAATAAAACACCCCTTTAGTTAGACATCCGAAACCAGAATAGGCCAGTGGGATTGATGACAGCTGAACAAATCAATGGCTCTTG